CAGTCCCACCGTTGGTCTCCCACCCACTGTCAGCTTACTGGCTTTTAGAATGCTCCCTGCAACCTGACATCGCCAGCAGACTGCCGGGTGTTTTCTGTCCCTCCGTGAAGATGGACACTTTGTGTTACGCTCACCTGGACAGCCGTAGCACCTAAAACTGGGTCTGTCATCCTGTAGGAGGGTGGGGGTGGCGGGAGGAGCTGGAGTGGTCTAACCAGGTGAGCTTCGCTTTGATCCCTTTATTCCTGTTCATTCTGCATCCATGGAGCCCTTCCTAGGTGCCAGACATGGTGTCTGTGCTGGTGTCAGAGACGAAACATGGCACTTCTCCCCTCCAGGACCACAGCTTGATTAGCCGGTGGCCAGTGCCCATCTCAGGGCACCGTGCAGGGCAGCATTGCCCTGTGGGTTGAGTGACCTGGGAATAACGACTCTTATTAGAGGTGTACTGGGTGCGCCTCCCATGCTACATGCTGGGTGGGGCCAAATGCAAAAGCAGGGTCCCTCCTGTGTGTCCAGCAGCGCCCAGGCCTGGGAAGATAAGTGGGAACTAGCAAGTTTTCCGCCTGGTTCTGCAGAACTTGTTAAGCGTGATTCGAGGCAGGACTTTCTTCCCTGCTTCTCTCTCTCTCTCTCTCTCTCTCTCTCTCTCTCTCTCTCTCTCTCCCTCTCTCTCTCTCTCTTTCCCTCTCACTGGCCTCTTTCCCCAGGACGTAACACATCAAGGGCAGGAAGGCAGGAAGCACTGCCCGCGCACAGTAGGTCATCAGAAAAAGCTTGGTGGATGAACTGATGTGATGGGTCCTTGGCCACAGTGCAGCCCCTGACACCTGTGAAGACTTCTTCTAGTGGTTCGCTCAGCAGCAGTCACTGAGCACCTACTATGTGTCCATCACTATGTGGTCCCCGAAGTCCCCATCAGCCACGATTCCCATCTGTCTGCCGCAATCCTGAAAATGCCCATGTGGGCCTGGCGTTCACTGTCCACCTGGCCTCCAGGCTTACTGCCTTCTGCCCCACAGCGATGGCCCCCTGAGGGCTGGCTTGTGGGTGCCCTGACCCCTCCACGGGGGGCACTGTCTCTGCGCCAGGGCCCTCCGTGGTGAAGGGCTGGGTGTAAGGAGGCAGCAGGAGCAGGAAGCAGGGCCCTTCCCTGAGTTCTTATGAGCATCCATGTCCTCTTTCCAGCTGACCCTGAGCTCTTGGAAAGCCACCAGCCTCATACTCGTCCCCACCTGGCAAAATGCAGCGAGCCCGGGGTGTCCGCCGTCTTGGTGGGATTTGTTGTTGAGTTACAGTCTCATATTTCCGAGCACAAAAGGCCCTTGCAGAGTGCCATGCCAAGGCACCTATTTCACCGATGGGGAGAGTGAGGCTCTTAAGAGTTTCCCACAGGGCCTTGGGGCTGTCCTCTGCGGCGCAGGGCTCCCTGCCATTGACCATTCACTGCACACCCAGATCTGGGGGTGAGATTTGGAAAGGACATGGCGTTCAGCCAGTGACCTGCTGCCTGACTTTTGAGGAAATGCATCCCCTTGCCTGGAAATGGCTCTGTGGCCAGTGAGTCATGTGTTGTCACCCACACATTATGGTGGGAAGAGCTGGATGACTCTGGGCTCCATTCACTCAGCCTTCAAAACCTGCCTGAGATCGACTCCCTCCTTCCTGGTGATTTGTGACTCTTCTGCTGGACGTGTCCCTCCTCCGTGGCTGCAACACATCCTTCAGGGCCCCAATGCTACCTCCTCCTGGGACCCTTCCTTGGTGTCTCTCCATTCCTCAGTCTGTCTGGCAGTCTGATTGACCCAGATCTCTCTGATAACATCCGTGGCATCTCCTTGTCTTGTCTTCCTGTGGCTGCAGAGGGCTCTCCTCCCCACCCCAAGTTGCTGTGCATATCTTCTACCCACACTACACATGTGTCCATGCCCAGAAGCCAGAACCATGTGAAATTTTCTTTGTCCCTGTCCCCATAGTGGCAGACCCTCTTCCCCTGAGGACTTGTATAAGGTTTGCATATTGTGGGAGTTTTTTTTTTTTTTAAATGAACTTAATTTAAATTACTAGCGGTTGGATTATCTCTTGTGTCCCCAGTTCCATGCTGGATGGACACAGAGATGGAACTGACCATGATAATATCATTATATGCACGATGGCATGGGTGGGGTGGCAGAGCAGCCAACCAGAGTGCGGTGACGAGGACGAAGAGGTTGTGAACAGGCAAAAATGGAGCAGAGAGAGAGAGAGAGAGCCTGAGAGGAGCAATAGGGACACGGGCCTTGAAGCCCCCCAGCTGGTGCAGGTAGCAGAGACTGGGTTCAGGGCTGGGATATGAAGCTAAAGATGCTGACAAGGATCTGCTCAGAATTCCTCCAAGGCTAAGCCTGGAGTATCCTGCTGAGATGCAGAAGGTTGGAGTCAGGCTACCTGGGTTCAAATCCCACCGCATCACCTACCAGCCTGTATTCCACTTTCCCTTCTGAAAATAGACATAGTAACAGGTCTTCCTCAGAAAGTGGTGCTCAGTACAGCGCCTGACAGGGCCTGAACCCCAAGGCAAGTGAAGATGCAAAATACTAGGGAGCACACACAGATATAATTCTATCATGGAGATCAATATCTAACGGGGTATCAAAAGCCCCCCCCCCCAAATAATCAAGATACATAATATTTAATGCAGTTCTTCCACAGTATCAAAATTAATGCAAAAAAAAAAATCCACTATGAACAAAATACCGAAAATGTAAACAAAGACACGATGTGCCTGGCACAAAGTATGCAGCTCAAAAAATACCAGTTATGAGTGGACGGAGTGCTCAACCTTCAGGGGCTGCGGACTTCTGAAAACCCGAGGTAAACCCGTGGCGCCTCTCTCCAGAAGAATGCGCGAGTGTGCACAATTGGTGCACAGTTGCACCCTCTAGGGTTCCTCTACCCTGAGGTTAAGAACTCAGGTTCAATGTAGGGGCGCCGGGCGGTGGTGGTAGCTGCGCGCGCCATCCAGCCGCCTGCGGGTTCTTGGGTACCCAGGCTGCCTCCCTCCTGGCAACCATGGGTGCTCTGCCCCCTTCAGGAAGCAGCACACAGTCCTGCGGCTCCCTCCCCCGCTCCGGTTTGGGACTTTTCCTAAAGTTTGTTGAAACCAGACACCTTGCTCCACCGAGCCCGCGTGCAGCCACGGTTTAAAAGGCCGCCTTCAGCGCCCCCTCCCCGCCCCCAGCGGAGACTTCAAAAGGCCCGGCGAGCGCCGCGGCCTCAGCACCTATGAGCCTCCCCCAGTTCCCGGAGCTCGTGCCGGAGCCCGAGGACGCAGAGCGGCTCAAGCTCGAGCGCAGGCGGACCGGGCAGGCGGCGCAGTCCCGCGCGCCCATGCCCCTCCCGGTGCCGCTGCGCTCCGCGCGCCCGCGCCCCGTTTAGGGAAGGGGACCACCCACCCCCGCCCCCGCGCCCGCGCTCAGGGCTGCGGGGACCCATGAATACAAATGCCGTTAGGCGCCCGTGGAAGGACCGACCGGCCAGCCTCCCACTTAGGGACACAGTAAGTGCCTGGGGACTCCTGTAGCTCTAGGAGTATTGGTGTATGTGCGTAAAGGTGCGCGCGTGTGCAGAGGTGGGTACAAGCCTGAGACGTGTGTGTGTGTGTGTGTGTGTGTGTGTGCATGAGTGTGGTGGACACTTGTGGAGGGGTGTGCGTGCGTGTATGTGTGTGCATTTGGTTGGGTACATGGGCTGTATGTGCACGTGGGAGTGTGTATGGGCGGTGTGCGCGCTGATGTGTACGTTGAGGAGGATATGGACAGCACAGGGTGTATTTAAGTGAGTGCAAACACTCCTGTGCACGAGTGTGCGCTGAATCCAGACATCCCAGGGTGTTTTTTACGTGAGCCTAAGTTGCATGGCTGCATACCTGCATGTGAATGAGTGTGAGCGTGTATCTGAATTTGGGGTGTGTGTGTGTGTGTGTGTGTGTGTGTGTGTTTTCGTCTGCCCAAAGAGATGGAGGTGGGGGTGGGGATTAGTCTCATTGCTGGCCTGGGGTTGGGGATGTGAGAATCTACCGGCGGCGGGCAAAGGCGTGCAACTCTGCGCTCCAGTGTAGGATCCCAGGGTGTCTGCTCCACTCTGGGGGGTTAAATCCCCGTTTCTGACCGAGCTGCAGGGGAGAGGAGGGTGAGCAAACACAAACACGCCCACCCACCACGTTCTTTCTCCCGGGAGCTCAGAATCTGGTGAAGCAATCTTTTTGGTGGGTGTCGGGGGCTGAAAACACTGGTTGTTGTGGGAGTCTGTACTCCAAGTCCTGTTCCCAGTTCTGTCCTTGAAACTCTGAGATTCTTTCAGGAGTAGAATCCATCCCCTTTCTTCCTCCAAACCGCCCCGTAGATTTGAGGACCTACAGTCTCACAGGTCAGAAATTCCTAATCCAGGTACTGCCGTCAATCATTGTGCAGCCTTGGGCCATCCCTTGTTTCGGTGAATCTGTTTCCCCATCTTTACAAGGAGGAGGGGGCTGGTGTCCCAGCGGGGCCGTGGCGGGCCGGCTGAGGCTGTGTCCCTGGCCGCGGCCGGCAGGGGGCAGCAGGGGGCAGCAGAGGGCGGCCCGGCGCGGGGAGGGGGAAGGTGGAGAGCTGCCGCGGGCCGAGACTTTAAATCGCCTTCATTTCCCCCAAATCCTTCCTTTTCCTCTCCTCCCCCAGGCCGGCGGGGAGGCAGCTTCCACCGCCCTCCGCGCGCCCTCGCCCGGCCTTGCTCTGCCTCCAGAGACCGCCAGCAGCCCGCCTCCAAAAGTTTGATCATCTCCCTCTTTTTCTTGCTTCTTCCTTTTCCGTGGAAGCAGAAAAAGAGCGAGGCAGGGGCGAGCGCTGCGCCCGGACTCCTGGGACCATGGGCCTGGCGCGGGCGCCCGCGGGGCCCCGGCCGCGCTGCCCGCCTGCTGGAGCGCCCCTGGGCGCGGGGCTGCGCTGGGGGCGCGGGGGCCGCGCGCTCTGAGCCGGCCTGGCGCGGCGGGGCCGGGGGCTGGCGGCCCCATGGGGCGCGCCCACACTTGCCCCCCGGGCTCGGGAGCATGAAGTAGGGGCCTGCCATGGGAGCGGGATCCGCGCTGGGGGCCCAAGGCACAGCGGTGGCGGCGGCACGCGGGGGGTGAGTACGAGCTCGGGGACGCCCCCTCCCCAGCTTCCTGCTGCTGGGATCTGGAAAGGGCTGGGGTTCCCCGCCGCGCCGGACGCTTCCAGCGGAACGTCAGCTTCCTGTCCCTTCCTGCTTCTCCGCGAGGCGGGACTCCAGGGGTTAACAGGGGCTGCTCTCCCAGCCGGGCGAGGGTTGGCGAGCACTGCCTGCCCTGCAGCGCCGGGCTCTGCTGTCGGGTCCCTATGGGGCGGGGACCTGCCCGGAGAGTCGGTGTGGAGCCAACCGGGGGCGGGTGGTGGTGCGGGGAGCGTCCGGCAGGAGACCTGCAGAGTGGGAACTTTGGGGACACTTGGGGGAGGAGAGGATCTCTGTTCGGGGCGGTCTCGGTGTGTTCCAGTGGCTCGGTGTCTGCAGGTCCCAGTCCGTACGTCTCTGGTTCCATCGGTTCTTGTGAGGCTGTGGACACGTTTCTCCGTCTCCCGGTCCGGGGGCTCTGCTCGCGACTCAGTGTCTGTGTGGCTCTGCACGTCCCGGCGTTTCTGGAAGGGTGTGTGTGTGTGTGTGTGTGTCTGGGTGTCTGTTTCTCAGCTTCTCGGGGGAGCACTTAGTTCCTGTCCTTCTCCCGAGTGCTAGAGAGAAAGTGAGAGCCGGCGTGTCAGAGCAGAAAGGGCCCTGGAAGATCACCAAATCCAGCCTCTTGTACAGATGGGGACCGAGGCCAGAGGAGGGCAGGGAATCTCCGAGGCGGGGCTGAGCACAGCTGGCACCCAGGGGCTGGGATTCCCAGCTTGTGCAGAAGTTTTTGGAGAGAGCGAGGGTGTGCAAGGGCGAGTCGCTTCGTGTGGGTGTGTGTGGGAGTGAGCGAGGCTGGGAGCAGCCCTGGGCCCTGTGGCCTGGGGCTCAAACACAGGACTAGCTGTCTTTCCATGCTGCAGGACCCAAAGGGCTCTCCCAGGAGGCTGGTCAGGGCTGTAGCCCCGCCCCTCTGAGCTGGAATCAGGGGGATGATGCCCCCCCCCCTTCTTCCCCAAGTCCTGGAAAAAGCTGGCTGGTTGAGATTCCCCCACCCCCACCGCAACACACGCACACAGCCCCAGTGAGCGCGGTGCTGACTCATTTTCTCCAGAAGACCTTGAGCCAGGGCAGATGCCAGCGGTTGGGCAGAGAAGTTGTGCCAGGCAAGCACCCCAGCACCCAGCCCAAGCTTTGGGCAAATGGGCAGTCCCACTGCTTTGAGGCCAGCTCCTGCCTCCCCCTGTCTCCCTGGCTGTGGGTCCTGTGCCCTTTGACTCTAGTGTGCCTCCCAGCTTTGCTCCCCCACCGGTCACCAGAGTGAGCGCCATGACATCCCCGCCCCCTGCTTGTCTGCCTTTCCTCTCTGCACTTAGAACATGTTCCCTTCCTCTGCTTCTGTAAGCCCTGCGGTCCCTCCACAGTCTCACCAGCCTCAAAATGTCACCCGTTTTCTCTGCCCTTCCTGAGAACACTTTCCCTGTTATTTTGTTGGCCGATCTGCTCCCCCATCTCTGCGTCGGGGATCCTCTGGTGCCCTCACTGCCTGGCCTGGCATGGGGGAGTGCCAGCCCTTTGGTGGTGGAGGGTGGTAGGGAAGCCTCCCGGGCTAACTTCAGGGGGCTTGCAACCCGGCCAACTCGAGGTTGAACTGTGAGCTTGGGCAAGCCTCTCACCTCTCTGACCCACAAAGGGGCATGCCCATCTCCAGCTGGCAGGGCTTGGGTATGGCTAGCGACAGTGTTCTTGTAAAAGAGCTCAGAACAGCGCCTGACATGTAGTAAGTCCTCAGAAATGGCAGCTGTTATTTGTGTTACTACTCACTTCTTGAATGGGTGTGTGAGTCAATGGGAAAGTTCTGGGCTGCATCCTGTCCAGACTGATGACCTGTCTGTGTGCCCATGGAGGAGGTGTAAGGTATGGAGAAAGGACTTTGGGTGTGGCCATCTGGGCACACAAGACCTGGCTGTGCCACGGAGGCAGGCAGGATGGCCACCCCCTTGCCACTCCATGGCTCCCAGCTCACCCGTGGGAGTAGTGTCCACAGGGCCGCCTTCTTGCGGATCTGAGCTCTGAGCTTCCCGGGAATGTTAAGCTGAGGTGGATCTCTGGGTCCTGTGTGTGTCCAGGTGACAAGGACAGAAAAAAGACCGTCCAGATAGGGTGCAGGTTCTGGTCGCCTCATTGTCCAGGAGCAGCCGTGACGGGTGGGCTGCAGAGGGCCTTTGGCAAGGGACAGGAACAGCTGGGTGCCCTTCTTGGGGCCCCTTTCTTGTGGCTGTGCTTAGGGCCACCTCCTGTCCTCCCTGGCCCCTGTGCTTGAGTCTTCCCGACATCCTGGAGCCCGGGTATCGCTGAGCCAGGGCCCACAGGCGGTGGTGGTGGAAACAGAAGTCTGCTAGAACACAGCCCGAGCCAGCACCGGCACCAGCGTTATTCACAGTAGCTAAACAGGATTGGAACCGGAGGGAAGAAGCAGCAGGGCCTCTGGGAGCCAACTTTCCAGGCCCGGAGCTTACTTACTAGATGGTTCGTTGGCTTCCCTGGCTACCTCTCTGTTCCTGTTGGTGAAGGCAGGGACTGTGGTCTCTGGCATGCAGGAAGGCCCCACAGGTCTCCAGTTTCTTCTCCACCGGAGACTGCCCAGTGGGGTCTGTGGCATGGAGGAGTCATTTCTCCTCTCGGGGGATAGGAGTCTGGCCCCTGGGTGATCTTTAAGGACCTTCTCCCATTCAAATGTGCTCTACCCTTGGGGAGTCGTGGGTCAGTGCACCCATCCAGCAGGGCGGTGTGTCTGCAGAGGTGAATGAATGGGCGGCCGGCCTGCAGGCTAGAGGCCACGGTGTTAGCCCAAGAGGAGATTCCATTCCATCCTCCCCGAGTCTTGTTTCTCCTGAGCTTGGAGGATTTAAAATCTTTCCCTCCGGTTTCTAAAGAGTCATCGTCTTGCCTTAGCCACACCAGAGCGATCCATCGAGGAGGACATGGGTGTCCCTGAGCTCCTCTCTCCCGCCTGGCCTCCCTTTGTCAGCCTGGGAAACATTCTGAGGAGGGAGGATGTGGCAGGGCACAGGGAAGGACGCCCGGAGTGAGGGCCGGTGCATGGAGAGTCCAGGAGAAGAAGGGGCTTGGAGGGACAGTGACAGAGACCAAGGGGTGGCAGGGACTCAGAAAGGCGAAGAAGAGCAATGTCCTTTGAGAAGGCATTCTCAGGACAAATGAGTTCCCGGGTCCTCTGGACTGGGGGGCTGCAGGATGGCAGCGAGTGTGGGTACTGCTTTGCTGCAGGACTTCTCAGAGCCTTTGGTATGCGGGCGTGCCGCGGGGGCTGTCGAGACCAGGATGCAGGGGACAGCTCTTCCCCGTCCATCTGGCCACCGTATCCTGGAGGGTGTCCCTGGTAGGAAGCAGTAGTGAAGAAGGAGTTATGTGCAGAGAAGCCTTGATGGGGAGGTGCCTGTCCCTGCGTCCCCACCTTGGTCTTCTCCAATGCCAAATTAAACAATGTCTCTTGGGAAGTTCTGGGTCGGTGCAGTTTCTGGCCACCGTGATCCTTCCCAGCACCAATGAGGCTGCCATTGGCTTGGTGTGGGAGGTCTGCAGGGGGTTACCCTGCCCTTCTCACCTGGCACCTGGGCATTCTGACCTTTACCATTGCCCTGGTGAGCCCAAGGGCAGGCCATGGGGGGGGGCGGGGCTGGGAAAGCCAGAGCAGAGCCGGACGAGGGTGCTGGGAGGACACTTCAAGGCCCAGAGCCCTGTGATTCCAGCTGATCTTCATTCATCCCGTGAGAATGCACTGGACACTTCCCATGTGTCTGCCAGGCGTGGACGAGGGAACAGGCCAGCTCACTCTGCCCTTGGGGGACGTCTTCTAGGAAGGGAAGTGGACAGTGGTGACCAAGTACTTGATGTGGGTGTGGTGTGACTCAGAGAGCACAGCAAATTGGGAGCTAATGGACGTGTGGGAACTGACCAGGCAGAGAGCAGTGTCCAGCTGATGGAGCAGGATGTGCAAAGGGACCATCATCAGCACCTGGGAGCTGTTCCAGCCGGCTTGCGGGCAAATGAGTTTTCTCCAAGTAAGGGAAGTGCCAATTCAGCATGATTTAAATAATAATGGGGTTATTGCTTCCCATGTTAAGAGGCCCCAAGGAAGAGCAATGCTAGGGTTGGATAATTCAGCATCTCAACGCGTTATTTTCCATTCTGCTATCCTCATCTGTATATGAGGCTTGTTACCTCACGTGTGCAAAATGGCTGCAACAACTCCAAGTGGGATGTCCTCACTCAATGACATGCAGAGGCTAGAAGAAAACCTCTTTGTCCTTTTAAAACACTTTCCTGAGGTTCCCAGACAGGCACCACTCCCATCTCATTGGCCACATTTGAGTAATATATGCATGCCATTCCCAGGATTGGCTTAGGCTTGTCCAGATTCATCTGGAGTCCTCTGAAGTCCATGTCCACATGTGACTGCAGGATGGAGGGATGGCTGTGGGTGGAGAAGCACCAGTGTCTTCCAAAGCGCCCAAGTTATGGTTGCTGTTGATGGGAATCGCTATTAAATTTGAGAGTAGGGAAAGCTAATGGAGGCTGAGCTTATCTTCCAAAGGGCCTAGGGTCCGGGACGGCCATTCTGGCATGCGGGTTTCCTGGATTTCGGGGCTCCCCAGCTGCACACCATCCTAGCTGGAAATGGACCCTGGTCTGCCCACCCCAGCCTTAGCCCTCCCCACCCACCTGGACCAGCTCTCTTTGCCTGCATCCTGGCCATCTCTGGCCACGTGCCGCCCTCCCCTCTGCCCACCTGGGGATCAGATACCCTGAGTGGCTTCAGGTGTCACTGGTGGCTGCTGGCACAGGAAGGTGAAATCAGATGTTGCCTCTGCCCATCTTGGCAAGAGCCCCTGAGCAGACCTGTAGCTCCTGGCCTCAGTGCAGGGCTGGCGGTGGGGGAGGGGGTGGTGGTGGTGGTGTGCAGGGGGGATGGCCTTTGTGACTATCGACAGGCTGAGCCCTTAACATGTGGGCGCTGAGTTCATCCTCATGCCTGCCTAGGAGAGAGAGAGGATGGGGACAACCTAGGCTCAGGGGGCTGAGTGACTCGCCCTGGGGTCACCCATTGAGAAGCCCCAGGGCCCGGTGTGCACCTGGGTCAGCCTCCTGTCTCCTGGTTTCCCATGTTCCATCTGCATAAGTCAGTGGGCAGCTGCCCTTGCCCAGTGCTGGGCCTGGGAAAGGGGTCTCTCTCCCCTGCCCTTGAAGGTCAGTGGCCACTCAAATGGTCAAGTCGGGCCTTCCCACTTAACCTTCCTTTCTGCTCTGGCTCTGTTGCCCGTTGGCAGGGGCCTTTGGCAGGGTCTCAAGATCATGAGGTCATATAGATATGGAGACTGAGGTCCAGGGTGGGGAGGGACGGGCTCCTGGTTGCTCAGTGCACCCGCTCTGAGCTGGTCCCTGGGTCTCCTGCCACCCAGTGTAAGTCCTCCTGCCCCGTGACCTTGGCTTAGCTGTCTGTGGAGCTGGTGGGGGCATTGGTACCCTGCAGGCAGGTCCTGCTCCAGAGCCTGGGCCCAGGGACCTGGGGGCTTGGATGGCACCTCTACAGGGGAGCCCTGGGTGGCACGGGGGCTGGGCCACCCCATTTCCCCGCTGGGTCTGGCGGAGGGCGGAAGCTGACTGTGTGTGCTGTCTGCTGTCCCTAGGGGCTTTCTCTTCGCCTGGATCTTAGTCTGGTCTGCCTGTCACCTGGCCTCCACCCAAGGAGCTCCTGAAGGTAATTCTCTCTTCTCTTTGTCCAGGGGAGACAAAGGAAGGCGGAAGGGGCCTGAGGACTCAGGGGCTGCCGACATCCGTGCCCCTGATTGGGACTGTGTCTCGGTTCTCCCTCAGGAGACAGGGGTCACTCACTGGCACATTCTCTTTGCATGACCCACCGGGCTTTGCGAGGGGTAGGGGAGGCCATGGTCACGGCCCTGTCTGGGGCAGATCTCTATGAGGCACTTTGGTTTATGAGCCTCAGGTGCCCCTCTCTGTCCAGTGGGTACACTCAGGAGACAGTAAGTGCACAACTGTCATCTCTCAGCCTGGAATCCCACCCTCTGCTTCCCGTGAGATCCTCCCTTCCCGCCTGTCCCTGAGGAGCTATTCAGGGGACCAGGGCGGCAGTGGGCCGGCTACACAGCTGCCCACGGAAATCGAAACCTTTCCCACATCTGTTTGTCAAGCAGCCACAAAGCCTCTTAAAATAGCTGCCCTTCCCCCTCCTCCACGCCCGCCTGTGTTCTGGGGCAGGCAGCGGGCACTCCGGGAGTCCCCGTGGCCTGACCTGGGCAGGGATTGGGCCCTTGGGAGGGAGGTCCATGCCCGGAAGAGACTTCTACCGGCCAGCAACATTTGTGCAAATGTCATATTTTCCAAGCTTGCTGTTTCCCCCACAAAGTAGGTGAACAGCTGTCCAGAGTCCTGAGTCAGGCTCCGAGGGGCCTGGGGAGCGGCCGGAGCTGTGTGGAGCCAGGTTTATGTAATAAAGGGATCTTGCTGGGGCCAGCTGGCCGGGCCCTTCCATCTTGGCCTTGGGCTGAATTCATTCCCTGTCCCCCGTCTCTTCCCCCCTGATGGGATTCTGGAAGTGACTCTACTCTGCCTTCCAGTGAATCTGGGCGGCTCCAGAGTAGTCGAGCTGAGTAGCTAAGAACAGAGACCCTGGGGTCAGGGGCCCTGGGTTCCAGCCCCAGATGCGCCTTTGATAAGCCGTTTGCTCTCGGGCAAGTGATTCCATCTAACCCAGCTATGGAGCGGGGACGGTAAAGGGTCCACCTTCACAGGTCGTTGGGTCAGTTGAGAAAACGCGCATGGAAAGCATTTACCGTTTTTGAAAACGATTTTGTTCATCCGAAGACTTTGGGTCAGCATTGCCCTTTCCTGTCTGCAGTGGCCAGAGATTCATGGAAACTCCGGGTCTCAGGGTTTGGGACTTTGTCCCTTAGCTACAGAAGGTGCTGGGGGTCCTGGAGACAGGCTGGTCTTTGGCTTTGAAACCCACCTGGAGAGGATAAGAAGGAACGCCTCCTGCAGGCTGCCTTCCCTGGCCAGCTGTGGTCCTCTGGGCCGTGGGCTTTGTGTGTGGGGAGGGACGCACTGCACGGGGCTGGCATGGTGGGACTGGGGCGGGGCGAGGTGGCTTGCTGTCCCCCACCTCACCCCCACCAAGTGGCTCCTCCTGTTTGAAGTATTCCATGATGATAAGAGGGTTTCATTGCTTAAGACCTACAAGGTCCACCCCAAGCCATGGTTTATGTCACCTTAGAGCCTGGGACAGGCGAAGGTATGAGAAAGAAGGGAAGGAGACTGGAGGTGAAGAGCAGCTCTTGAGTCCTGGGGAAGAACGGGGTCTTAAATCCAGGAGCTGTGCAGTCACCCCGAGCTCTCCAGTTCTTCCTAGAACACCCTTGACCAGGGCACCGTCTCCAGGGCTGGTCCAGCTCCTGTGTGTTCCCGGCAGGGAAATCGAGGCCCAGGGGTCAGGAACAGACGTGAGCAGAGTTACAGGATGGTGGGGAAGGTGGCCATTTCGTCCCTCCAGGAGCCCTAGGGTGAGGCATCTGCCTGGGTTTTCAGCAGGGGCAACTGAGGCTTGGGGTCCGGGCTCCCAGCAGGTCTGGTCAGGCGCGTCTTGCCGCCTCTGGAGCCCACTATGGAACCCTGGGCAGTGCTGCCAGATCTGAGTTCTGTGTTCTACAGTGGCCGAACCCTCCGCCCCCCACCCCACCCCTCCGTCCACCTCACAGTTGCTAACTGAGACTCGACTAAGTGCCCGGTGCTGGATCCCAGCCCCGACATGGCCTTCGCACAGAGATGGGACAGCACACTTGGGCAGAGTCCCGAGGCCCTGACCCAGATGGAAATTCTGGAGGCAGCCTCCACTTCCCCGCGGAGTCGGATCTCGGGAGCCGGCTTCTGTAGATGCTGGCAGCTCAGCCAACTGCAGGAGATCAAGTGACCCGGGAGAGGGAAGGTCAGGAAGGCTTTCCATAAACATTCCGGAACCTTCCTTTCCCTCTGGCAAACCCCGCCAACGTAATTACGGGGCAGATGTGACCACAGTCAGATGTCCACACACTTCCCCAGAGGAGAGAGGTTGCAGGAATACCTGAGTCTTTCTGCTCTCTTCAAAGCCACGCTGGGGGAAGGGTCAGCACACGTCACCTTTCTGATGGCCGAGGTCAGCTCCTCAGCCTGCCCCACCCACCCAGGCAGAGACCTCTACAGGAGGGGAGACGAGGCAGGTTCTGGAGGGGGGTGGTGAGACAGTCAGTCCCCTGGACTCCCTTTACCAAGCTCTGGGGACAGGTCTGTTCCTGTCACTGTGGCCCCTTACGTAGGGGTTTGCTTCCTGGAGGAGGTGGCTTTGTAAAATGTGTCATTGTTGTTAAGGACACCTTAACACTGGACACTGGCGGGTGGTGGCCCTCGTGACTTTAGGTATTAGCAGCTGTCATTTGCTGTTTTGTGCCAGACTCTTTTAAAAAAGAGTGTTCCCTCACTGAATTGTCATATGTCCTTCTGAGGTTGGGTCGGGAAGTGGCAGGGCCGGGATTTGAACCGGGAGGTCTGTGTTTTCAGCTGTGATAGGGACGATGCAGCCTTACAAGGGGTCGCGGTGCGTGCCTGACAGCCCCAGTGCAGCGCCCTCGGCCCCTGGCATGGGACAGCGCTATGTTCAGATGTCCTCTCCCTTCTTCTCTCAGATGTGGACGTCCTTCAGCGGCTGGGCCTCAGCTGGACAAAGCCAGGGGGCGGCCGGAGCCCCGCCACCCCGGGGGTCATTCCGTTCCAGTCGGGCTTCATCTTCACACAGAGGGCCCGGCTGCAGGCCCCCACGGCCGCCCTGGTCCCCGTGGCCCTGGGCACGGAGCTGGCTCTGGTGCTGAGTCTCTGCTCCCACCGGGTGAACCACGCCTTCCTCTTCGCCGTCCGCAGCCGCAGGCATGAGCTGCAGCTGGGCCTGCAGTTCCTCCCCGGCAAGACCGTGGTCCACCTGGGGCCTCGGCGCTCTGTGGCCTTCGACCTGGACGTGCACGATGGTCGCTGGCACCACCTGGCCCTCGAGCTCCGTGGCCGCACGGTCACTCTGGTGACGGCCTGCGGGCAGCGCCGGGTGCCTGTCCCGCTGCCCTTCCACAGGGATCCCACGCTTGACCCTCAGGGCACCTTCCTCTTTGGGAAGATGAGCCCCCGTGCTGTCCAGTTCGAAGGGGCCCTCTGTCAGTTCAGTATCCACCCCGTGACGCGGGTTGCTCACAATTACTGCGCCCACCTGAGGAAGCAGTGTGCACAGGCTGGCTTGGACTGGCCCCAGCTGCGACCCCTCTATCCCCAAGACTCCAGCAGACCCTTCACCTTCCAGAGTGACCTGGCCCTGCTAGGCCTGGAGAACTTGACCACTGCCACGCCTGCCTTGGGGTCACGACCAGCAGGCAGGGGGCCTGCAGTGACAGTGGCTCCCGCCAGGCCCACCCAACCCCAAAGAACTAGCCCCTCAGATCCTCGCCAGCGTGTCCCTGTGGGAGGCCCAGCCGGGACCCCACCGCCACCTGCCAAACGGTCAGGCAGTAAAGCCCCTGCCCACTTGCCCCCTGCCTCCTTGGCTGGCTCCACCAGAACTCACCCCGCGGCTTCCCAACCATTGCCAGTCACAGCCACCCACGTCCCTAAGAGTCCCTCCACCAAGCCTTCCGTCCTTTTTCCTTCAGTAGCCCCTGAGAAAAGCCCTCATCCTACCCAGAAAGCCGCTCTGTCTTCATTCACTAAGACAGCTCCGCCCACCCCGAAGCCTGCGCCGCCCACTCCCCGCCCAGGTCCTGTCAAAGTCCCCCATCCCACTGCGAAGCCCGCCCAGAGGAACCCTGTCGTGGCCCGGCCTCCGGCCCCCAGCACCTGGCCCCTGCCTCCCACTGCCGGTTCCACAGTAGCCCCTGCTGAGGCCAGGCCAGCCAGCCATGCCAGGAGGCCAGCCTCTGCCCTCACCGCCACCCGCAGACCTCTGCCGACCACCAGCCCTGGCCCTCCCAGAGCAGCTCGGCCACCAGCCGTGATGGTGGCTTCAGTCTTGGGCACTGGAACTCCCAGAACTGTACCCCCCACTCGCTCTCCTGGTTCCGTCTCCGCCGGAAGCAAGAAACCCACTGGATCAGAAACCTCCAAGAAAGCCGGACCCAAGAGCGGTCCCCAGAAGCCCGTCCCCCTCAGACCTGGGAAGGCAGCCGGGGATGTCCTGTTGAATGACCCGACCACCAGGGCCAGTCCCAGACAGTCCCCGCCCAGTGGACAGACCACCCCGGCCCTGGTCTCGGCCCCCGTGGGCGTCCTGTCCTCTGGTGCCCGGCCCATGACGAGCAGCGGCTATTCCTTCATTCACCTGGAGGGACCCACACCGTTCCCCCTGCTGATGGGGCCTCCAGGGCCCAAGGGAGACTGTGGCTTGCCGGTAAGTGTGGGTGGGGTGCGTGCTGCGTCCAGTGGAGGGCAGAGGGCAGCTTGGTCAAGAGGCTGCTCCTGACCAGGGCAGGGGAGCGGGGGTGGCGGAGTCGTCACTGGAACCCTGCGTGACTCCTCCGGGCTCCTTCTGCACATCCTGCTGCAGGTTCCTGTCCACTGAGCCAGACTTGGGTCTGGGGCCATCCCCAGGTAGGGGCAGCCCTGAGCTCTGGTTGGCCCGGGTCCAAGGTCTTTCTATGCTGACCTGTGCGTAGGTCTAGTGGCTTCAGGAAAGCCATTGACATCCTGGCCCTGGGTCCGGGTGAGCAGCAGAGCGTCCCTCAGAGCTGGCTCTCAGGACAGCAGGCCCTGCCGCAGTCTGGGAGTTGTGGGCAGAGGTCAGCTGTGAGTAGCTGTGGATGTGTTTGGTTTGGCACGTGCGGTATTCTTTACTAAGTGACTAGTATTTTAAAACTGTGAGAGATGTCTTTTTTTTTTTTTTAAGAGAGAGTGAGAGAGATAGAGGTACAGAGAGAGAGAATTTTTTAATATTTATTTTTTAGTATTTGGCGGACACAACATCTTTGTTTGTATGTGGTGCTGAGGATCGAACCCGGGCCGCACGCATGCCAGGCGAGCGCGCTACCGCTTGAGCCACATCCCAGCCCCTGAGAGATGTCTTATAAAAGTCTTGGGGACCAATTTCTCTTGGAAAGTGGGTGGTAGAGGGATCCATGGGCGGCCCTGTGAGATAGGACAAACCTTCTGTCACCGAGGCTCCCCACTCCTCCCACTTGAGCCAGCAGACCAAGCCTGTCACCCATCACGATTAGCTGTCTGGCCAGTACCTGTGGGCATTTGCTTTGCAGGCCCTGCTAGCGGAGCTGGGGCCGAGGGAGGTCAGCAGGGGCCGGAGCGCACAGGAAGGGATGAGGGAGAGCAATCCGTGTGCGGGAGGTGGTCTCAGGGTCGCTGCCTCTGGCTTGCCGGGACCGTCTCCAGGGGCAACGACCTTCCCGTAGCTGGAGGCCAATTCCTCCGGGTGGGGAGTGGTGGGATGGAGTTTCCAGAAGACTCGGGCCTCTTCTGTCCTCCTCCTTCCTTGGAGATGGCCTCCAGTCGGTGGCCTCCACCCTCCCTCCCAGAGCGGGGTCTCCCCCTGGGCTGTGTTGGAAGTCAGGGCTCCCTACCATGTGGAGACAGTGGCCGGCGCGGGGACTTCCCAGGCCTTACAAACACACTTAATGAGTTTTAATAATCATTAGGAATAATATTTATTCAGCCTGTCTCCAAGGGGACGGAGAGTCCGCTTTTATTATAACCATATTGTCGACCGTATGGAACGCGATGCATTGCAATGCGGTTATGTCAACGTGCCTTGGAGTTCCATGTTCTGAACTTGGCAGTGGAGGGAGGGGAGAGTGAGGAACTCCTCACCCCCCAGGCCAAGCAGCCCGCCTCTGGCCCTGGCCGCCCTGGGCACTGACACCTCAGCTTCCCAAGCTGCAGTGAGGTCAGAAGCGGGTGAACTGTTCCCTTCAACAGCAGATGGGGAGGCCCAGGGTTCCTGCTCTGGCCACACAGCATGTCCCAGCTCAGTGGAGGAGGCCAGCTCTCCCTCCCAAGGCCACATGAGGTATGGAGCAGGGGAGGCCAGGTCTAGCTGAGCAGAACTGGAATAGGAACTTTTTTTTTTTTTTTTGGTATAGAATCTGGCTTCGGGGCCTATTTTATGCTCAAATTGTTGTTTTACCCCGGGCCTTAGGGCTTTGGGTCACCTTCTGCTAAACCTCCTCTTGAGCTTCTCCTTCATCAAAGAAGGTACTGGATCAGCCTGATCGGTGGACAGATGCTTAGGTATTATTCAATTCAGTCCTCTAACTTAGGCAGATACAGAGGTAGGAGACTGCCCAGAGAGGGTCAGGACTTGCCCAAGGCTACACAGCCCATAAGAGGGTCAGACTCTCCACTGGGAAACCAGTGCGTTCCATCCCTCTCCCTGTGTTCTCTTGGGGCTCCGGGTCACATCAGGGCTTCACAGGTGAGTCAGGCCTCCTCCTTGGCCTCAGAGGAAGGGCTCCTTATTCACAGAATGTTCTGCTTTGGTATTGAGTCAAGTTGATGAGCCGCTTCCTCCTGCCCAGCGTCTCCTGTGGCCCCTCGTGGAAGCCAGTCAAGGAAAAGTTGCTGTTGCTGATCCCTGTCTGACGGGTGGGTGAGCTGGGGAGAGAGAGAGAGATGGAGGACCTGGCCGGGAGGCCCAGAAGGTTCCTGTGGGAGCTGGGAGCTCTGGTTCCTGCCCCTCTCCAAGGTCTTCCTGCCCCTCCCGTCCTGACCACCAAGGGCAGGAGGGAGGACATCAACCCGCCTCGGTGCCACCCTACTTTACACCCCGTGCTGCCCCTATCCTACCTGCCCCTTGTGCTCCAGGAGGGACCAAGAAGCTTCTAGAATCTTTGTCCACCGTGTGGCAGGTGGAAAAAAGCTCTCTCCTTCCCCCCAGATACCAGTGTCTCCTTTGAGCAGTGACGTGACCCCCCCCCATCTCTGTCCTCTCTCATCTTCTCCCCACCCCGGAGGGGGCCTTCAGGATCTAAGCAGCAGCAGGGTTTCCTTGTCCTGGCTCTGGGGACCCGCAGACCTGGGTTCAAGTCCCGGCTCCACCTCCTCCTACTGTGACTGGTCCACTCTGACCCTCGGTTTCTGTGGACTGCAGGATGATAGACAGCTTCCACGTGCTGTGTGGGAGGACAGCCTGGGGCCTGGCTGGGACGCCACCCAGGGAGCTGCAGCAGCGGGCAGCATGCGGGGCCATCTCAGCTTGTTTTGCAGAGTGACTGGGGAAGTTCCTCCCCCTCCCGGGCTCAGTCTCCCCTGGGGTGTGGGGTATTGGAGGAGCAGAGCCGGTGGGTGGCTAAGGGGAAATGTGCATAAGTGGGGTCTAGGTGGGGTGCAAGGCTGCTGGCCGAGGCCAGGCTGGGGTTCCCAGGGCCTGCAGGGGTGGTAGCGGATCTTCGAGGTGCTCTGTGGGAGCCCAGGAGGGGGAGGGGGAAAACCTGGGCCCAGGTGAGCTGTGGGGCAAGGGCAGTTCCCAGAGCTGCAGGGAAGCTCCCGGAAGCCCCACGGGCAGGGGGTGCCCTAGGGCCTCATTACCCACGGTCAGGCTGCTGGCATCTGAAGGCACTGGCTCTTATTGCAGTGTCCCCTGGGGAGCCTGGGCTGGGGCCTCATGGCAGAGGCTCTGTGACCATCCAAGAAACAAATGCACCCCTTCAAGGACCAGGTTGCCCCAACTCCTGGCCAGGCTCCTGGAGGCTACACAGAATCGCTTCCTGGGTGAGAGGCCGAGAGGGCGGTGGGAGCAGGCAGATTCAGAACAGCCTGGCCGGGAGCCGCCCGCTGGCTTAGCCGTCCATCCGGTCTTCGCCGTGTTGATGGAGAGGCTTCTAGGGGTCTGGCGCTGTGGCAGTCACGTCACCTGTCTGAGTCCCAGTTTCTGTCCATGTAAAACAGGGACACAGCATGACTTACCCTTCCAGGGTTCTGTGGCTTCAGTAAGAAGGGGTGTGGGGGCACCCAGCACCAGAACCTCCGCGCCCAGGGTCTGTCCGAGCTCCTGGACTTGTTTGCTGCTTCCTGCAACACCCCCACCCAAGGCCGCGGCCTCGGGTCCTCTTGGCGGCTCCTGGTGGGAAAGTGGGGATAGATCTTGAGAAACTTCCCCCCTGCAAGGGCCCCAGGAGGTGGGAGGGGTGGCTGCCTTCAGCCATCTTGGAGGCCTACTGTGTGCTGGGTGGTTTACTTGAGGAGCACTGGCTGCAGGCCAGGCGCAGGGCTACCCGCAGAGGTTAGGAGGCTGTTTACAGAGGTGCAGGCAGCTTGGGAGGAAGCTGGGTCCTACAGCATGTGGTCCTGACACCCAGGCCTGACCGTCCTGGGGGGAGGCCTTCTCCAGCCCTGGGAGAGCTGACACCTAGCCGCAGCAGAGCGCAGCAGGGAGAAATGACATGTCCCCTTCCCTGTGTCCGGACTTGCCTGGGTCTCCCATTGGCCCATCTGCTGGAGGCCAGGAGGCCAGGGCCAGCTGGTGGGGGGTTGGCTCGCAGGGTCAGAATGGATCCGAGGGCAAAGGGAGAACAACCCACATGCACACACAGGGCGCCATCCCCATTTCACAGCCGAGCAAATCGAGGCCCGGAGGCCCCGGGAGACGCAGGGACGCGCACGGGGCCTCTCAGTGCTGGATTCCTACTGAGAAACTTGGACCCAGCTGTTCTTGGGAATAACAGTAAACTCAGATGGTCTGAGAGGCTCTTGGAGACCTCCTGCCCACCCCGTCAGGGTACAGACGCAGAGCCGAGACGGAGAGGGTCACATGGCAGAGAGCACACCCAGGCCTGGACTCCGTCCCCGAATCCCAGGCCTGTAAACGGTCCCCTGGCCTGACAGCTGCCAGGGGAGGTGCCTGCCAGCACAGACTCGGCAAGGCCTGGCCGGCGGGCTGCTCAGCCGGACACAAGGGGGGACTTGTTCCGTGGGACGGGCTTCCCCAGGCCTGGCTGTGGGAGGCCAGGACCCTGGGGGAGGCCCGGAGGGGGCCATTTGCGTGCACCCGGAGAGCCCAGGCCTCCTCCCCCTCCCCCAGGCGGCCCGCAGCCCCCCGCTGTCCGCCCCCTCAGCCCTGGGCCCTCTCAGAGGCCCTGTTGTTTGCGGTGTGGAGTGGAAAATCCCACCCCGGCCCGTGAATCATCCGGAGCCACCCGCTCAGGCTTCAGGCCCTGGAAAGAAGCGGCAGCATGTTCCGCTGTGTGCAGAACAGGCAGGGGCTGGGCCAGGGCCGAGGGGCGCAGGGGGTGGGGTCCGCCCTCGCAGGCCGCGAACAAAGTGAGCACTAAGCGGGAGCGCTCGGGCCTGCGGACAGCTGTGGCCCTGGCCCTGGCTCTGGCGGTGGGTGGAGGGTTCAGCAGGCCCGCAGCTGGGGCTGGCGCTGTCATGTCGGGGAGCTGGGCTGTGAGCTGACATCACCAGGCTGGTCCCGGGTCCTGAGTGGCACTCGGAGTCTGCTCTGCAGATGTTGTGGGTGAGGTCAGACTCTAGCCTGGATGCCCCCATTTCTGGGGCAGAACAGATGCCAAGAGGGAGTGTCCAGGCCTTTGAGCTATGGCCGCCCCGTAGCCGGAACTGCCCCTTCCTCTCTCCTCTGGCCCTTGACCTTCTCCATGAGGTGGAAATGATTTGACTGTTTTTCTCCCTACCTGGCCCCCAGAGCTCATAAAGTGCCTGTGGTCTGGAAGGCTCTAGAATGTTCCTTTTCCAGATGAACACAGAGTGGGAGGGACCTAGCTAAGGCCACATACTTCATCAGAGACACACCTGATAGTGTTGCCCATGGTAGGAGAACAGGTCCAATGACCCCGGCTCTGCCTCTTGTTAGCTGTGTGACCTTAGACAAGTCACTTTGCTTCTCTGAGTCCCTCTCTGGTTTCTTATCCATTGAAAGGGTATTATATACTTCCAGCAATGCTTAGCTGTATCCCCCAGTGTTTTCTTTTATTTCTGGGTCATCTGGGAGAACTGGGCCAAGAACAGTCTTCTAAGGAGGGACATCTTTGGCTTTCTCTCCAAAACAGAGGCAGTAGCGGGGGAGGGGGGCACTTAAACTTTCGAGTGGGCCAGTTCCAGGAGCCTAACAGAAATAACTCATTTTCTGAGCTCTCCCTGCATGCCAGGCACCAGGATTAGCACGTTTTATAGATTATCTGCGGGTAGGTGCTACAACGATCCTCCTCTGACAGTTTGGGAAGCAAGCCTTGGAGACTGGAAGGAGCTTCCCCCAAACCACGCAGCTGGGAAGGGGTGCTGCCCAGCGTGAGCCTAGGACCCCCACACTGCACTCTGCTGCCCCCACCCAAGCCAGCTTGGGAGGACCGGAGGGTGGACTGGCCCGATCCCAAGCCCTTGGGACCCGCCTGGGTGTGGGACTAGAGACCGTCCTCCCAGCCCCGAGTGCCAGCTTGGCTGGAGGAACCCAGGGGTGCAGTGGCGGCTGGGACTCCTCGGAGATCGGGCAGCAGCTTTTCCTCCCTCCCCTGGGGCTCCTGCCCAGGGACCGCGGGGCCCTGGTGCCCGTATCTGCCTGTCTGGATCTCTCTGGGTTTTATTCATGGGCCGGCCAGCACGTGGTGCTCCCAGGCCAGGCCAGCCGGGCTGCCCAGCGTGAGATCGGGATTAATTACCATCAGAGCGGGCTGAGTTTTCAACGCGGCCCATTTTAACTCTGGGGAGGAAACCTGGAATCTCGCTGATGGTTATTTGAAACAAATGAATTCCCCAGGCCTCACACATCCTCGAAAGCCTGGCTTCCTTCGAAGGCTTCGGGCCCAGTTCATCACACCAGGCACTGCAGTTGATGCTCGTTTGCTCCTTGGGGTGGACGGGACAGTAGCGATTGGACCCATTTTAAAGGGGAACATTGGAGACTCAAGTGGTCGGGATTGCATAGAGTCCCTGGCTCTGAAAATCAGGAGTGGAAGGAAGCTGAGCCCAGGGCGTGCTGAGTCGGCTCACCTCCTCCCTCTCTGTGGGAATGGAAGGGAGGTGAGGGCCGGCAGGTGCGCATCTTAAATGCCCAACTTGCCTTTCTCTTGTGGGAAATGAGGAGCCATTACATGTCGTTGAGCAAGGGAGTGGCTTGGGAAAGGGAGTGAGGCTGTGTGGAGGACAGAGTGGAGGCAGGCAGGCCGCAGGCGCTGTTGCAGGGGCCACGGTGAAGGGTGGACATGGTGGGACACTCCAGTGACGGTATGTACCACACACCGCGCTAGACACGGACAGTCTCATCATCCTTGAAGCAGCCCATGTGGGGTGTGTGGTTCCTTCTCCAGGCACAGGCTGGTTACCATATTTCACCATAGACTCATTGCCACTGCGTTAGTACGTGTTCACGGGTATTCCACACATCCTCATCTTGCACCAAAGTTTAGTAGTAAACGATTTTTAAGTAATACTAGCACAAGCTTTAAATTGTTTTTGGTACCCGGGATTGAACCCAGGGGCACGTAACCACGGAGCCACATCCCCAGCCCTTTTTATTTTTTATTTTGAAATAAAGTCTCACTAAGTTGCCTAGAGCCTCACTAAATTGATGAGGCTGGCCTTGAACTTGCGATCCTCCTGCTTCAGCCTCCTGACTCACGGGGATTACAGGCATCATTGCACCCAACTAGAACAATTTTTTTTCCTTTGGAAAAAATGATTTTTTTTTTGCAAAATAAAGAAGAGCCATAAAATCTGCAACAACTCTGTGGTGATATGTGGTACTGTGCCTAACCTTGCTACTAGATGATGGGGGGGTTAAACCCTGTGTGTGTAAGCTCACTGTCTCTCCAGGGTGCAAGAATGCTTGGTGTGACCTTGGCCAAGTCCCTAGTCTGCTTTGGCTCTGCAGAGAACTTGGCTGAACTCTGAGGTTTCTTGCTGTTTTATTTAATCAAACATTTGGCTGAGTCCTGGGGAAGGAGAGATGACTCAGATCCCATTAGTTTTTTTTTGGTTTTTTTTTTGAGAAGACCATGATGTGGTGGGAGAAACGGGCTTCTCAGCAGATATTTCCTCAAGAAACATGGTGCTCTTTAAAGGGGAGGGGAGGGGACTTGGGGAAGGGGTTAGGGAAGCCCCTGGAGCCATCTGGGTGACAAGGAACAAGGGCTTCAAAGACGGGGAAGTCGTGGTGGCTTTTTCTGAAAGGCCTGGAAGACCCAGGAGTGTGAGTTCTTCAGGGCGGTGACCTCAGGGACCCTCCCCTTGGCCACAGGTTTCTATGCCCAGAGCTGATTGATGCCCTTCCTGGCTGCCACTTGGCCCTGTCTGACACTGTCTTCTTGCTTCTCTTCAGGGTCCCCCTGGGCTGCCTGGACTACCTGGACCTCCCGGCACACGGGGACCTCGGGTGAGTGATCACACGCTGTCCTTTGGATATCTGGGTGGCTCTCTGGCCTGCGTCTTCCTGCCCCCAGGTCCCAGCTTGCAGTGTCTCCTCGGGCTCTTCCTGTCCCTCTCCACCACACTTTCCACTGTGGGCATGGCGGGGGCAAGGGGCTCCTGGGGCTGCTCTGTGGACCAACACGGCATGGGACAGCAGTGACCGCTTTCAGGGCCTCAGCTGCCCACTGTGGGCCTCACCCCTTGCAGCCTGCGGTGGGGAAGGGGCTCCTGAAGACCATCTCCCTGAGCTGACGGGCTTCCGTATTTATTGGGGCAGATGTGACAGCTGTGTGTGTCTTCCCATTTTTCCAGGGCCATCCTGGGATAGGGATGTTGACACATCAACACGTCAACTGGATGTGCCCTGCCAGGGAGGGGCTGGGCTCCCCGTCCTGGGAGGGGGGTTGGAGGACAGCTGGGCTGAGCTGCGGGGCTGATATGAGCTGGCCCAAGCCTCAGAGTGACAACAGCACCTCTGCCTGGGCCCTGCATGTCATTTATGGTGCCTGTTTGACCCCCACCCGCAGCCCCGACCTTTGGTCACTCTCATCTTAGGGACCAGAAAACCAAACAGCATCTCTCCAATCCAGACCTGGAGTCTAGCCTCTTATTCGTGTTCTGGGACACTTGGAGGACCCTTAAGAGGGAAGCCTGCCCCTTTCTGAGGGACAGGGACCAATGGCATCGCGTCTGTGTCAGGCTGAATCAGCCTTTCCCACGCTGGGTGCCTGGTGAGGCCCTGGCAGAGGTAGCGGCCTGGGGCATATTTTTAGCGCTGGTTCTGGTTATGCAATTACTGGAGCCCTCGTTCCCTACAGACCTGGCCCTGTGCTGTCTGGGCCCAGGGCTCTGGAATCTGCTGTCTGAAGCCACATTTCCTCTTGGCTTTGGCACTTCCAGGAAGCACATGCCCAGAACTGAGGACACACAGGTGTCATGGGCCCTGCCAGCCGTAGGATCTCATAGTCTGGACCAGCATGAGGCCCCTTGACCTTGCCCTCTAGGCCCAGGCAGTCTGCCCCCATTCCCAAGCTCTCCGTGGGGCCTCCAGCCCCTCACCTCTGCTTGGATCCTCCTCTGTACCTGGCAGCCCTCCTTTGCAAGCGGCTCCTCCAGTTATGGCTGAGATCAAATGCCACCTCCTTTTCTGAAGACTGTCCCCTCCCCAGAGTTTCTGCAGCAATCTACCTGCCTCCCCGGATGACACGGATCATGCTCTAAAAACTCTCATTGACGCTGAGCTCTTTGCTTAGAGGCATGATCTCACTGCATCTTCCCGAGCCTTTGAGAAGTAGGTTCCAAGGTCATCCCGTCTGAGAAAACCAAGGCTTGAGAGCTTCAGCTGCTTTGAATGAAGTGAGAGTAAATGCCAGAGCCGGGTTGAGCCGGGCAGTCTGACCCAGGCAACGTTTTCTGTCTATTGGAGTGAGCTCCCAGGTTGGAGACAGGCCTTATTTTCCCCTCTGTCTTCCACGGTGCCCCAAGGGGGTGGGAGAGGGGCTGGGAAAATGGTTGGAAAGCCTTCCACTGTGGAAATCAAGAGCATTTTCTCCCAGAAGCTGTGGGATCTTAGGCCAATCCCATTGCTCTCTTTGGCCTCAGTTTCCCTGTGGGTGAAACCTGGGGTCACGGTAAGGCTTGCCCACAGTCCCGCCCAGCCGCAGGAGATGACCGTTGCTGTGCCTCTGGGCTCTGGCTGTCCACCCCCACCATCCTGTTTCTATGTTGGAAATTCCATAGATCAGAAAATTCCAAAGATAATAGAAAGCTGCCTTCAGCAACCCCAGGGCTGCCCTGCACAGACGGCAGGCCTGGGCCTCGGGAGGGACGGGGTCTTATCTGAGGTCACCTGCACCTTCCCATCTCCATGAACTCCCCCAGCCCTTCGAGGATGTGGGGGAATCCCTGAGCCCTCCCTGCACCCACTCTCTGGGCTGCGACATTTATAGAATCAGTCAGCTTGGCTTCCAGTCAACTATGGGCCTCGTCTCTCTGCAAGGCAGTGGCTGGAGAAGGCGGGGGCGGGGGGGGGGAGTGGGGCAGGGAAACAGGAAGCCCCCACCTTCGCAGGCTGCAGATGGGGCAGCTGAGAGCTCCAATCCCCCATCTGTGGGGCAGCTGGGGGCACAACTGAAGGGAGGCAGCCACCCCTGGCCCTGCAGGGCCCACCTCTGGTCCCTGGGAAGGGAGCTGGGTGTCAGGGAGCCTCCCCAACCACCCCCACCCAGCCTGAGCTCTGCAGCCAGACCCAGGATCCCCCTGGACTGAACACTGTAGATTTTCCAGATTCCTTAGCGACCTCCGGGACCCAGTCATTCCCGGGAGAGATGGGAGACTGAGGCTGGGGCCGGGAAGTCGCAGGCTGAGGACCAGGGCTTGCCCCATCCGTGTTCCATCTGTGCGCCAGGATTCGGTGTTTGGTGGACTGGCGGGAGGGGGTGGGAGGGCTGGTCATTGCAGGAGGGTCACACGTGGCAGTTAACCATTCCCCAGGCCGAGTGCACTCTGGACACTCTTCTTTCCTGAAGCCTTCAGAGAAGGGGAGGGTCCCAGTTCAGGCCTGAGGAAGAGGGAGGTGCCTCGGTTGGAATGTGACCGGCTGCAGCTGGGGAGCGGGCCTCAGAGAGGAGGGAAGACAGCGAGTCTGTACGGCCACCTCGATGCACCAAGAAGGGCTGGGGTGAGGGCCTGTGTCACCCAACCAGTGGGATCTGGGGACAGTAAACCCCTCCAGGTGCCCCTTCCCACCCCCACTGCCCCAGACTGTTCTTGCTGGGCAGAGATCCCTGGTGTCGCCTGACTCTGAGGGCTTGTGTGGCCTTGCTGGAGGAAAGCAGCCAGGCTCCTGCTGGAGAAAGTGGACAGGACAGGAACCAGCTGTCGGGGGGACGCAGAGCTGCCCGGGAAGCTCCAGTGCTACGAATAGCTGGATCTGAGCCTGCACACTCGGAACCCCACTCCCACAGGCTGCAGCTCTGCTCTGTAACCTTGACCGAAGCTCTTGGACTGTCTGGGTCCTGCTTCAGGGTCCCTGGAGGCCCTGCAGCCTCGGGGGAGCTCTGGCCTTGTGCTGTGGCCACAGCGATGAACCCTTGTCCCAAAGAGGTCAGGTGTACCCTCCGTGAGCTCTGAACCCCAAAACCCCATACAAAAGTCCAGTTGGAGTCCAAAGGGTGGAGAGGCCTCTTTAGGCTGGGGGAGGCCTTTGAACCAGGACTTGAAGGATGGGTCCAGTTCCGGTCAGAAAGGGTGGATGGGCAAGACGTGCGTGCCCCATGACGGGAAGGGTATGTCCAAGGTGGTGAGCAAAGCAGGACCGGGCATGTTGGAGAGAAGCAAATAGCTAAGTGTGGCGTGAGCTCGAGGAAACTGGGAAGGGCGGATGGGGCCAGGCCAAGAGGGTGTGGAGAGGCGGCAGAATCTGGAGGTTAAGGGCTTGCACTCAGAGTCAAGATCCAGCTCTGCCCAGTAGCAGCTGAGTGACCAAGACAGTTACAAACCTCTGTTAGCACTGACTTCCTCATCTCCAAAGTAATGCCGCACGCGTTAATTGGAGGAAAGGAGATAAGACCCGGGAGGTGCGCTTGCAGGGCCAGGCGCGGAGGAGCTCTCGTAAAAAGTGAGTAGCCACGGCCGCGTAGGCTTTAGCAGAAGATGCTTACTTACTGGTAGTCAGAAGGAAGGTCCCAGACATTGTTGGAGGTGGGACGGCTTCCTGTCTTCTCTCACCTTTTGTTTCTTTCCCCTTTCAGGGTCCCCCTGGGCCTTATGGCAACCCAGGCCTGCCCGGTCCTCCTGGAGCCAAAGTGAGTATTTCTGTGGGGCCTGGAGAGTGGCCATGGAGTGGGGGTCGGGGCTGGGACGGTGTTGGGGTGCTTCCTAAGGGCCTCTGGTGGAGGGGCTGCAGGGTCTTGCAGAGGATTCTCACCCAGGCCAGAGACACCCTGAGCCTTCCCAGTGCTGGCCTGGTACTTGTCTGGGTACCCAGTGAGACCACGAGCTTGGCTTCCGGCTGGGGGACAGGGAGGGGGTGAGGAATCAGCTGGGCCTGGGGCCTCCAGGGGCGCGGGCAGAGAGGCAGAGCTGTGAGCGACGCAGGTTTCACGGGGTATGAGACACACTCTGGGGGGACGTGTCTGTTTTGGAGCTGGGGAGGGTGTATAAACATTGTGCTTTGGAAAGATCGCCGGATGCCATGTGAGGGTGGCCGGGGTGACATGGGGGAGAGGTGGGATTGAGAGGATGCTGGTGGGCAGGTGGAGAAAGGGGTGCCTTCCTAGTATTGGCCTGAGTGACTGAATCTGGAACCCAGCAGAAGCACCGAGATGATGTTGCATCCTGGAACCTGTCATCCAGCCAGCCAGGGGTCACTCATGGAAAGGCATTCTGGAACTCACTCGGGAGATGGAGCCAGGGTAGGGGGATGGGTTGGCAGAAGTGCCACCTCCCTCAGGGAGCCTTCCTAGAATACTCTGGTTTGTTTTTAGTGAGACCTTAGTGGCTGGGGCTCTTAGGATACAGGAAACCCTGGCTACTGACCTCTGGCCTGTTCCTAGAGCTTGGGCAGGGGTCGTGTTGTCCAGGCGGCGTATGGAGTGAGCAGCTCGGAGTGCTAAGAGAGATGGATGGGAACAGCTCGGTCACGGGAAGAGAAGTCTCAGGAATGGCAGGAGATGTGGGAGGTGGGGAGAAGATGCAGAGTCTTGAAGTTCAGAGAACAGCATCTGTGCTGAGGGAGGGGCCCGGGCGCCAGGCCAGGAAGAGCGGCGGGGCTCTGCTCAGGGGCCTGTGGGCCCGCCTGTGTCCACCGTGGCGCGACCAGGTGAAGTGCGCCCCTGGGCTTTGGTTGGCCCAGGCCCGAGGTCCTGCTTTGCTAATGCAACTAACTGCAGAGGTCAGAGAGAGCCTTTAACTGGCCCCAGGAGGGCGAGCCCCTGAGCATCCTCCCAGGCTGCGCTCTCCCGCCTCGGAGCAGGCGCCTCCGCCCATCAGCTTGTCTGCTGTGGACAAAGCCACAGATAAGTAGCCCTGGATGCTCGGATCCATGCCGCCTGCATCCTGGGCAGAGCCCTTGTCCAGAGCTGCCTTGGGGGCAGCAGGCTTGGTCCCTGTTGGTCTGTGACTCTGGCCAGGCTGGGCTGAGACCCCTCCTTAGAAGGTGAGTGATGGGGCTCTCAGCTGTCCTGTGTCCAGCGGCTGTCTGGGGAGCTCTGGGTTCCAATAAGGCAAACAGCAATGATGACCCCCAAACACCATCCACCGAAGCCTTACTGTGTGCCGAACTGGGCCCACACTCCACCTGGCTTGTCCCATTTGATCCCCCACAAAGACCCAGAGATGAGTGTGAGGTCCTGTACCTATTTATAGATGGGGAAGCTGAGACCCAGACAGATTAAAGCCCTGTCTAGACTGGGCACGGTGGTGTATGCCTGTAATCCCAGCGATTGGGGAGGCTGAGGCAGGAGGATCAAGAGTTCAAAGCCAGCCTCAGCCACTTAGCAAGGCCCTAAGCAACTCAGAGAGACCCTGTCTCTCAAAAAAATACAAAAAAGGGCTGGGGATGTGGCTCAGTGGTTAAGCTCCCCTGGTTCTATCCTAGTACCAAAAAACAACAACAAAACCCTGTCCAGGAACCTGTCCCCGTGGGTCAGGGGAAAAGACGGGAGAGAGAGGGGAGACGTCTGCTTCCCTGAGGTCATGGGTGTCTCAACATGCTGACGGTCAGCAGCTGTTTAAATTGCTGTTCTGTGTGGGGCTGCTCCCCCTGCTTCCAGCCTGACCCTTTGCTTTTGACCCTGACCCTGGCAGCCGACGTCCCGTCTGCTCCTCCCTCTGGCCAACCTCTGAGCACTGCAGGCCTCAGCGCCAGGCTCGCAGCAGCCCACTGCAGCCTGCTAACAGACGTGCCACGGCAGGAAGGGGCCTGCCGGCAGCTTGTTCTCCACTGGAGAAGAAGCTCTGAGTGTGGCCACTGAGGCTGGTCCCTAGCAGGTGAGCACTGCTACCGCCTGGAGCTGGGACCTGTGGACTTAGACTCAGGGACAGGACTCCAGCCTCATTGGCTGAGCCCCAAGGTCATTCCTTGCTAACTCAATTGCAAAGGTCAAGTGGCTTCATGCAAGCCATTGATTGACTGTCCCCAGGCCATAGAGAGAGTGAGTGTCCGGCAATATGTGTGTCACAGAAGAGTTTCAGAGAATGCACTGGAATCAGTTGCTATTTCTCCCACGGGGACTTGCATGAAATGCCAAGTGGATGTAAGTAAGGGTCATACCCTTGCCTGGACACTTGACCCTGAGCCCTGGAGCAAGCAGAGGTGGCCCCAGGCCAGACCAGGGTGGGAGACCCAGGCTGTCCTTGATCTCAAGGTGGCATGACTAGGATAGGTTAAAGCAGAGGGTCTCCCTGGATGGAATGGTGGCTTGGCCGAGGATGAATGAGTGTTACGTATCTGTATGGGTGGGATTCTGCCGAGGGTCCTTGTTATTCACCAGAGCCTTTGGGCGGTGACCTGGTGGGGCTGTAGAGCTGGCCTGCCCAAGGCCCGGCGCTTTCTGTATGCTGTCTGCTTCCAGAGCTGCCTCTGGACCACCCTTCCATCTATCCTTCATTGAACACCTACTAGGTGCTGTGGACACAGAAATCAACCAAACAGGCAGGGCTGCCACCAGAGCGGCCCTTCATCTGACTTGGCCACAGTGCAGTCACTTTTAGCAAGGTCTCTGCCTTTAAGACCAATCCCCTTGTGGGCTGAAGGTGCCCTGCCAGCCTCAAGCGGGGAGAGGTAGGTAGGTTGAGGAAAGATAGGGGATCTTGTGCTCTAGAGGTTGGGAGGAATGAAGGGTCAAAGGCTGAGGTTCCCTCTGGGGTCACTGTCTTGGCAGTGGCTGAGGGCTGAGTCGGCCCCGCTGGGGGTTTGCCTGGGAAGGAGCTGTGTTGGGCTCCACAGCTAAACCCATCAGGCTGGGCTCCCACCGCATCTGCCCCCTGCAGAGCCCAGGCTGTGCCCGGGTGCCACAAACCCACACCTGCCCTGTTCCTGTCCAGTGACGGGAGGGCTCACCAGCTTCTTCCTGGAGCTGAGTTCAGGGACCCCAAGTGTGAAGTAGAGACACTGGCCCCTGGGATGGCCGTGGTGGCTGACCCCAGGGGCTCAGGGTGAGTCCCTGGGTGGATGCACTTCTTCCATTGGCACAGAGCTGTCCCTTCAGGAAAGAACAGTGGTTAAGAGCACAGACCCTGGAGACCCATGGGCCAAGTTCAGATCCCAGCTCTGTCACCTCCGAGTTCTATGACTGGGTGAATCGTGTGAATTTCCCTTGCCTCGTGTCCTCGAGAGCAGCTGCCGTGTCGGGTTGTCCTGAGGAGTGTCTCAGCCATCTGTGGTACAGCAGGGCTGGCCCAGGGGTCAGCCGTTGGCCTGTGCCTGGTTCTTCAAGGACGCAGACAGGCCTGGTCCCTGCCTTAGTGGACCGCAGAGGCAAACAGGAAGGAGAACAAGCCAATCACATCAATGAATGGAGAAGACCCCGTGGTTAGGGGCTGGGGCTCCTGGAGAGGCCCAGGCTGCCCCGGGAATGATCTGACCTAGGAGGTGAGGGCCTCCTCCCGGAGAACGGGAAGGTTGAACCACGCTCTCAAGGGCAGTGGGTGACCAGGGAAAAGGACAGGCCAGGGAGGGCTGCCGGCCTGGTAGGTTGTTGGACTTTATCCCAGGAGCAGCAGGAAGCTATGGGAAGGATTTGGCAGAGGGACGTGATCTGGGGAGGTGTGAGAGGGCCGTGCAGGCTGTCCAGGAAGCACAGCTTGGCCTGCGCTACCCTGGTGGGGTGCTGATGCTGGACCGCAGTCTAGGGGGACTCACAAGGGTCCTTGTGCAGGGGCGGAGTGGGCGGGGCCAGGAGTGGGCGGAGCTTCCATGGGGAGGGGCAGTAGTGCTTTGGCTCTCTGGCAGCTGCTGCCCTGTCCCTGGTCTGGCTCAGTGTTCTGCCCTGAATTGGCCAGAATTACTCTGGGCTCAGGGCACCAGGGAAGTTAAAGTGACAGGGGGCAGGACTTGGTGACCAGGTGGCTACTGGCTGAGCTGGTGGGAGTGGGTGGAGGCAGCTTTACGCCTTCTCAGGCCTTGGGGCCTCTCCCCTTCCTCTGATGACCGAGGTAGGTCACGCCATTAAGGCCCGTGTGGAAGAGTCTGGAAGGAATGGAGAGGAAAGTAACCCTTCCCCTGTGGCCCTGCCCATGAGAAGCACCGGGGACATCTTGAGCAGCTTTGGCCAGGCGCTGCTGGAGAATGTCACACACTTTGTAGGGCAGATGTTATCGCCCCATTTTATGGGTGAGGAAACTAAGGTTCCAAGTGTCTAGGTAACTTGCCCAGGGTTACATTTTTAGTAGGTGACAAAGCCAGCAACCCAGCATCTGCTGCTGGCTCTAGGACATGAGTCACAAGGCAACTCAGCCTCCGGCTGCTGGGCTCTCCTGGCTCCTCCAAGTGACCGTGAACCCGCTGCGCCCGGCTGGGCCTGGCCTTCCCCATTTGACATTCACCAGGAGCCTTCCCGCTTACTAAATTGGCTTCTCCCTCATGTGCTTTGATGGTTTGTGGCCTGGCCAACATCAATATCCCTTGTTGTCTTTAACTGATCTCCTTTTTTATAAATTCTTTTTATTAATATACAAGTAACTTTTTTTTTAATAAGTAACATCTTGAAGAACATTATTATATATGAATGTGGACTCTCTGATTATTTCATCAGGATAAATTCATAATAATAACATTGCTAGCGTGGTCCCAAGAGCCAGAGTGTCTGAGTTTGAATCCTGGCTCCATCCCTTGCTGGGTGGATGACTCTGGGCAAGGTACTTAAACATGTAGGCCCTCGGTTTCCTCATCTGTAAAATGGGGATAATAACAGTTCATACCTTATAACATGGTTCTGAGGATTCGGCCATGGGGAGGGATGGGGGTATCTTTATATACATTAAGACATATATACACACAAACACACACATGTGAATGATTTATAACATGCCTTCCACCTAATGTCTATACAAACATGCAACAGTTAGTTCATTAGCAGCTACCTTCTAGAAAGGCTGAACCAATTCATGCTGCTGCTAACATTAAAAGAAGATAATTCAGTATTATTTCCATTTCACTGATCATCTATGGTGAATGTGTTTCTTATGTCTATTTTCATTTGTATTTTACCATTTATGCATTGGCATATTTGGAGAATTGGGATGTTGTCATTTGTTATCAACTTGTAAAATTCATCCATAGGTTATTAAATTTTCACCTACTCTACAAAAATTTGTTGTTTCCCTTTGAAGAGTATTCATGATGATTTTCACAAATGGAAGTATTATCCCTTTTTTTTTTGAACTAACAATAATAGCTAACACTTATTAGGAACTTATCATATGTCAGCTGATTTGCAGAGGGACCTACCAATAGGTAAAGTTTAAAATTCTTTACTTTTTTGCTTTTGGTGCTGGGGATGGAACCCCTGTACATGCTAAGCGTGTGCTCTGTCTCTGAGCTACACCCCCAACCCTACTTTGTTTTTATGCTTGGAAATTTCTTTTTCATCTGAAGATCAGATAAGTATTCACTTTTATTCCTAGTTATTTCACAATATCATTTATATTAAAAATTTCAAACCATCTGGAATTAATCTCAGTGGGGGGTATGAGGCAGGGCTCTAACATTGTTTTCCTGTAATAGTTAACCCTTTAGTAATCAACCTTTGCTCTTCTGATTTTTATGTGATAGACAAGTATCTACTTCCGGTCACTCTATTATGTTCCATTGCTCTGCTTGTATATTTGTATGTTAACAAAATAATATTTTATTTGACATTTACTATCTTTGTACTGTATGTATGCCTTAACTTCTTTTAAAATAATTCTGCCATATGAACTTTACGGCCATCTTAATTTCCTTTAAAAAAATCCCTCTTGGGATTTTTATTGGAATTATATTAAATTTATAAATGTATTAATTTATGAATTAACATCTTTAAAATGTTAGCTTTTTCTATCTACACACATGGCTTGTCCTTCCATTTGGTTCACTTTGTTAAACATCTCTTAGTAAACTTTTATGGTTTTTATTGCATAATCTCTGCACATTTCTTTTTAAGTTTGTACTTAGAAACTTTATGTTTCTTCTGCTGTTATTATTGGACTATTCTTCCCCATTATATTTTCTAGCTGGTTCTCAGCTATTGAAGATAAATCCTGATTTTTGTGTTTGTACTTTTTGTGTTTAATCTATGACCATCCCCTTCACTGAATTATCTTATAAGTTCTACTGGCATTTCAGTCAGGCCTCCTGAATATTCTGGACAGGCACTTAATGTAGTTTGTAAAGGACATACCTTTTTTCTCCTTCCCCTTAAAGAATGGTAGATCTTAATTTTTTATTTTCTTTCCTTTTTGAATTTTTTTAAGTCGTTGATAGACATTTATTTATTTATTTGCTGTGCTGAGAATCCAACCCAGTGCCTCACACATGCCAGGAAAGTGTGCTACTGCTGAGCCCCAGCCCCAGCCCATCTTATTTGTTTTTCATGCCTTATTGCATTGGCCAGAATTCCTAAACTCATGAAATACTAGTAGAAATAGTGGGACTCTACAGAGGAAGTTCTAGGATTGGATCAGATTTGACTCAATCCCATCCCTACTGCCATCTCCTGAGACTCCCATTTGCTCATTTGCTTGTTCATGAACAATTTTAGGGTGCTTCTTCTGAGCCAGGTCCTGTGCCAGGTACTTGAGATCATAGATGACTTATACAGGAGGCTTCAATCCCAGAATTTCCAATCTTTTGTTATTTATTCCTCCTTTGTCTCGGCCCCTCTCTGGGCCACGGCCACCTGGAGACTTCTATTCTTTCATCTCCCCACTATACTTGCAGGAAAGGAGCTTGGCACAGTTCCCATGGCCTTCTGGTCCCATAAACTCTGTGAAGAAGTCCACCATTCCCCATGCAGAGAGGGAAAGTGACTTGGTAGAGGTCTCATGGACTTGCTGGCTGCAGAGATGCATCTGGTGACCAGATTGTCATCCTCACCAAGGTGTAAATGACTCATTAGACTTTATATATGCTTCAATCAATCACTGAGGCATTTGTAGGAGGGTGGCTGGGAAGGCGTGTAGTTTTCTCTGTCCTAGAAGCCACCCTTCCCCTGACCGGAGGTACCTTGAGCATCCCTGAGCATCCCTTCGCCTGGCTGGCTCTTCTTTGTCTTCTCCAGCCTCAGCTGAGCCATGAGTCCCTGCAGGAACTCACCACACCAGGGGCCAGCTGTCCCAGCCTCCTGTCTGCCCGATGGATGGTTGTGGCTTTTCACCACAACGTGCTGAAGTGTAAAGAGCTGGGCTCTGGAACCACCCTCCTGCATCGAGATCCCACATGTTCATCGTCTGGCCTCAGACAAATGATGGGCCTTGCTCTGCCTTGGTTTCCCCTTCTGTACTAGGCGGGTAGTGACAGTTCCTGCCTCTGAGCTGCGAGAACTGAATGAGTTAATACACGGCAGGGCTTAGAAGACGGCTCAACAAATGCCAGTGCTCCTGTCATTACTGGTCTGTCTGCTTTCTCCCTGGAGAGTCTCCATGGGCACGAGCTTGTTTGTCCTGTGTCACGGCAGTCCCTGGGTAAACCCCCAGGCTTGGCTTGCAGTCGATGTTCCATAAATATCTGTTCTCGTTGATGCCCGGGCTGGGATCACACCTCAAGTTCTGTACCAGCTGCAGAGAACGCAGGGGGAAACCCTGAAGAGCCAAGGGCCCAGGGCCAGGGAGCAAGTCTGTCATCTCTTTGGGTCTCAGTGTCCCCTGAGTAGGATACATGAAGAGCCCCCTGTGAACTGTCTAGCCCAGCTTCCCTCCCAGCTGCAGGCTGAGGTGGGCTGGGCAGGGTGAGGGAAGCTGCAGTCCTTTTTTGGCCATGGGAATCCTGCGAGCCCTGGGCCTGGCCTCGCAGGGTGGACATAAAAGGCGTGTGGCCCGGCTCCTGAGCTACTGAGGGGGCCTTTGTGAGCGGCTGCAAGGCAGGTAGATCCTGACGGGTTCTGCAGAGTCGACCTGGTGGGCCCAGGTAGACCGAGTTCTGGGGCCTAGCCAGCAGGCTGGCCGTCAGCCCGGAGCGGTTGAGGGCTGGAGCTGTGGAGGGCAGGGCGGTGTGTGGAGAAATATCCAGCCCTGTCGCTGGCCGTCCCTCCGACCTGCAGGCTCAGCCGTGGCTGACGCGCTTCTCCAGACCCCCCGAACAGGCGGTGGATGCAGACTGCATGCCTAGCACTGTCTGCACACAGTCGGTGAGCAGCGGAAGGCTGTTCCCGTCGCTCTGGGAGGCTCTTTGCAGTTCAGAAAGTGACAATTTCCTGGGAGAGTGACACAGTCTGGATTTGGAAGGTCTGAGTTCTGACGAAGTAAAGAATCCAATGGGAATTAAGTAGAGTTGGCCCAGCTGCCTTCCCCTGGGTGGTGGCCCTTGCCACCTGGGTGTCTTCCTAGGGACCTGGGAAGTGTATGGGTGTGTGTGGGAGGCGCCTAGCCCCCATCCAAAAGACGAGGAAACTGAGGCTGAGAGAGGTGAGGAGCTTTGCCCAGGGTTCCACCGTGAGTCCATGGCAGGTCCAGGCCTTCGTCCCAGGACTTGGGACTCTGGGACCAGCCGAGGCAAAGAGAAGCTTGGAATGAGGGGATGAGGGGTAAGGGGACAGGGATTGGGAGCTCCTAGAAGTGGCATAGGGTGGGTCGACTTTCCAAGGGCAGCTTCCTGAGTCATTTAATCAGGATTGACCAACGAGGAGCTGCAGGCAGGAGCGCTTTTGGGGGCACCTTGAGTGACGCAGCTGAACTTGGGCCCTCGCCCTGGGCCCCAGCCTCCCCGGGTCCTTAGGAGGACCGCACACTAGGCACAGCGTGCCTACCTCTGACGGGGACCCGCTGCTTGTCCGTTTCCCCCCAGCTCATGGCCTACTCCAACTCATGGGGTCCAGGACCTCCCAGAACACAGGTCTGGGGTCCCAGGTGCAGGGTTGAGTCTCAGTCCTGCCTCATCCCGGGGCTTCAGGTGGCTCTTCCTCCTCAGATGTGTCCCAGGGTGGTGACTCTTCAGTTGCCTGCTTCGTCAGGCCGAGCTGCCCACCTAGGGAGCCACCTGTGCAGATGTAACTCAGTGGCTGGGAAATTGAGAAGAACCTACGTGCCTCTTGGCCACGACTCTCAGAAGCCCCGGGAGCCTCAGGGGCTGGGCAGGAAACTGTCCCAGCCACATGCACGACAGACCGGTCACCTGTATGTGGCCCCGAGCTCTGTGGTGGGGAGGGCACACTGCAGCGTGTGCTGAGGAACATGACTGTCGATGGGACTGGTTTCCTATGAGGGTGACAGCCTGGGCCTGGCAGCTGGCAGGACGGAGCTGGAGACTGTGTCCTGGGAATAGACCAGGGACCCTCCCTGTGGGCCTGGTGGTATTAGGAGAGCAAGGATCGGACCAGGTTATGAAAAATCCGGATGCTGGGAGGAGGAGTTGGGACTTTGCATGTGCAGCCAGTGGGAGTGATGAAGGCGCGGGGGCAGGGGAGTAGTGGAATGCAGGAGGCCCTTTGGGGTGTGAGTGGGGAGATGGATGGGGACCCGTTGAAGCCATCGAAGAGTCTTTGGGAGACATTCTCTCCAAATGACTTGGTGGCCAAAGTAGAATTGTTTCTGTTTCAGGGACAGAAAGGGGACCCAGGGCTCTCACCAGGAAAGGCCCTCGATGGGGCAAAGGTAGGTCCCAGGGACCCCAGTGCTAAGGGAAGAGGGGTGGACCGTAGTGAAACCGCTGTCCCCAGTGGGGACTGTCCTGGCAGAGACCATTCTTGACGAAGGCCAGGGGGTGGCAGGGTCTAGGAACATGGGTGTGGTTTGGAGTCCCCTTGAAGCCCAGTTTTTCCCAATCCTGGGCCCATAGCCACTCCCGTGCCTGCTGCTAGGGTTCACCCTGAAAAACAGAAAAGACTGCCCGGGACACACGTGTGGGGCTCTCTGCAGGACCTGCCAGGTGATCCTGGCATCTAGAACTTTCCTGGCAGCCCAGGCCCAGGAAGCTCCTAGCACACATTCCAAGCCCCTGAGGCTGTTCACACGAGCGGACGGGCCTGTGGTTTCTGGGGGTGGAGGGGCCTGGCTAAGCCCCCGGAGCTCCCACGTTGCCAAGTTTACTTTCAGGGCAGCAGCGCTGTGAGCAGAGGACGGCATCTTCCCGGGGTTCTGCAGGCAGAGAGCACAGGATGGGTGGGGAGAGGGAGCCCCGAGCTCTGGCTGAGGCCCTCCGAGCCTCATTCCGCTCGGGCCTGCCCTGCTTCCCTCCAGACGGGGTCCAAGAGCCACCTGACATCCAGGGCCCCCGCTGTGCTTCAGCTCGGGACTGATACAGCTCAGCGCTGCACGTCCTCACTGCCAAGGCCTCTTCTTCTGGGAGACCTGGGGTCCAGGATGGTGTCCACATATACTCCCATCTGTCCTCCTTACAATCTTCTAAGCCCGGACAGGTGGGCCCAGATTGCAGATGAGAAAACAGAGGCTCTACATGGGGCTCCCTGGGACCACGCAGCTGGTAAATGGCGGAATGGGATTGGTACCCAGGGGCCTGGGCTTCTCTCCTGCCCCTGTGTGGCCGCTCTCAGGTCTCTCGGTGGTAGTAGAAATGCCCCCTGCTTGGCAGCCATCACGCCCCACCCCGGGTAGACGTCTCTGGAGCAGGACTGGGAGCTCACTGATGCAGGGTGTGGTTTTCAACCAGGTTCTAGGTTCGAACCCACTCCCCAGAGGGTATTTTCTGTCGAGGCCCAGTTCTTATGAGGATTCATGGAGCTGATGAGTCGAGGGGGAGCTGGGAACTCTGTTCTTCTGTGCTCACCCTGCTCGGTGGCCCTGGGTCTCCTCTGAGGCCCCCAGGAGCCTCCACAGCTGGAGACAACCAGCCTTGGAGGTCACACTCAAGTGCAGAGTGTCGCACTCCCACCCCACCTCACCCCCTTGTCTGTGTCTTGCAGGGCGACATGGGCTTGCCTGGATTCTCCGGCAATCCAGGACCTCTGGGACGAAAGGTACGCCTTGGCACTGGGCTTGCTGGTGAGCTGGGGCTGCAGGCAGCGCGCTGTGGGTCTCCTGCTCTCCCTGGATCCCGCCCGGCTCCCTGGGGCACAGGGCACACTGCGGGGAAAGTGAGCGAGATTTCTGAGGGTCTTGTCGCTGGGAGGAGGGGGCCCTTGTGTGGGCTGGGTCATTCCACCATGGTCAATGAGGTGTGACAAGAACTGTCCCTGGTTTTCTGTGCTTCCTCCTTGGGGTTTGGCTACTCCCAGGAAGGCCACCCTGGAGGATGCTTGAGGGAGCTGGGGACATGTGTGGGCTCTGGCTCTTCTGTCCACTGGCCGAGTGGCCTGGGCCCGTGCGTCCCTTGTTTTACTAGAAATAGAGGCAGGGACAGTGGTTTCCCTCTTGAGCCCCCAGGGCCTGGGGATCTGGGTCCTAGGAGCAAGGCCAGGAGCAGAGAGCTTGGGGGTGGGCTCTGTGGTCTCCTCTCCCTGGGCCAGTTCCTAGCTGGGTGACCTTGGGCAGGAAAACCCCCCATTATTGACGAGTTGACGAGAAGACACAGGGGCCTTGGCCATATCTTGAGCTTTTGCCCTGGCTCCTGGCTTTGGCTGCAGCTACCCTATCCCTGGGCCTTCTGGTCCTCATCTGGGCAGCTGTTGCGACTGTAGCTCCAACCTGTCCTTGCTGTGAGGGTCCCCATGGCACAAGAGGTCCTGGGGGATTGCAGCCCCCTCCCCTTCCCCTCCACTTTCCACGGCCACAGCAGGCCGTGCCTCACATCTCAGGCCAGCACTGGACAGAGGGCCGTGGCAGTCTGCATGCTAGGAGGTGTTGCCTTTCCTGGCTCAGGGAACACTGGGGTGCTCTTGCTCCCCACTTGCTTCCCTCTGGCTCCGGCACTTTCTGATGGATGAGGTGTGAGTGGAAAAGACTCCTTCCCATCCCGGCTCATAAAGCAGCCTGCGATGGGCTCGCTCTGCATGGGATGGACGTCTGGCCAAGGTGGCCGGAGATGGGAAGAACAGACTCGGGCCAGCTCCTCCAGGGGACCCGGGGCTCCCTGCTCTCAGCACGTGTCCTCAGAGGCCATGAGCCCCAGCCCAGAGGACCCCACTCCTGAGCAGGGAGAGGCACCCCTTGTAAGGTGAGGGAGAGCCTCGTGTGGCTGCAAACCACTTGGCAAAGCCACTGTCTCTGAGTTCCCCTCTGGCCCTGGCCCAGGCAAACACACAGGAGTTTGGTCCTGTGACAGGCTGGTGTCACCCACCCACAGAGGGAACAAGCAGAGCCTGACCAGTGGCGGAGTCCAGCAGGAGGGCCGCAGCAGTCTCTTCCCCACACGTGTCCAGTGACCGCTGTGGCCACTCTGCCCTACCCTGGCTTTTCTTGTCATCTCTGTGGGAGCCCTGGGGAGCAGGGGACACGAGGGAGGGTGAGGTCAGCATCCCATGATCTCCAGAGCACTGAGGTTTTTTTAAACATTTTCATTTTTTCTAATTAGTTATCCACGACAGCAGAATGCATTTCTTTTCATTGTGCACAAATGGAGCACGGCTTTTCATTTCTCTGGTTGTACACGATGCAGAGTCGCACCATTTGTGCAGTCATACGTGGACCCGGGGTAATGATGTCGGTCTCATTCCACCATCTTTCCTGCCCCTATGCCCCCTCGCCTCCCCCCTCCCATTAGCCAATCCAAAGTTCCTCCCTTCTTCCCTTGCCCACCCCCATTAAGGATCAGCATCCACATATCAGAGAGAACATGTGACCCTCGGTTTTTTGGGACTGGCTAACTTCACTCAGCATGATATTCTCCAACTCCCTCCATTTACCTGCAAATGCCATAATTTTATTCTTTTTTAATGCTGAGTGATATTTCATTGTGTATATATGCCATGTTTTCTTTATCCATTTATCTATTGAAGGGCATCTAGGTTGGTTCCACAGATTAGCTACTGTGAATTGAGCTGCTATAAAGGTTGACGTGGCTGTGTCCCTATATTATGCTGATGTTAAGTCCGTGGGGGGTAGACTGAGGAGTGGGACAGCTGGGTCAAATGGTGGTTCCATTCCACGTTTTCTAAGGACTCTCCATCCTGCTTTCCAGAGTGGCTGCACTGTTTTGCAGTGGAGGGCATTGAATTTTGGTGTCACTCCAAGCTGACACCATAATCCCATTCGCTCGTTTATTTATTCATTTGATGAGAACGTACTGACTCCTAACGGGGCACTGAACCAAACGAACAGACCTAACCCCCTGCCTCCGGGAGCTCGCATCAAAAAAGGGAAAAGAGCGAAAATACAAGGTGCCCCAGGAGACGGGAAGGGCCGTGGAGGAAGTGGCAGGAGGAGGCAGCGTGGGTCGGGGGTCCCCTGGTAAGTGGGTGGCCTTGGGGGCTGCAGAGAGGGTGAAGGGCCTCTCAGTGTTCCTCCACCACAGCCCCAGGGTTAGGCAGGATTCTGCCCGTTTTCAGCTGAGAAGACTGAGGTCCAGAAAGGTCTCGTTCACTCACCCGCTCGCTCATTCTTCCCATCAGTCGGTAAATATGTCCCTGTGTTCTAGGCTCTGAGCAGAGACTGGTGACAAGCGAGGCCGTCCCAGGGCCCCGGGGGGGGGGTGCCCTGTACAGGGGCAGCTCCCCACCCTGGGCACCTTAGGCCTGGATTGTGGGCGGCAGCCAGGCCTGGGCCACTCTCAGAACCCTCGGGCGAGTCTCACGCGCAGCCTGGGTTGAGGCCACCAGGCTCCGGGAAATGCCTTCCCCAGGGTCACTGGGCACCAGGAGGGAACTGAACCCAGGTCTGCTCTGACCCCCAGGCCCTTTCTCGCAGCACAAGTTTGATGGAAATGGTGCCTCCATCAAGATGGGGTCCAGCTGGGCTGGGGTGGAATCCCGGCTCTGTCCCTCTGTGGCCTCCCTCGCTGAGCCTCAGTCGTCCTGTGGGATGGGAGGGTTAGATGAGATGTTATGTCCCCAGAGCCCGGCACTTGGCTGACACGGGTGGGCAGTTCATCCGTGTCTGTGATGAAGGAAGGAGGCTGACGATTGCCCGTCTGGTACCCTTGGTCATCTTTCCAGTTAGCACTTAACCACCCAGCCCCAGCCAGAGGGCTCTGGGAACCCCGTTTCCACCTCCCAGGGGTCTCTGATCTAACCCTGTTGCCCTCTTTCCTGGAGACCAGTGGATCTTGACTGGTGGTGATTCTGCCCCCCAGGAACAGTTAGTGGAGGTGGGGGCAGAAGGATGGTAGGATGCGATTCAGAGAGGGTGACTGCCCGTGCCAAGTCACACAGCCTAGGGCACCAGGCTCAGCTCAGTGCTTCCTGGAAGGGGTGGGGGTGCTACTAGCTTCTAATAAGTAAAAGCAAGAGAAACTCCTTAGACAGCTGGTACCCAGGAGGGCACGTGCAGCCGGAGATGGCAAGGCTAAGAAGCCCTACTGGGCAGGACCCTCGCTTCCCACCACCGCCCCTCGTCCCGGGTCCTGGACCTTCCTGCCTCCCGGCCCTGCTCTGCCTGCTGCCCCTGGCATGCCTGTCTCCAACCCTCTCTTCCCTATCTGTCCCTTACTTCTGTCCAGTGCCAGCTTCCCCAAGAGCAGCTCCTCAGCACCCCCAGACTGTAGGAACGGCCCCTCTGACCCTCCAGACTGCGTGAACCTCTTTGGGACTCTGCCTGCTGACAACTCTCTGGTGTCCTCAGCACATTTCTCAACTGGGGCAAGAACACCCCTGTGCACCTTTGTGTCCCGGTTGGGCTGAGCACAGTGCAGGCCCGTGTTCCTGCTCCCTCCCTCCCCGTGCCCGCGCCGAGCTCACCAAGTGGTCCTCCTTGACGGGCTCTGACCCAACCTCAGACTCTTTCTTAACCCATGGTCCCAGGTAGATGGGACCAGTGACACGTGGCTAATGGGTCTTCAGGTTGAAATGTCCTTGCTGTCTTTCCAGCCTGGCTCCCCATGGTGCCCCTGGAGCTCACCAGCCCTCCTAAGTTGGCCACTGTCCATGCAAAGCTGAGATACAATGAGGGGGGTTGAGCAAAGGGGCTCCCCGGGAATGTTTTGGGGGGAATGTGGCCGAGGCTGCCTGAGGGGACCCTGCTTTCTGCAGACCTGTCAGTATTGCTGAGTGGCACTCCCAGTTCCATGGAGCCCTTGCAGGGAACCTCTTCTGGGCTTCCCGGCTGCTGAGCGGCTCTCCCCCCTCCCCCACCGTCTCTCCCACCCAACCCTGCTGCTCCTTCCAGCTGCAGTGCGCAGTGCCGTCTCCCCTGGCTGGGGGCAGTTGCATCTCCTGGCCTGGCTGCTTCTCCTTCGCCCCATTTATTCTGTGTCTAATGCCCACCCCCCCCTTCTGGAAGGCAAGAGTGAATTTGCTTTGTTCAGTATATTTCTGACCTACCCCAGGGTCGTGGTCATGGTTGGGGCTCAGCAAACGTCTGGTAAATGAGTGTTAACTGGACCAATAAATGAGACGTACAGAAATGGCGCTTCCTGCCCTGTCCTGCCTCAAGTGCCACCAAACAGAGGTTGGTGTCAAACCAGCCATGGGCTTCAGAATCCTGTAACTTCGGAGTCAGCAGCACTTGAACAGGTGCAGGGTCTGGAGCAGCATCTCACTGTAAGTCCCTCTGCCGCCTGGAGGGTGCTTCTTCCTCTTGGACCCTCTGTCCTGCTGTCGGCTGGAGGGGCTGGGGTGGGCTCCAGGGTGCTTAGCCATCTTGGTGGGAAGTCTCCCACGGTTCTGGGCAGGGGTCGAGGTCAATCTTACTACAAGGGCAGCTGGGGCCTTGCCCGGCCTGAGGTGGAGCTGGGGAACCTCAGGTCTCAGAAGGCGTTGGCGCCTGGACCCCCAGGCAAGGACAGGACCCCCCTGCCTTCCTTCCCAGAGCCCAAATAGCATCCCCGCCGGACGGGAAAACTGTCTGGGGCGACGGTGAGGTGATGTCTGCTTTCTCCTCGTGCATTGTAAGCAATGATTAATTTGGCTCTCAAATCAAAATATAGCCCGAGCTCCATTATAAACACAGGTCCTGCGGGAACCCGCCTGCCCGGCGGCCAGCGGCCCCTTCAGATGCTGTGGTCCCCGGAGCTCCCCTGAAGCATTCCCTGCCCCCTCATACCCGCCGGGCACCCATCACAAACTGCAAAATCACTGCCCATGGTCCACCTTGCGGTCAGTGCCTACCACAAAATTGCTGGGGCCTTGGAGAAGATAATGGCTTAGATCTCTGCCGCTCCTGGGCCCTGTCATTTGAAGCTGTTTGTTGGCCCAGCCCCGTAAACACTGGAGGAGCGAGCAGAGAGCGGGCGCCTCGGCACCTCCCCCTGCCCCCGGGACTGTGCTCTGTCCCTGTCCTGCCAGCCAGGAGAAGAGGAGCTTCCCGGCCTTTTGGGGCCCGCTGATGGGGACAGACCTAGGAATGGCCGTCTTCTGGACAAAACCCAGCCCAGGTGTCCAGGGTCCTGGGGAACCGTCTAGGATGGGTCATAGCTTCCTAGGTCACCTGGGGCAATCCCCTCCCCACTCCGAGCCTGCATTTCGCAGTCTGTCCAGTGAGGAAGGAGGTTGTCACAGGATGGCTTAGGTCCCTTCCCACCCAGATGCTCCAGGGTTCTGGGACTGACCTCTGCCCCAGGAAGGTTTGACTTCAGGAGGACCTTGCCTTTTGGTGGCCCCTGTGGCTCTTCCAGGCCGGCCTCAGGCCTCAGAGATGAGGTGGTTAAGGATACAGGGTCGGAGTTATGATCCTGGAAAGCTGTGTGGCTGCAAGACAGTCTCTGTATCTCTCTGAGCCTCACTTTCCTTACCCAGGAATTCCTACATCCTAGAGGAGTTGAGCTGGTGTATTTCAGGCTTTCCTGCTGAGCCAGGCTTGGGGCTGTCCCTGTCCTGTAGTTGCATCCTAAGCAAAGAGGTTACTTTAAATGTCCTGAGATTTCCCTGGAGACACTTTTATTGCTTCCTTTGGGGGAGGGAGGTACCAAAGAACTGGTTTTCAGCAGGTTTCTTTATGGATATGAAAGAAGCCCCCAAAGCTGGTGACGGCTAGGGGCTCTTGGAGGACCCTTTTCTGGTTCTCTTGGGGTCCTGGCCCCCATTAGCCCACAAGCTCTTTGCAGCTACTCTCCAAGCAAGCAGAGGATGGTAGAATGAGATTCAGAGAGGGTGACTGCCTATGCTGAATCACACAGCCAAGGGCGCCAGGCTCGGTTCACTGCTTCACTGGGAGAAGGCCCTCCTGGGGCTTGCCATCCTATCACGCTCGTGTCTGATCTCCTGCTTCTTCTCCGACCACCTCGCTCATTCTGCTCCAGTCGGAGGGCCTTCAAGCTACCGTGAACCACGAGAACATTCTTGCCACAGGGACCTTGCCCATGCTGTTCCCTCTGCCTGGATGCTTTTCCCGGGAGCCAGCCCTGGGCCCACCTCTCTCACCTCAGTGGTCTCCTCAGGGCGTCCTTCCCTGACCACCGCCCACGTCACCACCCCTGCCCAACCCTGCCATTATTTGTCCCATGACTTTGCTTTTTCTTTCTCATGGCTCTGGTTACTACCGGACATCATTTCTCATTTTTCAAATTTAGCTTTTTTTGTGTGTGGTTGGAAAAAAAAAAAAAGCCTGGCACACAACTGGCCACCTTCGTCACGCCTAGGATACCCTTTGGTAGCGGTAAGTGCTTTCCCGTGGTGGCCACAGAGCTGCAGGACTTTCCATCTTGCAGAACTGGATCTGCCTGCCTCTTACACAAGGCCTGCCCCCCCGCCCCCCGCCCAGCATTACCCTTTATACTCATTTTGTTTTTATAGTTCCTTAATCAGAATGTAAACTCCATTCAGGCGAAGGATGTTTCCTGTCTCTTTCTTCCCGTGCTTCAAGGAGTGCTGGCACGGGCGAGCTCAGCAGTGGGTTTTACATGAATAAATGAAAGATGAGGAGGCCAGGTGCCGGGCGCTCGCCTGAGATCCCAGCTACTTGGGAGTCTGACGCAGGAGGATCACAAGTTGGAGGCCAGCCTGGCAACTTATCAAGACCCTGTCTCAAAAAAATAAAAGGGCTGGGGATGTGGTTCGCCTGCTTCCATCCCCAGTATCATTTAAAAAAGAAGAGAGAGAAATGAAGACCCTGGTTGAAACAGCAGCCAACTGTTCCAGGGCCCTCGATGGAATTCAGTGTCAGATGTGGTGTTAAGTGCTTTACATAATAACATGTAATTCATGCACTAACCCTAGTCCTCCTATTTTGTAATCGGGGAAAAAGAGGTTCAGAGAGGTGGAGGCATTGGCTGCAGGTCACACAGCTAGTCAGTGGGCAGAGCAGTACTGGAATCTGGATCAACCTGAAACAAGAGGTCTGATCTAGTCACCGGTGGTGGTCTGCACCCCAGTTTGCCTCCTGGGGAAAAAATGCAGGCCCCTGGGTGGGAGATGCCGCCCCTGCTGAGAGCCTGGCCCTGTGAGTGGGTGAGCAAGGCCTGCCTTCAACTCCACCTTTGCTCCCTGGGGGCGCGGAGGTGCTTGTTCTTGTGTACAGGGAGAGAGCCAGGCCTCCGGGGCTTCTGCAAGGCTGTCAGTGTGGCCTCAGGTGTCGCCAGATCTGCCATGAGGAGCAGTGGGACTCAGGGGCAGGTGGCCTCAGTGCCCGCCACCCAGTTTCCCCTTCTTGGAAAAAGAGATGGTAACTGCCCGACCCCACTGTGGCGGCTGAATGAGGTCACACGCTGCCCATCTAGTCCCCAGAAAACGCACAGAGGGCCCCGCAGGCACGTCGGGCTGTGGTCTTGTGGGGTCCCGTGTGTGTGTGTGGTTTAGACTCTGGGACGCTTTCCAGCTCCTGAGTTCTAAACCACAAACTCACACCCCCTGGAGGTCCAGGGAAGGGCAGCAACCCCCCTAAAGATGCACAGTAATTGACAGTGTCTGCACCAAGCCCAGGGCTCCCTGTGTGAGGGCATCTAACAGGGCAGTGTGGCCGCGCTGTCTGAAAGGAAAGCCCCCTGCCCGGTCTTGTCTTCACGGACATCACTAAGTGGGCAGGAGGTGCCAGCCGGGGTTTCCCTGGGAGGCCACCGAATGCTCATGACATGGGCCCTGCTGGCCTGCTGGTGCCACCTGAGGAGGCACTCTTGATTCTCTGCTCCTGGACCCCTGGTCTGGACATCACGGTGGTAGGGCCATGGGGACAGAGGGTCAGGATTGGCCCTAGAGTGTCCCCAGAACCCTTCTCCCTCAGGACCCGTGGGTGTCCCCTTCCTCCCTGGAACAGGCACAGGGCGGGCAGAGGGAGGCGCCATCCCAGAGAGCCCGTGTGCCCGTGTGTGTGGCTCTTCTGATGGGGCTTAGGAGGCGGGCAGGTCCTGACAGAGCAGGGGTCCCCGCCTCGTGGCCGTCCAGCCATCCCCTGACCACCCTTCTGCCCCGGCTGCTGCCCGCCTCTCCCTCTCTCTGGATCTCCAAGGCAGGGCTGGAATCCAGGGGCATCACTGTCGCTCCATCCCGGGTCGGAATCCCCCTGGTTCCGCTGGCTGAAGAGCCACCGAGCAGAGGAAGCCCTCGGGGTGGGCGAACCTTCACGCAGCAGCACCTGCAGGAACTCGGAGGTGGTCTCTGGGGTGCAGCTGGGGCAGCGCTGCACGACAGGCGTGGCCCGGCCATCTGCAGCCTGCTGTGTCCCCGCCACCTGATGCGATTTCTCCCCCCACAGGGCTACAAGGGCTATCCTGGACCGGCCGGGCACCCCGGAGAACAGGTGAGGCCTCGGCCCGCCCAGCACTGCTTCTCTCCCCACCTGCCCCAGGCCAGGCCGGCACCTCCCGTCCTGCTGGGCCCCCACCTCATCCCACCCACCCCTTGATTGAAGGAGCCCGTGTGGCCTGGGGCTGGCACGAGCCACTCCACTTTGGTTAGACCCATGAATAGCCGCCTGTTCCAGCCATGTTAGGGGACATTATCCACGCTGCCAGGGGTTTGCAGGAATCTGGGCTCCCTGGCCCAAGTCAACAGCAGCCCTGCCAGCGGGGCCAGGCCTCGGGTGTTTTCTTACCCCGCGGCTGCAGAAGAGCTGGTCTGACTGGTTTTGCAGAAGGGTGGGCTGGGGGCCCACCAGATTTCCTCCTGGCTCCTCTCACATTCCTGTCCCTCTCCTGTCCCAGCCCCGTCTCCCACCACCAGCAGCCCCTGAGCTGGGCAGGGCCTGTCTATACCGTCCGTTTCTCTCTGTTCCTTTGCAGGGACCGCCGGGACCTGAGGGCAGCCCAGGGGCCAAAGGTTACCCTGGCAGGCAGGTGCAGTATATGGCTTCTGGAAGCTCTGTGGCCGTGTGGCGATGGCCATGGGTGCCCCAGGCACAGGGAGGCTGTGGGCTAAGGGCCAAGGAGCTGTCTCCTCCGGGTGGGGCCGAAGGAAAGGGCTGTCCAGGAGTGGACCATGGCAGCCCCTCTTTGTAGGCAGCAGGGATGGGATGCTCAGGAAGAGGAGGCCGGTGCAGGTGGGGGTCTCCAGAGGCTCCTCCCACCAGTCTCCCCGCTGAGGGAGGAGAGAGGGCCTTCTGGGGGGGGGAGCAGCTGAGGCTCCAGAGACAGGATCGCCCTGGGATGTTGGTGCGGCAGGGCGTCCCCACACATCCTCGTCTTTCTGTCTTCTGTGTTTCAGGGGTTACCTGGGCCTGTAGGAGATCCTGGCCCCAAAGGCAGCCGGGTAAGTGGCATTGGCTGGTGCCACACGGGTGGGCCTGTGTGGCGTCCCCTGTTCTCCAGTGGGCTTGATGGGAGGTCAGGCTGTAAGTGGGGGCTGGGGGCTGGAGGCTGGGGCTGAGGCCCTCCCACCTGGGCACTCCCTGGAGGATGGGGCAGCAGGAGGGCTGGGCACCCCTGAACCAAGGGAGCCACTAGGTCCCACAGTCTGGCAGTCCAGGCAGCCAAGGCTCTGCTGGGACTCAGCCACGTGCCAGGTCCAGTGGGCATTTGCTTGACGTGTCCACCTGTTCCTTTCAAGTGACCAGGGAGCCCAACGTAGTGCCCTTTGAAGTGCCTGCCAGCAGAATCCTCAGTGCCTCCCTCCTTCCCAGCCAAGGGCTGGGGACCTCCCTTTGTGGAGGCCTGAGGTGTCCAGTGGGGGAGCTGCCCTGGCCTGGAAGCCCTAGAGCTTCCAGATCACCCCTTCTTTTAAGCTCCAAAGAAGCAAACTTAGTAGCCATCGCTGAGGCTTGCCCGTCGTTGCCCTGGGAGCCATGCCAAGGCCTGCTGTGGCTTGGCATGGAGATGCCAGGAGGGGCTCTCCTGTGGGCTGTGGGGAGGGAGAGAAGGCCCTGGGTGAAGTGAAGGGGGGTCAGTGGAGTTGGAAGTCCAGGAGATGATCTGGTTGCATCTCCTCTCCTACAAGGAAAGTGGGGTCCTGGTGGGCCCCAGGGCCCACGCTGCATCCCCAAGGTGGAGCACGGGGGCTCCTAAGGGGCACTGAGAAGGGGGTCACACAGCCCTCGCTCGGGAGCCAAAGCCACATATACCCTGGCAGGAGGGAGAGGTCAACATGGCCACGGTCTCTGCCCTAGAGCAACCCCAGGGCAGGAGGTGGGCACGTGGGCAGGTAGGCGGGCTCCCCAGGACTTTGCTATGGCATGCAGGGGGCCTGAGGAGGTGCCTGCAGGGGCACTGGGTCTCCCTGCCTTCCTCTAGCTGCCTTTGTGAGCTGCGGCCTCAGCGGGGCCTTCTAAGCCCAGAGGGAAAGGTCTTCTCAGCCCCCAGTGTCCATCTGCCATCCGAGGAGAGGACACACTGATGACATCTGGGGCTGCCTGATGTTTGCTACAATGGCAACATCTTGAGGCCACATGTGTGGAGAGGACCAGTGTGGCCCCCTCTTCTGCCTCCTCCAGCTCCCAGGGCCTGAGGTGCCCATGGGGGCCGGCCCCTCAAGCTGCCTTCCAACCCCTGCGGCCTCATGTTTATGAAGCAGTCAAAGCGGCACAGGCGTCAGGGCTTGAGACCCTCTGCCATTCACCAGCTGCAGGGTGCTGGCCAGTCACTGGGCCTCTCTGAGCCCCTTTTCCCACCTGTAAATCTGGGAAATGAGCCCTTCTTGGAAGGGTAGGTAAATGTCACTCTTGATTATGAACAGTGATCCTGCTACATGCTGAGAAGGAGACTCAGTGACCTTGCGGCTGTCCAGAGCAGGAGAGGTGATTGGGGACCTTCAATAGAAGGGTGTGTAGCAGAGTATTTAGGAACCTGGGAATCACATGACTTGAATTCAGATGCCAGTTTTACCACATTCCAGCTGTGTGACCCTGGGGAGTCACTTCACCTCTCTGGGCCTGAATACTCTCACCTCTCCTGTGTGCGGACTAATACCTACTTCTAGGAGTGTAGTGAGGATGCAGTAAATGCTTTAATGCATGCAAAGCATTGAGAGCTGGGCCTGGTGCATAGTTTGTGCTCAGTGAATGTCAGGGTTTTTAATAGTTATCATTAAGTCATTCCAGAAACACCTAGAGGGTACAGACAGTGATACCAACCGGGCACTAGAACCCTGCCCAGGGAGTTCCCAGGCTGGTGAGGATAGAGAACATAGATGCCTGGAACTCCATGGTAGATGCTGCTACCTGGGGCTCAAATGGGGGGCTGGGGTGAGAGGAGACTGCTTCTGGCGAGGGCACCAGATGCTGTCCAAGGTAGAGGGCGTTCGAGGCAGGCTTTGCTTCAGACGTGCAGTCCTGAGGATGGGAAGGGCGGTCCTGTGGAGGGCAAAGAGGCCCCCGAGGCTGGGAATCAGGACCAGCCAGCACCCTGATGCCAGGGTTGGGGTCTGGAGTCAGCTGCACCTAGTGACTAGGAGCTGACCAGGGTTTGCTCAGGGGACTCCCTGCTCCACCACGGACTGGCTGAGTTGCTATTTCCTCAGAGCTAAGTCTCCTCCTGTCTGTCCAGGGAGGGAGATGACAGCCAGTCCACAGGGAGCAGTTTAGCACCACAGGGAGCAGCGGTGCCTGGCAGGATGTCAGCACAGCTGATGGTCCTGCTGTCACTCAGGTGGCTGGGGTGGACGTGAGCCTCCCTTCGAGACCTTGGAGGCCTAGGAGGAGCGCTGCAGGAGCACCCTGGGGCGCCCTGGGTGTGGGCGGGCCCAGCACCTAACCAGGCCAGGCTTCCTCCAGCAGGTGGCGGCGTCCTGGGGCGCGGGGCGGGCTCCGCAGCGCCCGCCTTCCCTGGCGTGAGGGTATGTGCCTTTGGACTACATCGTGGAAGCCGGCACCATGCAGTCCATGGGCATATACACTTGCCTCAAGGCCTGTGTCGTCGAGGACCACGGAGCGCGCTGCTGCCAGCTGCCAGCGAGAGGAGGGGGCGGGGCCTCGGGGCGGGGCCTCTAGGGGCGTGGTCTCCGGGGCGGGGCCTCTGGGGCGGGGCCGGGCTGGACGCTGCTCCGCCCTCTGCCGCCACACCCTGACCCGCCTGCTCTCTCCTAGGGTTACATCGGACTCCCAGGGCTCTTCGGCCTGCCTGGGGCCGACGGAGAGCGGGTAAGTGCGCTCCTGTGGCGACTCACCATGCGCCCCCTCCGCCTTGGGCAGAGCCCAAGGTCACCGGGTCCCTCCCGGAGGCGGCTGGGAGCGGGCAGCGCGGTGGGGCTTCCAGGTCAGGGAGCCTGGCACAGTCAGCGGCCTCCCGTTCACCTGAACCATGGCCCAGGTCCACGCAGGAGGCTGCGAGCCTGGAGGGGCCCTGGCCAGGAAAGGGACTCTTCTGGGGAGCCTCTCGCAGGCTTTCAGCAAATGAGAAACAGGCCCACTTCCTACTCAGAGGTAGACTCTGGCCCGTGGTTCATTTTTGCGAATAAAGTTTTATTGAGCCCAGCCGTGCTCATTTGCCCACTGTCAGCCCTGGCCGCCTTCCCCGCCAGTGGCAGAGACCAGGTGGCCCGCAGAGCCAGAGGTTCACCCCTGCTCCTCTGCCCACGGCCTGCCCACGGCCTGCTCATCCCGCCCCCTTAGGCAGCTTAGTTCCTTTCCTGGGGCGAATGAGACGGCTGGAGACCCAGGACCTGGTGGCAGCTGTGCCATGCATGAGGTCCAAGGACCAGATGTTGGAGGCTGCACCTGGGTGGAGACAGTGGAGCTGGGTGGGGCAGGGGAGGGGAGTGTCGGCACCAGAGGTGGCACTGGGTGACTGGCTTGCACCCTGAGCTCTGCAGAGAGACCGGGCCCAGCTCTGGGGAAGGCGGGGACCTGAGATTCCCTAGGATGCCCCGTCCTTCCAGCCAGGTGTCCAAGTCAGGGGAGTCGGGATGAGGTGCTCAGGCGCCCCCGGCCCCGCCTTGATGTCCTCTAGAAGCCCCTCAGGGTTCCTCCCTGGCCCACTTCCAGCCTGAGTCCATATTTGGGAACTCAGCTGTAAACTTGTCCGTGAGCTGGACACTGAGGGCCTTAGGAAGGCAGGAGAAGAAGCAACAAGTAAGCACCTGCTGTATGCCAGGAGCACTTTCTTAGGCATCTCCCCAGCAGCCCCCTGCCCTGCAGAGTACAAAGGCCATCTGTCCATCCCACATAACTGGTGACACTGTGTACATAGTATGGATTCCAGGCCCTCTGTCACCTCCCATGGGTGGCTCTGGGGCTGCTGTGGGCCAGCTGTGTCTTGTTGGAGTCCTGTCCTGACCTGTCCCCTGTCTTTCCCCTACAGGGTCTGCCTGGCGTTCCTGGCAAGAGGGGCAAGATGGGTAGGCCGGTAAAGATTTTCCGTGTCTATTACGCAAACTCTATGGGTGGACCCACCCCCGCCGGCCTCACCGCCTGTCTGCTTGGGGCCTGGCGCTTCTTGCCTCTCTGTGCCTGGCTCTGCTCTGCCCTGAGTCCTGTCACCAGAAGGCTGCATGGCTGCTGTGTGGCTGCTGTGTGGCTGCTGCTCCGGGTCCTCTCTCCCTGTGCACCGCTCCTGGGTGCCATGGCGTGGGGGACATCTGCCAGGGGTGTTTTGTGTCTGGGGCCTGCCTGGGTTGGGGGGGCCTAGGCCAGAGCAGTTCGCAGGCTCCATCTCAGCACTTGTCTCCACGTCGTCTTGGTGTCACCTGGCTCTGCCCATTTCCTCTCGTGCGCACGCAGATCTGGAGGCAGTGGGGTGTGACAGGCCCACAGTAGGCACAGCCCCAGGAGGGGCTCCGGGTGTCCCCAGTCCACCTCATGTATTCCTCTGCATTGTGGTAGGAAATTGTTTTTCCCCTTGTTTGAGCATCTCCAGGCATGAAGAAAGAGCCAAGGCACAGAGAGATTAAGTCACATGCCTGAGGTTGCACAGCGAGTCAGTAGGGAAGCCAGGATTCTAGGTGAATAGGCTTGTCCCCAAGGTTGCTGATTGCTTGGCGTCACTACTTGATGCTAATCTTGTAGAAGTAGGTTTCCCATAGTCGCACCTGTGGGAAGTCATTTACTCCTGTTATTTCATTATTCAGAAGGGGACACTGAGGCTCAGAGGCAGATGGCTGTGTCTGAGGTCTGTCAACTGGGACAACAGGCCCAGGACTCTCGCAGAGGTGTCCTTCTTTCAGGCTGGGCCCTGTACGTGGCTTAGGCTATCCGTGGCCCCCCAGGTTGACCCCTGGCCTGAGAGCTGTGGTCGGCCCATTCCTGGGCCTCCTGTTCCCTGTGGCTCGTGGAGGGGACTTTGGGGGAGGTTAGACTGGACAGGAGCCGGGACACTTGGGGACACAGGGAAGGGGGCTGTCTCATGCGGGGGTGGTGGTGTGTCATTGCCTTTGAAGTGTGTGAAGCTGGCCCTCTGGGGTCAGGGAGGGCAGAGAAAATCAGGATCCAGTCCTGCCCCCAGGAGCTGGCAGAGGGTCCCCCAGAAGAGCCACCCTCTGTGGCCTGACAGCCTTTTGTGCCCTCAGGTCCAACACCTGCCACCTAGATGTGGGCCAGGAGGAGCACTGCCCCTCGGCCTCAGCCAGGCCCCCCGGGTGGGGAGGCAGTGAATACCCACTGAGCGCCCACCCGATGGGGCAGATGGACGGGCCATGGGACAGGGAAAAATGGCTGAAAGAACGATCAAAAGAATGTCAGGTAGTTCCAGGTGCTGAGAGTGGGGCAGGGGACAGTGAGGGCTTGGAGCGTGGGCTGAGAGGTCCGGCAAGTCCTTCTTGCTTCATGAGTCACCTGCATGAGGTGGGGATGGGAGCCATGTGGCTTCCCAGGGGAGAGCCTTCCAGGTGGAGGTGAAAGCAGGTGCAAAGGCCCGGGGGCAGGAGCATACTTGGTTCAAGTTTTCTGAACCATGATCTTCTCATTTGAGAAATGACAATTGTGTCTAACTCATGGGACCATTGTACTTCCTAGGTGGCTGAGGGGCCACCTGTGTTGAGTGGCTGGAGGTCAGTGGTGTCACCTTCTCTGGGGCTGGTTTCCCATGACTTAAGTTGTGGAGGGGCAGCAGATGGGTCACTCAGGTTGCCTGGGCTGGTGCTGTCCATCCCCAGGCCCACCTCTGGGGCCACGCTGGGGGGCTGGTTCAGCCTCTATCCCAGGAGCCTGGCAGGGCCGCTTCACAGATGAGATGGAGACTCAGGGAGGTGACTGGCGGGCCCAGCCCTGGGCTCACTGAGGGCCGAGACTGGACTAGAACGCGGCCTGAGCTCTCAGCTCCTGCCCAGAGGGCGGCTGTGGAGGGCTTGGGTTCCAGAACCCCCTGAGCGTGGAAGAGGCAAGGCTCAGGGAGCCCTGGGAATGGCCTGGCCCCTCCAGCCTGGCACGGGAGGGCGGTCCCTCAGGGGTCCCCGCCCACCTCTGTCTCCCCTCCGCACCCCCCCCCTGCGATGGGCACGTTTCCTGCTTGGTGCCCAAGCCACGCGGTGCTCATGGTGGAGGTGACGATCCATCTACCTGTCTGGGTCGGATGAGGCCACTCGCTCATTTCTGAGTCAGCAAGTGTTTATTGAGCACCTACTGTATACCAGACTGCAGACAGCACTGTGGTCAGACAGACACATACTCGTCACGGAGCGTCAACTCTGAGGGTGGGACTGTCCGCAGCCTAAGGAGCAGAACGGGCCCTCGCAGCTGTAAGGGAAGGGAAGCAGGTCGCCAGGCCCTGGGTGTCCCGGTACTGAGCCCGTGTGATTCCCCCTGAGAACCTTTAAGACGAGGTGGATCCTCCCTCTTACCCAGAAAAGGAAGCTGGGGCTCACGCTGGCCACGCCATCTGTCCAGAGGTCCTCTGAGGCCGCGGACTTGACCCCACAGTGGACAGCTCCTCTCTCTTTGCTGCTGCTTGACTTTAACCCCTCAGATCAGCCCTGACCTGGGATGGGAGCGCCCCAGAGCGGGGTGTCAGGAGAGGGCCCCACCGCTGTGCCCGCGCCTTGAGAACAGGAAATGCCCTTGACTCTGGGCCCGCCACCGTGGCCAGCAACCTGCCGTCCCCCTGTGCGTGTCCTGGGCCCCTGGCCTGCGGTCCCCAGCCTGCACTCCCTGGGCGGCCCTGAGGCCCGCCCCTGGGGCCCCCAGCCCAGCCCCTCCCGGGAATGGCTTTTCCTGAGTCCCCGCTAAGAAGCAACAGCAGGAGCTGAATTCCCTCGGTGGCATCCAGGTGGCCTGTTTCTGGTCTCTTGCTGCAGGCAGACCTCCGGCCCCTGTGCACATCTCCTTGGCCTCTGATTGGGAGGGAGGGTGACAGTCTTTTGTCCCTGGGAGCTGAGAAGAAGTGGAGGTTGGGGCCCATGGGGGCTGCAGGGCCCCCATGATGGCCTGGCTCCACCTCTTTTTCAGACAGATGAGCAGAGAGGGAAAGGAACTTGCCCAAGGTCACACAGCAAGTTGGTGGCAGAGGTAGGAGTTGAACCCAGGACCCTGCTGACTACTGCAGGGTGCTCTCCACACAGCCCCCTCCCGTCTTTAACCTCCAAGGAAAGCTGAGTCTGTAGCTCTCGCCCTCCTCCCATCTCCTGCTAGAAAGGGAGTTTGTGGGGTTGGAGAAGGGTCTAGACGTAAGGCGTGGCAGGCTGGCTGTGCTGAGAGGGCAGCTCCTGCTGGGCCCGGCTTGCTGGGGCTGGGCTGGGGTCATCGGAACCTGCCTGGGATGCCCGCTGTTCGCAGCCCACAGCTCCTAACTCCGCGTCTTGGCTTGTGAGCCCAGCGCTCTGCGCTCTCAGGCTGCGGGGAGCAGGCAGACCAGAGACAGAGCTTGTGCTTCTAGGGACACTGAGGCCTCCAGGGGGCAAGGTCCGTAGCAGGGGGTGCCAAGGGCTGGAGGCTCACGTGAGTCAGAGCGTTGATGACTCTGGATCCTGGCGGTAACTCTGCCGCCTCTCCCCCTCCCTCCCCAGGTGACATTTCTCTGCAGCATTTCCTAGTGGACCTCAGAAGGTCAGGGTGAAAACACACTCAGCATTGTGAGGAATGACCGCCGGGAGGCTTCATGGGGTCTTCCCATGTCAGCACACCTGGGGTTCATGCCTCTTCTAGAAAAGAATAAGGGCTATGTCAGGTGAGGTCGGAAGGATGCAGGTTAGACTTGTGCAGGAACTTCCAGATATTGGAGGACTTATACTTCGTGAGGAGGTCTCGGGCTCCTCTAGGGGTTATCTATTATCCCCGCTGTTGCTATTAACCCTAACTAGCTTAGTGGAGGCCCACTAGAGTTTACCAGGGACTGGATTATAAACATCTCACCTCTCCTCAGCCCTCCCTGCCGGGTGAGGGCAGAGTGGACCCTTCTGCAGGCCCGGGAGCTGAGCCTCAGGGCCGTTAGCAGGACTTCTGATTCTGGGTGCTCCTGCATGCCACCTCCTGTGGAGCAGACGGTTCTCTAGACCCTGCCTAGAGGCAGGAGAATGGCTGAGAGGGCCTTCCGAGGTCCCCTCAGCCTTGGCGTCCTGCTCGGGTTGTGGTCACGAAGACCATCACTGTCCTGACCCCTCCTTGAGTCATCTCAGCCCCACTGTCCCGCCCCCCTGGGCCTGGCTCTGCTCAGAGGCCCAGGCCTTCGGTTCCCACAGGGGCCCGACCTGGGGAGGGAGGACCCCGTGGCCGAGCGGCAGGAGCCGAGCTCACTCCCTGGCCCCAGGCCAGCCCACTGCAGCCAGGACGTGGCCCGCAGAGGAAGGACCTGCTGCCCTCCGGCTGGGGTGCAGCCGTGGCACCTCGCTGCAGCAGGCACAGCCGGAGGGGCAGGTGGGGCGCGTGGGGCCGCATGTCCAGCCTGGTGCCAGCTCTCTGAGAGGCCGACATGAGAGGCCCCGGTGAGTCCTGGAGCCGGGCCAGGCCCCTCGGGGGCGAGGGGAGCCAAGGCCGCAGTCTCCCCAGGGACACTGAGGTGCTAAATGTCACCTGGGCCTGTGATCCCAGCAGCTGAGGGGGCTGCGAGTTCCAAGCCAGCCTTAGCAACGCGGCAAGGCCCCTCTCCCAACAGAAGGGGCTGGGCTGTGGCTCAGTGGGCAGGCCCTGGTTCAGGCCCCAGTACCAGAGAGATACAGAGCACTTGATTGTCCCAGCACCTGTAAAGCGCCGTCCTCTCCCCAGCTGTGCGTGATTACAAACTGGACTCCTGGGGGGCGTCCCTTACAGCAAGGAAGACTGAAGGTGCGGCAAGGTGGGTCTGCGTGCCAAGGGCAAGCGGTCCTCAGTGTTGGCCCTTCCTTCTAGTGTGTGAGCCCAAGACTGTGATGGACCCTTGGAGAGGCCCCAGGCTTGCTCTAGTCTAGCCCTTTAGAGAGCAGGCAGTCTGCCTAGGTTCAAAGCCCAGCCTTGCTATTCCACAGCTGGGTGACTTCGGACAAGTGTCTTAACCTCTCTGGATTTCAGTTTCCTCATCTGTAAAATGGGACCAATCAAGGGTCTGTTTGGAGGTCACGCTGCTGGAGTTGGCTATTGTCCTTAGGCTGCATTGTGACTTGGGATCCTGATTACAGTCCCTCCCGGCTCCTGCTTCCAAGGCTGCCTGCATGTTTCTGTGAGCTGCTAGCTGTCCGCATGTCTCATCCGTATTCCCCGTTGGGCTGCAGGCGAGAGGTCCCTGGGGGGAGGAGCAGGATGGGTCCGTGGACCAGCTGGGGCTTCTGAGTGGAGGCCCACGGGGTAGAGGCCCACAGGGTGGAGGCCCACGGGATGGAGGCCCTCTTGCTGCTTCTGGAGAGGGTCCAGTGGCCTCTGTAGCTGGGTTGGGCTTGGGCTGCTGCCGCCTCTCCATCTCGCCCCACGGGGGCGTTTCTGTGCCTAGGGGAAGGGGCTCCCTCCTCCCTGGCCTTGTCCAGCTTCTGCCCAAGCTGGGAGGACCCTTAGGACAGGAAGTCCAGGGAGGCCTGTCCCAGGTCACACGGCCAGCCTAGGGTACACCCAGGGTCATTTCTAGATGCTGAGTTAGAGAACAGAACAGGGACTTCTCAGGTCAGGCCTCCAGGGGCAGTGGTCAGCCAGGTGCCCAGCTGGACAGCAGCCCCTGTCCCCCGAGGGCTGGCCCTCCTCTCTTGCCAGGCCCCTCCCTGCAATCCCTGAAGTCCAGAGGTGGGAACCTTCAGAAACGCCCCTGGCCACAGTCCACCTGGTGAGGTCCTTGAACTGGGGGGAGCTAGAACTTTCCAGTGGGGACTCCACGGATCTGGGGAGAGGATCTGGGGAGAGGAAGCTCGGTGGAGCGACATGTGCCCCCAGAGATGGGCCTGTGCGCAGACCCCCCCCCCGCCCGCCTCCGAGGCCAGCGGGGTGTGCCCAGCTGCTGCCTGTCCCCTCCGCCCCCCGGGCTGTCCCAGGAGCCACCGAGTCCAGAGAGGTGGAGCCCAGGCTCAACTCTGCTGCACACGCTGCTGCCCTGTGGCCTTGGCTATGTGATGTGGCCACGTGACATGTCCTCGCTGAGCCTCGACTTCCCCGACTGCTGAATGGAGCCAGCAGCCCCTCCCTCCAGGCGCAGGACAACCACCCTGAGGTCCCGCTGTGCCCTGAAGCCCTCCCTGCGTCCCTGTCCCCTCCCCTTTGTGTCTGATGCCAGACCTCCTGAGGAGGCTGTCAGCCTGACCCGGGAGGGATGTGCACGCAGGGCCCACGCCTCGTCTCTGGGTGGCCACCAGAGGCCTTGGGCTGCTTGGCTTTGGTCTCCCGCTTGACCTCCAGGGCTCCGTCTCCCTCCAGGGCTCCGTCTCCCTCCAGACCCCCGCAGTTTAGAACCAGAGGCGGGTCACCTCCGAGCCTCTTTGCGCCTCGGGGCCTTGGTCTTCGGCAGGAAAACCTGCGCTCTGTTTTTCATTCAATCTCCCTGGAAAACCGGGTGGCGGGCCGGCAGCAGGCCGGGCTCCTTCCCTTTTGAAGTAGGAACATGCTGGCCCCCAGCACACAGCTGTCCCCACGGCTGTTTTCCCAGCTGCCTGGCTCCCCAGGGGCCTGGTGTGGCCTCCAGGGTGGGGTCAGAGAGGGACCTCAGGGCCTCTGAGTGGCCCAGGCTGTGCCACACCAGCAGTGTGACCTTGTGTGGCCTTGCCACAACTTTACAACTTCTCCTGATCTGTACCATGGGGACCCTGGTGCCACAGGGTGACTTTTGAAGGGTGCATTGTCATCACAGATCTGAGCTGGGAGTGACCAGTGTGGACACTGAGGAACCCGGGAGAGGACCCTGTCAGGTCCCAGCCAGCAGCTGCTCTAGGCCTGGATAGGCTCCCTGAGTCCCCAGTTTGTGTCCTTCCCACGTCATTGGGACCAGGACCCGGACTGGGGGCTGGTGCTTGTACCTTTTTTTTTCCCCCCAGAGACTCTAAGTAGAAAAGAAGCAGGTCACCGGGCGGGCCCTCCAGAGTGGCCTGTCCCTGAGTGTTGTGTGGGGGTGTTTGTTGATGGCAGGGTGACCTCAGGATCCGCTGCTGTCAGGTCGAGGGAATGAGACTGCTCAGACACTGTCCCTGCGTCCCCCTGGGGTGTGGCTCAAGTCGTCTGCAGCTCCAGACACTGACCTACAGATGTTTCTCTCTCCTGCCCCCAGGGCTTCCCTGGAGACTTTGGGGAGAGAGGCCCCCCTGGATTCGATGGAAACCCTGTAAGTACTTCAAGTGTTTAGGAACAGAGAAGAGATCAGGAGCCCAGACTTTGGGGTCCGAGACCTGGGTTACATCCCACCCCATGACCTGCTGCCTGGGTGTCCTTGGACAAGTTACATGACTTCTCTGAGCCTGTCCTCCTTTCTACTCTGGGTGACACCCCATGAAGAGTCCCAGCCCGCTGGGCATCTGGGTTGCACGCAGCCCCAGGGCTTAGGGAGGTTCCTGGGTCACTGCCCACCAGAGAGGCCCCAGCTTCTGCCGTCTTAGAAGCAACAGAAATGTTTACGGCCACAGCGGCCTGGGGATGCACACGAGTCGCAGGCCGTCTTTGGAAAGATGGGCCACGTTCCGAAGGAATCTCCACGGCCGGCCTGTTTATAGAGAGTGTAAATAATCCGAGGCCCAGGCTCTGTCCCGTGGAGGAGCCAGGTCAGCCTGCCCTGGGGAGCTGGGTCTGCTCCGCGCCTTCCATCCCTGGCTGCAGGCCCAGCTGGGAGAACGCTGGCATTCTTGGCCTGAGGGTGCAGACTTGCCCTGGGGGGTGCAGACGGGCCAGAGCTGTCTGCAGCACCCGCCTTGATCGCTGTCTCCTGGGGGCTTCCCGCTGAGCAGCCGCTCACAACTGACCTGCTCTGGTCTCACAGATTCCCCTGGAGGCTCGCCCGCCCTGCTCCCTGCTCCCTGGGGGTGGAGCCTTGGCCCCAGAGCCAGGTGCACCTGGGTTTGCATGCTGCTGCACTGCCTGCCCGGCCTGTGAGCCTGGACTGACCCTGACCTCCCTGAACCTCAGTCTCCTCATCTGTTAATTGGGGGTGGGGGTCGGAGGGCTCAGAGGGCTGTCGTGAGAAGAGAGTGAGGGCAGGGAAGGTGTCCAGCCGACCAGACTCGAGGTAGCCACAGGGCGGTCCCTGCCCACAGAGAAGTCCTGACCCCTCCCCATCCATTGCACAAGACCCAGGGAGCTGGGAAGACTCCTGGGGACAGTGAGGAGAGAGGGGAGGGGACATGCCAGGTGACATGGGAGGGGAAGTCAGGGCGTTTCCTCAGCGGTTCACTTGCTGGGTAACCATTGGAGCATGTCAGTAGAGAACCTTCTAGAACTTTCCCTGGGAGGGGCAGGGATGTGCCTCCTTAGGGCCTAGAGGAGCAGAACGGAGGCAGACCTGATGGGGGCCTGCGGCTCTGCCCAGGTTTCCCCGCTGCAAGGCCAAGGCTGCGGCTTCCTCCCCGTGGAGCTGTGCCCCTCCCCTGTCGGGGCCGCCCGGGGTTGGCAGAGGGGAGCACAGCCCCCGGGTCCCAGCAGTGCCCTTTGCTGATCCTTCCCAGGCCTCCTCTTTGGTTCCGACTCCCCATTTGAACTTGGGCCCCACCCACACCTGTCTTTTTTGGTGTGAGCCCTGGGTAGACCTGGGGGGCCGAGGCTGGGGGTGAGCCATGTGCGAGACCCCATCTCCTCTCTGGGCTGGACAGGGGAGGCCTGAGGGCCTGGGACTGGGGGGCCCTGACCTTGAGCAGATCCCTTCACCTTGGGAAGCCCGGCTGTGCCTCTGGGGAGGGCAGCGGCCCCTCCGTCCACACCCCCAGGCGGGGGCTCTGCCCTCTTCATACCGACACTGGAGGGTGCAAGGGCTGGGGGACCCCCTCCCATCCTACAGATGGAAACTGATGGCCGAGGGAGGAAGGGCACTGTCCCAACTCCAGGCCACACACCAGAGGCCCTGGGGCCTGGGACTGGAGCAGGGGGTGGTCAGCACTGAAGTGTCCCCCCAGATGCCCACACGGGGCGGGGTGGGGGTCCTGGAGGGAGACAGGATGCGTAACCACCTTGTGTCTGTGTTTGCAGGGAGAACTGGGCCTGCCAGGGCCCCCAGGAGTCCCCGGCCTCATTGTAAGTACACAGCAGCCTAGGGGCTGGGGGTGGGGGAGAGGCAGGTGTCCCCGAGGAGAGGCCTGGGGATCAGGACTGGCAGCCTGGACAGGAGTCTGAGGACGGAAAGTCTTGCTGTGTTACCCCAGGTGGGTGTCCCACCTTCTCTGAGCCTGCTTCTCCATTAGTTAAATGAGGGTGAATGCCGGACCATGCCTGCCAGTGTGGATTTATACTTGCTCTTTGTTGGTTGTTTTACAAGGAGGTCTGGACAGGTGACAGCATGCCTGTTCAACAGGGGCCTCCTGTCCAGAGGCAGGAAGTGGCTGGCAGAGTTGCTGAGACTCTGGACCATGTTGGGAATCTTTAGGGCCCTTCTTCTCAAAGCATGGACTCTGAAACCAAGTCATGGCTCTGCCAAATCCTTGCTGTGTGACTCAGGCCAAATCACTCACCCTCTCTGAGCCTTAGTTTTCTCATCTATGCAGATGAAAGTAGAATCCCCTGGGATTCTTGGTTGTGAGGATTAACCAAGGTGACACAAGTATATTGCTTGGCCCGGGATCTGGCCCTCAGTAAATAATTAGTGGAAAATACTGTTGTATCAGTTACTGTTATTCATCACTGACAATAGTCATTCCTGAGAGAGGGTGCGGCCATGATCAGTCACTCATCTCCTGAAATGCCCAGGACTGAAGGGCCTGTCTGCAGAAGCAGGAAGGGCCTGGGGCCGGGCCTGGCTGGGCGGCCTCGAGGAGCAGCCTATCAGCCCACAGCAGGGCCTGTCCCGGCCTTGGGCCAGTGAGGGGCGAGAGCTGGAGGTGCCTGCAGAGTGTCCCCCAGGGTCTGAGCCATCTGCTCTCCTCTGGGTCATTCCTTATGGAGTTTGAGTCCGGGTGGTATGTGGGGGGGACAGGTAGACTGTCCCCTAGCTTAACAGATGGGCCAGCTTTGCCACGCAGCAACGTGCCAAGAAATGCTGCTCAGAGGGAGTGAGCAAGGCCCCAGGGAGGCTGGGGCATCCCCTGGCTCGGGGTTGGCCAGTGCCGGGGAGAAGGCCCAGAGGTCCCTGTGCAAACCTGCTCGTGTCCAGGTGGGTGGGAGCAGAGCCCGTGTTGAAATCCTGGCCTTGTCTGGCTCTGTGGACCTCACTGTGGGTCCCCTTCCCGAGCTTCGGGGACCCCCCTGTGAATTAGGTCATCATGTCAGAACTGCAGGTGCCAAGAGGGCGGTCCCTGGAGCCAGACCTCCTGGGTTCATGTCCTGGCTCCCACCATTAATCGAAATGCTCAGCAAGTGCGTTGGTTTCCCTGTGCCTCCACCTCTTTATCTGTAAAGTGGGGATAATATTAATGCTTAACTCGGGGGATTGTCGTGGGGCTTTAAATCAGCCAATTCGCACAGAGTGCCCAGTACGCAGCAAGCACTCGGGAAGTGTGGTCATAATAGCTATTGTTCTTTTATTTATATATTTTTTGGTACTGGGGATTGAACTCAGGGGCACTCAACCCCCGAGCCGCATCCCCAGCCCTATTTGGTATTTTATTTAGAGACAGGGTCTCACTGAGTTGCTTAGCGCCTCACTGTTGCTGAGGCTGGCTTTGAACTTGTGATCCTCCTGACTCAGCCTCTCGAGCCCCTGGGATTACAGGCGTGTGCCACTGTGCCCGGCTTAGCTGTTGTTATTACGTCTCACACACACACACACACACACACACGCCTGTGTGTACATATGCTGTGCTTGTCTGGATCACTGAGTGGAGGAAGGTTTTGAAGTCATGTTGGACCTTGGTGGGGGAGAGCATTGCCGTGGACTAGTGATGCCCGCCATGGCTGGGGACTGGGAGTGTCCACCTGTGAGTCACACGTGTGTTGTCCCTGATGCCACTCAGCAGGACTTTGCCAGGCACCTCCTTTGGCACTGGTGGCTGACCTGTCTGCCATGAGAGGGGGAGAATTCTCTGGAAGTTGCAGTCTAACCCTTTCCAAGCCCCGAAGGAGTCCCTTCTGGAGCCCCTTGTCATGCGGTCATTAAAGTCCTCCTGGGACACCTCTGGGGTTGGAGGCTCCCTCGCTCGCCTCGGGGGCCTGTCCACCCAACAGAGCCCTCATCGTTCAGTGTCTTCCTGTCTCTGAGCCCAAGTCATCCTCACCATCCCTGGGAGAGGCTGTTCCAGGGGTAAGATGGTCACTGTCTGCTCTTCCTGAGAATCCCGGTCCCCAGAGCTTTCGAGAAGAGAGGTTCATACACCTGGCTGCGCCTCTGGCGTGTGTCCTATTTGTCATTGTGACAGCGTCCGCGAGGTCGGGTCCCAGAGTGGTAAGGTACACCGTGGCTGCAGAGATTCTTAAGGCTCAGCCCTCCCTCCCGCCTGGCCTCGGCTCACGGAGCGCCTCCCCTCTGCTCTCCGTAACTAGGGCTGCCAGACAAAATACATGACGCCCAGTCACTGTGGAATGTCAGATGCAGTATTGGGACACATTTATACTAAAATATCCTTCATTATTTATCTGACATTCAAACGTAACTGGGTGGCCTGTCCTTCACATCCCGTCTGGCGACCCTATTTGCCATGTCTCTTGGCAGAATCCCATTTGCCGGACGGGAAAACTGAGGCCCCGAGTCAAGGACACACACAGGCAGAAGAGAATGGGGTTTGATGGAGGCCTCGAGTCCAACTCCTAGAGCAGGGCACTCTCTTCCTGTCCCCTTCTGAGGGCTGGCTGGGGGCAGGATCTGGACACCCGCGTTTCTCAATGCTGCCCTCTGCTCAATGTCACTTTCCAAGGAGCTGATCCCTCCCACCTGTGACCTCACTCGCCTGTGTCCCCCGCCCTTGCCATTCTTGGCCTCTCCTCCCCCGTTTGGGTACCTTTGAAGTCCTGTGTCCTTGCACCTGGGAGCCTAGGGCTGGCCCTGAGACCCTGAGTCTCCACCGTGCCCGAGGCGGGTGTCCCCTCGCACCCCGAATTTTCGGGAGCAGCAGGGTCTGTCATGGGGAGAACTCGCCCCCTTCCAGTAGGAAGAAGGAGGTTTCTCCTCAGGAGTCGGAGGAGGAGGAGGGAGGTGAGTCACCTGCGGTTTTCCAGCGGATGTGGGTTTCCAGCTGAGCGATGGGAATTCCACAGGTTGATAATGGTTTTAGTGGAGGTTCAGGTTCAGCCGGGGCCGTCTGGTCAGCTGAGGCCATCTGCGTGCAGGCTGAGGCCGAGCGTCCCCGAGCCCCGCTGCGGAGGGGACAAGCTAGCGTCGAAGAGCGTCCGTCTGCTCTGTGTGTGCCTGATGCGCATTGGGCTCAGCAGCCAAGGCCTGTGGCTGGACCTTGCAGGGAGTGGACACCTCGCACTTGTCACCCAGGCCTGACTGTCCCCAATTCCAATGAGCTTCCAGTGGCTCGGGCCGCCTCTGAGGTGAGCCTGCTGGACGGCCACCGTTCAGTAACTGAGAGCCCCTGGCTGCCTGCGGAACCAGTGAGCTCCACAAGGACCGGTCCTGTCTTTTTTATTCAGAGACACGTTAATGAGACCCAGAGAACACGTGACCCGGCCAGCAGCCCAGCACCTGGGGCGTGGTGGGCTGCCTCTGTCCTCGGTCACTGATGGTTACCCGACTGCTTCTTTGCCTATAAAGCTGGTCAGGGCCCTCCAGCCCGTCTTTACCTGACCCCGCTGAGTGTCGGCGGCCACCACAGCCTGTGGGCGTGGTGAGTGGCATCATCATTTGGCAGTGAAGGAAACCGAGGCTCAGAGAGGGCAGAGCCCTTGCCTGAAGTCACACAGCTGGCAAGCTGGCCTGGGCCTGTCTCCAGAGCTAAGCTCTTCACCGCAGCCGCAGGTCGCCAGTTCTAAGGAGGACAGAGGCAGTGGCCGCGTGCAGTGTGGGCTGAGGTGCCAGGAGCTGCCCTGGCCAGGGATGGCGCTTGGTAGTACCACCCAGGAGCCAGGACAGGCTGAGTGCCCTTACTGTCACCGTCCCTCAGTGTTTCTGGAAGGAGGCTTGATGGCCTGCGAAGGCAGTTCCCTGTCCTCTCTCCCCTTCCTTAGTGGGCACCTCCTGTGGCCACACCCCAGCTAGATGCTGGGGTCTCGGAGGTAAGGTCCCCAGATCAGGCACCTGCCTTCGGTCTGGTGGTGGGACTTGTGGTGGCCGTGTAGGTGATGGCCACCTGGGCAAGGCTGCGAGTGAAAGGCGCGAGACTTCAGGGGGACAGGGTGGCACCGCCTGGCCTCTGGGGTCAGTGAAGTTGGGGGCCCCAGGATGCATGGGCGTTGGCGGGCTGAGTGGCAGCCAGAGCACACCAGGCGCAGGAAGTGGCAGGAGCCCAGGCCCGGGGCCATCGGTGACCAGTATGTCCAGCTACAGGGAGCAGCGGGGCAGGAAAGAGGGCCGGGCCTGCCCGCACCCCCACGGGGCACTGAAGGGCCCAGGTTTCCCTCAGGGCCCCTGCCAGCCCCAGCCCTGGAGCCCCCAGCCCACCTGAGCCACGAGCTCGGACTCCCGCGGGCTCAGACAGACAGACAGACGCACCTGGGGCCTGGACCTGTCTCCGCCTCCAGCTCCTTAGTCTGGGTGGTCCCTGGTCTGGGTGGTCCCTGGTCAGGGCCTCCGTTGTCTGAAGTGCAGCGGGTCTGCCGGGGAGGGGAGCCGGTTCTGACGGGTGCTGCCTGCGCAGAGCCACCGGGAGCCATGGGCGGGAGCCTGTGGGTCACCTGCACTCACGGTAGCACTTAGCTGTCCCAGGAGGGCTCGCAGCTGCCCTCGAGCCAGCCCGCAGCGGGTGGGGGGGGCGGGTGGCCTTCAGATGGCTGCGGCAGGGCCTGTGGTCGTCTCTGTGGGAGTCTCGAGCCTGGGCAGTGCGTCAGGCGCCAAGAGCTCGGAAAGTGGACTCGGGCTCAGGCTGGAGGCCTGCCGTCGGGCTATCTTGTGGGGACTGACAGTGTGTGAGTGTCCCCCAGCCACACTGGAGGGTGTCTTGGGTGCACTAGACAGGTGCTCCATGAACTGTCCTCTGGGGAAGTGGCCTGAGTTTCCTCTGTCCTTCCCCCTGCATCTGTGACCAGGGGTGCTGCTCATGGGGGGACCTGTCCCTTGGGAGCTGTCACTGTGGAGCACTGTTAACCCACAGCCGGGTCCCTTTACCCTGGGGATTGGGTGCCCACAGGGACCCTCAGTGCCACACAGAGACCCCTGGGGACAGTCCTGCAGGGGGCATGGGGAGCCTTCGCTCCATGGAGCCTGAGTTGGGTCCCTGTGCAGGCGGCCTTCAGGCCTGGAGGTGGGAGAGCAGCCTGTGTTCCCGGGGCTGCTGACAGGGAGCCTCCTCCCCGAGCCTGCTGTGTTTTCGGCTCACCACTGGACGCAGCGGCCACCTTCATCCTGCATAGGCAGGAGCAGCCAAAGAGGCTGTAAGGTGCTCCTCTTGGAGGGTTGGCTCTTCTTCCTAACTCAGCCATGATCCGGCTCTCCGCTCCCTCCCCTCAAGTCTTCTCCTGAGACTGGAGAGCTGCCTCAGGGCTCTGGAAACGCCCGCCTGGTGGGAACCCCAGCTCTGCCCCAGCTCTGAAGTGTTGCTGGAGCCCTGACCGCTAAGACCCTCAGTCTCCTCATCTGTATTATGGGCACAGCAGCAGAACTGGCCTTTAAGGGCTGCTGTGGATGTAACTGAGTTGAGGCACGTAAAGGGCCCAATGCCTGGCAACCAGAGTTGCTTGGGTGCTGTGATTATTGTCATTAGGCACAGGAGTGACATGGCTCCTCAGTTAGCAGGGGCTCAGCGAGTAGGCTTTGCTGAACACAGCGAAGCCAGAGTCCTGCAGGCCAGTGAGGGCAGCAGGCCACACAGCCAGCCCAGGGCAGGGCCGAGGCCAGGCTGCAGTGTTCTGGGGACAGGAGATTGGCACTGTCTCCCTCTTAGAGCATTGCCCTGCATGGGCCTCGGCCCTTCTGTGGGAGTCAGGCAGGAATGTGGTTCCTCGTCCTCTACCCAGCCTCCCTCCCGCCTCCCACCTGGCCTCCTGCTTGGCCTCCCACCCTCCCGGAGGTCTTCAGGCAGCAGCTCAGCAGGAACTTGAGTCCTGTTTAAGCCTGGCTGCCTGGGGCAGCCTTTGTGCTGCGCCTCAGCTTCAGGGCACTTGCCAGGGGCCTCCAAAGAGCCTGAATCTCTTCAGTGGGAAACTGAGGCCCAGAGAGGTTAAGTATTGTTTGAGGTCACACAGCAGCTGGACACTTAGGTCAGTCACAGAGGATGGACAGGGAGAGAAGACCAAAGTTTTAGGGGCTCCTTTCTTTGGGCATGGGCTTAATATATGGCTCTGCCTGATGGTGGTTGTGAAGGGGGTGGGCAGGGTGAGATTTGAGGAAAGGGGGGAGGCTTATTAAGACAAAATTCTGCCATTTCACTCAAAACTCTCTCTCCCACTGTTTCTCTCCCCCCCCCTCCCAGGGCCTCCCACATGTTGGGTGAGACCTGTATACTGAGCCACACCCCCAGCCCTGACCTCAGAACTGTTGACACTGGGGCTGGATAATTCTTTATTGGGGGGGGGTACCAGGGATTGAACTTGGGGGCACTCGACCACTGAGCGGCATCCCCAGCCCTGTTTTGTATTTCATTTAGAGACAGCGTCTCACTGAGTTGCTTAGTGCCTCGCCATTGCTGAGGCTGGCTTTGAACTCGCGATCCTCCTGCCTCAGCCTCCCGAGGTGCTGGGATGACAGGCATGCGCCACCCCACCTGGCTGGATAATTCTTTGTGGTGGGGACTGACCTGTGCCTTGCAGGACACCCAGCAGCATTCTGGCCTCTCTAGCACAAGCTGCACAGGGCCAGCGGGGAGTGGACCAGCAGACAGCCTATGGGAAGTGCTGGCGGAGGGCAGAGCATGACCTGGGCCTGGACAGGATCCTGTGACATTTATTCCAGCACTTTAGCGGAAGCGAACAGAAGGACAGATGTTCCTAATCTCAAGATCAACCCAAGGGAGTTGCATCCTGGAGAGCCCAGCCCCGGGGACCCCGGGCATCGCCCTCGCAGCCAGCCTCCCAGGGCCACCTCTCATAGCTGCCTCTTTCTCTTCCCAGGGTGACATGGGAGCATTGGGTCCCATCGGCTACCCAGGACCCAAGGGCATGAAGGTAAACAAGGGCTTCCCCCAGTTCAGGTCTCATTGCACCAGAAGGGCGGGTGCCCCAGGGGATGCTGGGAAGCAGGCGGGAGGGCGCCCTGTGGGTGCTGGACAGCAGCTGATTGATCCGGAGCTCAGCTCCGCCCTGGCTGGAGAGCCAGATGTCATCTGTATGTCATTTAAGCCAGATGTCTTTATTGGACACCAGCCCTCTAGCTGAGCACGTGTCCAGCATGGTTCCGGGCTTGGGGGTCATCGCCAGGACCATAGGAACTATAATGGGGAACAGTGAGCCCTGAGCGGAAGGGGACATGAGGACGGGCCAGCGCCAGGCCAGCCCAGTTTGGCCTGTTTCCGCGGCATCGGCACCTTCCTCCTCTGGGCTTGTCCCCGGTGTCACCTCTGCCAGCTGCTCCTCCCCTCCTTGCCCATCAAGATGGGGTTGCCTCCTCCTTTTGCAGTCGGGGACAGTGAGCCCAGGCTGGGAGAGCGAGCTAGGTCTTACGACACAGGGTCCTGGTTGAAGCCAGCCAGCTCCTGCTTCTGTGGCTCGGGCCTCACAGCGGCCTCTGGCCTTTGTCTTGCAGGGACTGATGGGCAGCGTGGGGGAGCCCGGACTGAAAGGTGATAAGGTGATCGGAATACTCCCTTGTCGCACCGTGGGTTATCTGCATGCCGCCCCTCCGCCCGGAGTCTGCCGCTCAGCTCTGGCCAGGTCCACTGCTCTGCGCTCTCCCGCCTCCCTCTGTCCCCGGAGTCTGGGCTCCCAGCTTCTTCTGGTCCCTGTGGGTGGGGCTCCAGCTGACCCTCGGGGGCCTGCAGACCTCGGCAGAGAGGACATGAGAGGTTGGGGGCCCGGGGCTTAGCCAGCAGCTCTCAGACCCCGGAGTGCCAAGCAGGGGTGGCACAGGGGCTTGGAGGGCACAGCCACAGAGCCCGGAGGGCGGCGGTGACCTGGAAGGAACCAAGGGCACATGAGGTGTCCTGGCATGGGCCTGGGAGCCCCGCCTAGAGAGCGCGCCATCTGAAATGCAGGGGAACCCTGGCAGCCTGGGCTGCCACCTGCTTCTCCAGCTGCCCCCACCCAGGAAGGCCCCCGGCCACGTGGCCTCTCTGTGGCTGTAGGACTCTAGCAACGTCACCTGGTGCCACACCAGAGCTGAAGGGGGAGATGGGTCTTGGGGTCCGCCAAGGGGCCGCAGCTGGCTTGGGTCAGCAGCACTGCAGTGGCAGGCCAGGTAGGAGCAGCCCCGCCCTCCCCCGCAGTCTCTGGTCCATCCTGGAGCCCACAGAGGACGTGGCGGGATCCGAGGGGCGCGCTGCTGCTCTGGCTCCTGCGTCCAGCCTCCCTGCCCACCTGTCTTCAGGGGCCGCCACACCTGAGGCCAAGGAGCAGGTGTCCTGTGCCAGGCACCCAGGAATGCTCCAGAGGGATCACCCCTTCCTCTTCCAGCCCCAGGTGACGAGGGACCTGCCCGAGGCCACCCTGCTGCTAAGTAGGGAATCAGGGCTCAAAGGGCACCTGGCCCAGAAACCTCCACCACCCAGCAGAACAGAGGTCAGAAGGACAGAGCAGATGAAGCCCTGGGAGGTCACCTGATCTGGGGCCTCAATGTCACAGCTGGGGACACTGAGACCCAGAGTGGGGAAGAGATTCATCAGAGGAAGCGTGTGCTCTCCTGGGAGCCAACCCAGGCCCTCTGATCCCCAAAATTAGAATTTCTGGGCAAAATGGACACATGGGATTGTTCTGTGCAGCCCCAGCCCCGGGTAGCCGCCCCTTGCCGGGCCAGCGAGCCCACGCCTTGCCGTTTCCGCCTCCCTCCCTCCCAAGCCTCTGGGGGTCCCCTCTGCCTGCTGCTGCCTGCTGTCTGCTGCCTGCTGCCTGCTGAGCCTCCCTTGGGGCCTCCCTCTGTAGGGGTGGGTGTGGGCTCCCCTCACCAACCTGTCTGAGGGGGAGACACCTCTGCTGTGGAAAAGCTGAAGTCATGGTCAAGGAGAGGGGCTGCGGGGGAAGTGGGGGGCACAGGGAGCTTTTTATAGGTCCTTTGCAGAGTGGCTTGGGCTCGGAGTTGCCCTGGAACATGGAAATAAAAGCGTCAAGCAGAGGAGCTGGGCTGCTTCGAGGCCGCCTGGTCACTCAGACCCGCTAAGCTCTGGGAAAGAAAGAACAGAGGGGGAGGAGAGGAAATCATTTTTATTGCCCATAGTTTTTAGGAAAGTCTTTGTGGGGGGGGGAGGGGACTCTCTTTCAGTCTCTTTAGTGGGGAGGGGTCTCCGATCAGCCACTCACACAGACTGGCCCCCAGCCCTCTTCTGGGATGACAAAGCCGTCCCTTCAAGTCCTGTGGATCCTCCTTTCCAGAATCCCGGATTTTCCATGACCCAGCCTGGCCTGGGGCCTCTCACAACCCCTTGGCTCCTGCTGCCAGCGGAAGCACATTCTGGAACCGTGGCCCTGCCAGGGACCCAGCTCTCTAAAGCCATTGTCCTGATTTCCCAGGCTCCTTTTAAACCTGCCTCCTCTATTCTAATTTTTTAAAGGAACTCCCTCACTCTAACTTGAGACTTAAAAATAATAATAATGATAAAATGTCCCTTGGTTCTCAAAACCCCAAGGTGTCGTACAGGATTTTCCAAATTGGAAAAACCAAAGTAAGTTCAAGAAAAATGGTTTTTATGTTCAGTTCTGGCCTTTGTTCTGCCAGGGAAGTCCTGCTGGGTCCTGGCCTCCTGTACAAGGCAGGTTTGCTCAGATCCCCCCATTCCTCCTCCTCCTCCCAGGACTGGACGTTCTCTTAGTCCTGGGGCCCGCGGGCTGTGGGTGATGCCCAGCGTGGAGAGCTGGGACCAGTTTCCAGCTCCCAGAGGCAGGACCGCTGGACCCGGCCTGTGACAGCTCATTTACTAGAACCTGGCTGGTCCAGGGAGGGGGCAGAGAAGGCCTCCCCTGGCCAGGGTCCCTGTCCCTGGCCGTGCAGTGCATCATCCTACCAGGGAGCAGCCGGACCTCAGGCAGGAGCGCCGCTTGGTGTCCACAGTCTTCCGAGTCAGGCCACCTGCTTTCTCATGCTGTAGCTGATTAGAAGCAGCTAATTAGAAGAAGGTCTGGCTGCTAGCCCAGAGGGAGGGAGTGACAGCTTCCAGCCGTAGTGAGTGATCAAACAGCAGACGCCCCGCTCAGAAGCCCCCGTGAGGACCTCCCCCGGTTCCCTCACCACATTCACAGTGTCAGTATGGAGGAAGAGGGGGAAGGTTGAGGAAGGATCTTTGAAGTGCAGGTTCGCCACAAAAGGCCAGGTGACCGGCAGCGGGGCCCCCAGCCCCAGGAGGGAGAGCTGAAGCTGGTCTGCACCCAGCTGGCTCGTCCCCCCCCACCCCAGGGCTGCCTTCTCCACTCCGGTGGCCCGTCCAGCAAGGCTGACTGGCCAGGTCCCACTTGAGATCGGCCTCCACAGGGCTGTCCCTCACCAGTGGGCCTGGCCGTCGGGGAGACTTCTGGGGTCCGCGTGGCCCCGCTCACAATCTGCTTTGCTGGTGTGTACTCAGGGCGAGCAAGGGGTCCCAGGTGTGTCCGGAGATCCCGGCTTCCAAGGAGACAAGGTAACTGCTTCGGGAACTCCCCGCCCCGCACCCCTGTCCCGCCCCCCTCTGCACCCCTGCCCCACCTGTCCCCTGGCCTGGCTTCCTTCCCAGAGCCCAGCGTGGGCAGGACCACCGGGGACGGCTCTGTCATACAGCCCTGTCTGTCCTCCCCAGCCCCTGCCCTCCCAGTCTCAACTCCTACATTGCCCCCAAGGACAGCTCTGGTCTGTGCTCACAGACCTCCCGGCTCCCCACCCAGCCACGCAGGAGCCCAGCCCAGGGCCCTCCCCACTGTGGCCCTGGGCTCCAGCCCTGTGAACTGCCAGCTGTGCCTCAGGCCCTTTGTCCACTCTGCTGCCCACCTGACCCTGCCCCCACTGCCTCTCCGCACCACCTGCTCAGAGGCCACGCTGTCTATCTGCTCGGAAAGTGGCCGTTTCCCTCCCTGGGAGCCCTGGACAGCACATCTGTCCTTCAGTTCTGACACCATGGTTCTCTTGGTTTTGGAGACTTGTGGGCAGGCACCCCTGTCCCCAGCAGTGAGTTCCCCCACAGGGCCCTGGGCTGCCCTGAGCTCTCCTCAGGGCCGCACTTCCCAGTGGACATTCAGGACTGTGTGTGAGTGGCCTTGCTGACCCATTGAGCGGGGCGCATGGTCATCACCACCAGGATGGCCCTGCCTGCAGAGCCAGCTGTGGCCTGAGGACACCAGCCCCCGTCTGCCCACGTCGACACCCTGGGCCGCAGCTGGACCTCTGCCAGCCAGTCCACCAGGCCCAGATGTTGGCCAGCTCTCCCTCCACCTCTGCAGCCGTCCCTCCTGGCTGGCCGTCCTGAGCTGCCTTAGTGTCCCCCTGGGGTGGCTGCTGCTTCTGCTGGGCCCTGGTCTCCAGGGTCCATGGGCCTCCAGGGCTCCTAGGGTCCTGGGAGGACAGGCTGCCCTTTCACCCTGGCACTAGGGCCCAGCCTCCAGGGGTGCAAACAGGTGTGGTCCCTGAGTAGAAAGAAAGGTCCTGCCCTCTCCACGAGGGCCTTGTCCAGCCCGGGCTGGAGGGGGACAGGCAGCTGTTCTCGGCCTCTCTGGTGGGCGCTAACCCAGCCTGCCCACTCTTTTCCAGGGCAGCCAGGGGTTGCCAGGGTTCCCGGGCGCCCGGGGCAAGCCAGGCCCTCTGGTGAGTACCTTCTCCCAGCACCCCTCCACCTGGGCGTTACCTCTGTCATGGGATGTGGCTGGGGTGCCTTCCCATCAGGGCCTCCCGTCCTCCTGCAGACACAGATGGACAGGGCAGGGCCATTTGCCCATTTCCCTGATGCAGACACCGATCCCAAGGTGCAGTGGTCACCCACATCACAGATGGCCTCGTTCACTGTGGGCTACTATAGTGATGTCACTTGTCACAGCGGTGTCACTAACTGTGCCACCATCAGGCCCTTTGTACCACTGTTTCTTTGAGGGCCGCCAATCGCCAGGAGTTAGGGTTACTGTCCCCATTATATAAAGATGGGGAGACTGGGGTTCTGAGGTCGTTTGCCTGGGGTCCCCCTGCTGGAGAGTGTGGGAGTCGGGACTTGAGAACCAGCTCAGGTGATTTCATGCGTGTATGCTCCAGAACGTTCTGACCACCCACCACTCCAGGAGATGACGCAGGGACCTCGTGAGCGCCACTCCCCAATCTCTTCTCTTCCACAGGGCAGAGTCGGAGACAAAGGCTCCCTGGGGTTCCCTGGGCCCCCTGGACCTGAGGTACGTGTTGCTCTGTCTCCGGCTGCAGCTGGACTGGGTGTTGTCCTGGGGAAACTGAGGCCCGGGGGTGTGGGGGGGACGTGCTCCAGGTCACGTAGCATATGGGCGATGAAGCAGAGCACAGCGATTCCCGGATCACAGCTCTCCTGTCCTGGGCTCTCAAAACACCCAGGACAAGGAGCTGGCCTCTGAGTCCTTCCTCAGGTGGCTCTGGGGTCCAGGTGGACAGTCCGCCTGTGGTGGACTGTCACGAGCAGGCCGACCTCTTCAACCCCTGCACGTTCCTGGGGCCGGGCCATTGTCTGTGTCAGGGTCATCTGCACCCAGGCCACCCAACAGGCCCCCGCACTGTGCACCCAGAGCCCCGGGCTCGGCCATCCGTGCTGCCTCTGCATCCAGGGGAGAGTGGCCCTGCGGTCCTCCAGGCCTTTCCAAAGATCACTTCTGGAATCCCTGGACAGACAGGGAAGGTTTCCTAAATCCACAGTCTGACTTTCCACTTGTTGACTTTGGCCGCGACGCAGCCCTATCTTTAGACAATGAAGTTGGCCCCGAGTCCCTCCGCTGGTCACTGTGGAAAAAGACTTCTGAGTCCGGGATTCCCAGCAGCCTGGCCAGCCAGGGTGGAAGGCCTGCGCCCTCGGGTTTATGAGGCCCCTCCTGCAGCCAGCAGGCTGCGGGGTCCTAGGATGAAGTGAAGTGCCCCCGAGAGGGGCAGGGAAGGGGAGGCCGCTACCTCATTCGCAGACGAGGAAACCGAGTCCCAGGGCAGGGCACGGACTTCCCCAGGGCCACTCCACGCAGGGTGGTTCAGGTCGCTCTGACGGTGTCCCGGGCCCTGGACAGACAGCCCCCCCCCCCAACCTTGGCGCTGCCGTGATTGGCGACTCCACAGCCAGGAGGTGCCTCTGCTGGGCTGAAGGCAGGAGCTGGCTGAGTCAGGAGACAGCTGAGAGGGCCACTGTCCCCGCTGTCCAGCACCCAGGGGAATGTCTCCCTCGATCATCCTGGGCCGGATGTGAGTGAGTACCAGAATTTAACCAGCATCCTGCTGCCAAATTCTTCTTGGCCCTGGGCCACCTGGGTAGACTTGTTTGCCCAGCACAAAGGACTCAAAATCATTGTGGATGTAGATATTTTTTTTTTATTGAGCACTTACTCAGTGCTGGGCACCAAACTCAGTGCTTTGCCTGTGTTGTTCACTTAAGCCTCAGTACAGCCCTACCTGTAAGGTGTGTGTTACAGATCAGGAATCCAAGGTCCAGAGAGGCTAAGGAACTTTCCTGCAGTCACACAGTGAGTGAGCAGAAGGGCAAGATTTTGATCTTTTCATTATGAAGGAAAACACATGGAGTTTTGGCTTCAGGGTTAGCTCCAAATTCAGGACTGTTCTTGCTTTGCCTGTAAGCAGGGTAAGAAGGTATTTGAACCAGAATTGTATAAAAGTTACTAAAAGGTTAAAAGAGAAAGAAAAAAAATCTAGCCAACTTACGAAGGCAAAGTGAAAAGGAAACATTTTGGTCGAAGAAACTCGTAAATTTTGATTTTTAGCTGGCAGGAGACTGAGGTAGTGGGGCTGCCCTAAAAGCTAATGGGGTTCCTGGCTGAATTAACAGAGGCATCACACCTAAAACAAGGAAGGGGATGTTTCTGTACTGGCGCTTGTTCCTCAGCCCACCCCAAAAGAAGCATGGGTGTCCTGGTGGTCACCAGCAATGGAAACCAGCCAACTGGAGAGAGCCAGGTTGAGGGCCCTGGGCCCCTGACTAGCAGCCATTGAAGACACAGAGAAGGGCCCACCTTTGGGGACAGGGGAACTGGTCTCCAAATTATACAGAGAGCACTGACCGCGAGAGGGACCCTGTGCCTCTGGGACCCCAAGCGGCCACCGGAGGTGCTGAGGGGGACAGAGGCTATTCCCCTACCCCCGGGGCAGGCTGCATCAGGGGGACCGTGGGGCATGGTAGGTGGTGCAGGGCCAGGTCCCACAGGCCTGGCTGGCATGTCACTGGGATCTCAGCCCCTGACAGAGGCGCTGCGGTTAGTTACTTCAGCATGTCCCAGTAAACCAGGAGGACAGTGGCACGGTAGGGGCTGCAGCTCATGGCGGGGCATCCCAGGCTGGTGGCTGGCGGGAGCAAGGTCCCAGACCCCAAACCTCTGTCCCAGTAACTTCGCAGGACTTGGGACTTCTGGGTGGGACCAGCTCACGTGTGGCCTCCTGCACCCTCTCGCGCCTTTCCTTAGCCCCTGAGCTGCAGGGCGGGGTGCCCGTCCCTGTCTAGGATTGAGGAGTGCACATGGGGCGCCTCTGCTGCTGCAGCCGGGTGCCCACCCAGGTTAGCTCCTGCAGGCCGCCCCAGCCCTTTCCTGCAGGGCCCCGGTGACCCCAGCCTCTGCTTCCCCTCAGGGATTCCCAGGAGACATCGGCCCCCCTGGGGACAATGGCCCCGAAGGCGAGAAGGTGAGTTCCTGCCCGGAGCAGCCCCCGCCCAGGAAGCAGAGGGACGCCCTCTGAGACCCTTGTTGTTCCCTCCTCTCAGGGAAAGCCTGGAGCTCGAGGCCTGCCCGGACCCCGAGGACAGCTGGGGCCCGAGGTGAGACGCGCCTGTCCCCCACTGCCCTCTCTGGCCTGTCTGCGGCCCTGGGCCACCCCGGCACATCCACCTTGTCCTGTATACCCCTGCCCCTGTGGCCCACCCAGGGACCGCAAATGTCCTGGCCTGGCAGGAGGGGTCTCCCCCATCTCTGCTGCCCCCTCCCTCACTGCCATGGCGTCCCCCTGCCCCCCACCAAGCTTCTGGTCAGCTCACGTCACACAGCAGCGTGTCGGGACATCTGTCCAGGAGGGAGGGGATTGTCAGCCCCATTTACAGATGAGGCCCAGGACGCGGAGAGGCAGAGTCTGCAGGTCCCTGGTTAGTGGCAGGCAGGGCCTTGATAGGAGCTCAGGTCTCCGTTAGCCTCGGGTTTCATGCCACCCATCTGTCACCGTCTGCTCCCGGGAGTGGCCAGAGCACTTACTAGTGGCCTCAGTAGTAGCGAGGGAGGATCTGCTCATTCTCGTGCACTCACATGGGGGGCGAGAAGGGTCTCCAGGGGCCTCTTGGTTTGGCCCGTGTGTGAGGCTCTCCTGAGCCCAGTGACACGTGGCCTGGGCTTGTGGCATGGCAGGCAAGGCTCCCAGGACCGACCACAGGCAGGCCGCGCTGACTCCGTCCCTTCTCCTGCGGGTTCTGGGCCTGGCAGGGCCCCAGCGCTGGCTCCGGGAACCGCCACGTGGGGCTGCTTTCCTGGAAGCTTGGGGGTGCCCCTTGGTCGGGCCTGGCCTGCCAGAGGGGACAAGTTTGGAGGCTCCGTGGGCCGCCAGAGGGCTGGGGAGTCCTGGGAGCCAGCAGCCGGTAGGAGGGAGAGGAAGGAGGGACGGCCCCCGCCACGTGCTCCTGTCTGCACTCCTGTCGCCTCGGAAAACCCTTCTGCCCTCCTGCCTGCCTTCTGCTCACCGCTCCGTAGCCCATCCACAGCCTCCTTTGTTACCAAACACCCGCTGGACCTGGCCCTGGGCCTTCAGGAAGGAACAGGCGTCATCACTGTCCCTTCACCCAGGACCCAGCTGAAGCCACTTATGGCTTTCCAAGGACTGTCCACACCGGGGAGACTGAGGCCCGGAGGCTGCCGGCCAGCCAGTGGAGTCAGAGTAGAGTCGTGTCTTTGAGCCACAGTCTGGGGCTCTGCTCTCAGGGCCAGTGGCCCGAGCGTGTGACCTGTCCTCTGGGCCAGGACCGGTGGAGCCCCTGACCCAGGCTAGGAGCAGTTCATATGTCCAGGAGGCCCTTCTCCGTCCACCTCTTTCTCTGCTTAGAGGGAGTTCTCGAGAGACCCGCCCAGTGACCTTTCTTCTTTTTCCTGTCTCCAACTCCAGGGAGATGAGGGACCCATGGGGCCACCAGGAGCCCCTGGCCTGGAGGTGAGTGTCACCTGCCTGAGGGAGGGAGGGAGTGGAGTCACTGGGGCAGAACCAGCTGTGAACAGGCAGAGAGCAGTCAGCCGCGAGGGCCCTGGGCCTGGAGAGGGAGCACCGAGGAGAGAGGTGGTTGGCGGAAGGGTGGAAGTTAGCCGGGATCTCAGCCCAGGCTGCAACTCTGAGGACGTGGCCCAGGGTCTTCCCCATGGGCTGGGGAGGGCCAAAGTACCCCAAGAGGTGGGGTACGCTGAGCCTGAGTCCTCTGCACCCTCTGAGCGGCTTTCCAGGGGCCGCCTGACCCACTGCCTTCCTCCCAGCAGTGGGTCAAAAAGGAGAAGACCAGCCAGGTGCGGTGGCGGACACCTATAACCCCAGCGGCTCTAGAGGCTGAGGCAGGAGGATCTGGAGTTCAAAGCCAGCCTTAGCAACAGCGAGGCTCTAAGAACTCAGTGAGACTTTGGCTCTAAATAAAACACAAAATGGGGCTGGGGATGTGGCTCAGTGGTCTAGTGCCCCTGGGTTTAACCCCTGGTAAAAAAAAAAACAAAGAGGACCCAAAGAGCTTTTGTTTGTGTGGGTTACATCACAATTAGTAATTAAATATTAGTAATAAAAATCATATTAGTAATTAAATCAAGATACTTTAAGTGTATTAAATTAATAATAAGCTCACTGCATGTAAACACTGTGTTTTTTTTTAAACCAAAAATCACTCTATTTTCCAAAACAAGACAATTGAGTGGAAAAGTACCCTGGTTTTACCATTTTTGCAAATCTCTTTAACGTCTGGCTTAACAGACGTGGACTCTCAGGTCTGCCCTGCCTGTGGCCTGCTCCTGAGAACACCCGTCACACGCCCCAGAAGGCGCCCCTCACACTTGGGAGTGTGAGAGCCTCGGGGGGCAGACTGCACCTTAGTTTTAGGAAAGTAGTTTTGAGCTCTCGACCCTCTTGGGAGGGCCTTGGGGACCCGCAGTATCCTCTGGCCACTAAATAACTCCCCCCACCACCCTGGGACCTCATGTGGTTGGAAGCAGTTGTCACCATTCCTCCTGACAAGCAAAGGGACCAGGGAGTGAGGAGGCTCCGAGACCACCCGGCTGGAGGCCCCCGTGTCGCGGGACACGGGCTCACATCTCCACCTCCCAGGATACTTTGGCCCTCCCAGGCCATGGGAGGACCCTGGGCCACGTCCTCAGAGTTGCCCAGGACCCAGCTGTGCTGCCCCTCCCGGCCTCTCACTCACTCTCTCTGTTGCAGGGTCAACCTGGCAGGAAGGGATTTCCGGGGAGGCCTGGCCCAGATGGCGTGAAGGTGAGGGGACCTGGGATGAAAGTGGTGGGGTCCCACATTTGAAGGCCCCAGGATAAGCCCCAAATCCCGTGGCCAGTTGGAAAAAAAGACCAAAAAAATGGCCCTCATTTATAACAAAGTATTGGTAACGGGCGGAGGGGGGAGAACTAACCTAAATGTCCAACAGAGGGGGATTGTTCACGTAATGGAATGTAGTACAGCTACCCACCATGGTGTTTGGAAGATGCCCGTGTGTGGGGTGGTGGGATAGTGATGAGGACCAGATTATAAAACCAGTGTTAGGCACGAGCCTATCGCAGGTGCTGGGTGGCCCCTTCTTCCTTCATACACAAAGCAGACACTAGAAAACAGACTGGTCATCTCTGAGTGATGGGAGAAGAGGGGATTTCCATATTCTTCTCTGTGCTTCCTATTTCCCCCTTGTGTGCAATAAATATGGGTTACCTTTGTTAACAGAATTCCTAAAAAGTTACTATAAAAAAGAACTGGCCCAGGGGAAGAGACCGACCACCCCCTTGGTGGGTTTCCAGGCCCCCGGGAGGGGGCAGTGTCATTGATGAGGATGCTGTGGGCTTAGATGTTCTCAGCTATTCCGGGCAAGAGGTTGCTGGGCCAGGTTTTCAGGAGGGCAGACAGAGCCAGGGGAGCCCAGGTGGCCGGTGACCGCCTCCCTTCAGGAGCTTGGCCCAGGTCCTCCCCGGGCCCTTTCTGGTTCTCGTGAACATGTGGTCCCGGGAAGGAGCCGAGGGGAGATGAGGCTGCATGGGAGGCCACAGGCCACGTCCGTTTCCCAGCCAAACTCTGCCAGTCCACACCCACGTCCTGCCCTCTGAGGTCCCGCTGCTGTCCCTCAGATAGAGGTTGGGTTTCTGTGGTGGAGGCAACGCTGTCCGGGGGGATTTACCCCACGGGTCTGTCGCCTCCCTAGCTCTACAGTGGGAAGACCAGGGCAGCCACGGCCACCTATGGAGCAGGGGCCACCCACCCAGAGCGGCCAGGCGTGGCCGTGACAGGCTGTCAACCTGGAACCTGGAACTGGCCTGGTACCAGTAGTGGCCCGTGGCCCAGGGAGGGCCTGGGGGATTCCTCGGGAGGCCCGGACTCCATCTTGCATTCCCATCTCTCCTCCGTGTCTTTGCAGGGGGAGCCAGGGGATCCCGGGCGGCCAGGACCCGTGGGTGAGCAGGTAAGCGATCGGTGCCTCTGAACGCAGTTGATGGGCACCTGCTGTATGTAAGCTCCCCATCTGGGATTCTCAGAACGGGGCCGGCCCCGGTTCTACTCTCTCTCACTTCTGCGGCCGTGGACAGTGGCTCTCGGGAAGTCTCTGGAGGAGGAGGTCATCCCAGGCCTGGCTCTGCACGGATGGTTTGGGTACATTTGCTCAAATGTGTTACGTGACTCGTTTCCAGAACTGGAGCTAGAGCTGGAGGGGCCCTGAGCCATCGCACATGCTTCCCCTTCCCGGGTCACAGGTCAGGAGGCCTAGGCCAGAGAAGGGCAACCAGTCCAGGGCTCGTGGCCCGGGCATCCCCCAAATTATAGAGGACAACATGCAAACCAGCGGCCGGCTAGCCGGGAAGCCAGGCCAAGGTCTGCGGGAGAGAGGTGGCTGCGACTAGTCATTAAGAAAGCAGTTGTGGCTCGCCACCCTCAGCTGTCACAGTGGAGGGGAGCAGCCCCGCGGCCAGTGGACTGGCCTCCATCCCTCCTGCCCAGCCTTGGCGCCTGCCTCCAGCTTCTCTGGGCTCAGAGGTGGCCATCTCCTTCAGGCCTTCAAACAAGGACCCCTCCTTGAGGACCCTGGACGGGCTTCCTCAGCAGGGCCAGGGGCACGATGCTGGGGACCCAGAAGGGCACGGTTGCGCTGAGAGGCACCCTTAGTGGCGTGAGAGTCCCACACTGTGGCCTCCTCACTAGCCTGCACCATCTGTTGGTGGGGAAGAAAGGGATTGAAGCCAGGGGAGGCCTGGATTTTTGAAATCTTTCCAGTGTCATTCGAGCACATTCTGTGGGAAGCCCGGGAGTTTGGAAAGGCTGCCTCAGCCTGGATGTATTTCCTGATTGGAAAAAAAAGAAAGAAAGGCAACATGATCACAAATTCAATTTCATAGTTATGCTAATGGAGGGCCCCTGGGAAATAGATACCCAGAATCCTAGAACAGCAGGACTCAAAGGGTCCCTGGAAATCACTGGGTCCAAATGCTTTGGATTCCTTTGCCAGGCTGATGAGCCTCGGCCCCGCACCCGCTTCTCAGACTGGTTTTTAAATGCATCACATCAAGAACAAAGGATGCGAAGGAAACCAATTATATGGAAATAGTCATGGGAGTCTGTCCTCCTGTCCACCGTTCCTGATCAGGGCATTCAGTAGCAAGATCTAGAGCCAGTCTAGGAATGACCTCAATTTTGGAGTAGTGACAAGCTTCTCGGTAGATTTCAAGGTTTCCGCACAGTGACTGTGGGGTGAGAGGAACTATCTGGGACAGTCTTGGGTCTAGGAACCGACTGGGTTTGGTTTTCCTCTATTCAAAGGAAATGCTGAGTTCTCGTTAGAGGTTCATGAATATAAAGCTGTCATGTTTTCTGTTCGAGTTTGTGGACCCTCTGAATTCTATTCAGAGACCCTCGCAGGGACCCCTGGTTAAGAACTCCTGGATTTTGGCCATGTTGACAATCTAGGGTTCATGGAAGAGAAGTTGTCTCCACCAAGTTGACCACGAGGGATAGTAGCCAGGACCAGGAGGCGTGGAGCCTTACCTGGGGCAGCCCAGGCTCTCGTGGCAGCGACAGTCCCAGCTGGCTGTCCAGCCTGCTTGGACCACGACGGAGGAGCTACCTGAGCCAAGGCAGAGCTGGAGGCCACAGGCATGCCAGGGCCCTCCCCTCAGGGCCACGGCGAGGGGCAGGCATTTCCTCTATGGCAGAATCCGAGGGTCCCCAGGACAGGGCTCCAGAGCTCCCAGCACGTACCCTCCTCATAATCACAGTGACATTCATTGTCACCTGTGAATTCCCAGATGCTGTGCCGGACGCCCTAGGCACCTTTGCAGCCCCCCAACAGCACTATGATGGGCAGCATTATTATTCCCATTTTGCAAATGAGGAAACTGAGGCTCTGAGAAGTTAAATAACTTGTCGGAGACATCACAGCAGGGACCAAGGTGTCAGAGCCCGGGCTGGCACCGACGCCTGCTGCGTTCCCAGGGGCTGTCCTGGAGGAGCTGGATACTCTCTGACTTCCTGAGCCCTTGCATTGATCGCCCAGCATATGCCCATGCCTGCCCACCCTGAGCTGTGTGTCCCACAGGGGGTGCACAGCTATCTTGTTCTCTGTTGCACCCTGGCACCTAGCAGAATGTCATGTGGCAGGAGAGAGCCGAGCAGGCAGTGGCACCCTATCAGCAGGCAGCCTGAGGACCAGGCCAGACTTCTCCTCCACCCTGGGGGCTCAGGTCCTGCCTGTGCAGCACCCACCTAGGTAACAGCATTGTCTCCTACTCTGTGCCCTCTTAATGGCCCCAAAGGAGCTGGCCCTTCCCCTGGCCTTCAGAGCTGCTTCTCCGCCCGGCCTGCCAGGTGGAAGCCAGGGCCTCTGCCGCTGGCTCTGCTGGATCAGCCTTAGCTCCCTCCCCAGGGCAGGCCAGCCAGGATGTTCTGGGACAAGCCCAGCAGGGTGCCAGGGGTGGGTGCAGGGATGGGGCACTCACTGCATGGCCCTTATTCATTAGGATCCTGTTTGGCTTCTTGCTGGGGGTTTATGACCCACCTGCCCTCCAGGTCCCAACATCTCATAAATTTAAAGTAGCTATGAAATTTCTCTCTCCCTGGGCCAGTCGGCCAGGGCCTCTTAACAGAGCAGATTTTATTCCCTTCCTTTGGCCTCTTCTAAATGTTCAAGTGCTCCCTGGTGGGGAGCTCAGGCCACTGTCTCAGCCCCATGTCCTTTTCAAATAAGCTAGGAGGGAACGGAGATTGCTACGTTTATCAAGCACCTAAACGTGCCACGCATTATCTTGGCTTTTCAGAACAACCCCAGGAGGTCGGGACCTCATCCTGCATCCCTCTCCCTTCCTGCCCAGGAACCCCCTCCCCAGGGAGCCCAGGGAGACGGGCCCTCCTCATGGCCATGAGCTTCAGAGGCCTAGGGGTCGTGAGGAAGGCATATGGGATTTGGAGTCATACTGACCACAGTGTCAACCCCAGGTGGCAGAGCAAGACATGTACACTCCCGGCTGAAATTGCCACTTTAGAACCGTCTGGGGAAGGAAGTGTGGGTCTCAGAGGTGACCCTCTTACCTGGCCCAGGGGCAGTGGACCGGCTTTCCTGCTGAGCATGTGACCTCCACTCTAGTACCAGCTCTGAGTCTGATCTCACTCTGGCCAGAGTTGGGGGGACAGGTCGTAGGTCTTCATGGGACAAATCCATTCCCTGCTATCTTTCCTGATCCTCCTGGAAACTCTTGGCTGCAAATCTGGCTTCTTACACAGCCCTGTTTGCACTTGAACCACAGAAGAGCCCTCTGCTCACATTTTCCTTAGCAGGGGAGGGTGGGCCTGAGTGAGCAGCTGGTGCCTTCCTGGGGGACTTGCCCCGGTGTCCGCCTGTCCTAGACATATGAGCGTTTGACCTCTAGGGTGACAGCAGGGCCTGCAGCCACCTAGAAGAGTCCCTGGAACATAGAGGCAAGTTGTCACCCAGGGAAGTTAAAAAGAGCCAGAGGACCACGGTGTGTGTGTGCGTGCACATGCGTGTCCTTTCAGGCGGGGATAAGGGAGCCTTTCAGAAGATCGGAGAGGCCTCCGTGTTCCAAATTCCAATCAGGTCTTGGCAGATGTTGTTACGGTATTTCCATTGCAGCCAGCGGGTTTGTTTCTCTCTTTGAAACAGCCCCGAAGCCCCCAAAGATGGGGACAGATGGCCTCTTTCCAGAACAGCCCAGGCCCCCCCACCAGTCCCCAGCTCTCCAAACGTGGCCGCCTCCCAGCCTGCTTCTGGCACGGGAAGAATGTGTGGCACTCCCAGGGATGCTGGCAGCGGCCCCGCTTGGCTCCCAAATCAGAACCATCTGGCAGCGAGGGAAGGGAGGACCGTGCCCAGGGAGACAGCGCTCTCCTCTGTGGCCCCAGCTGGCTGGACGAGGGCTGGAGTGCCCGGGCAGGGGACCAGGGGACCTGGGGCCTGAGCTCCAGAGGAGGGGAAGTGCAGACTGTCTCCATGGAAACTCAGCCGACTCCGCCTTCATGTTGTGTCCTCTGTTTTCATGAACGCGCCCTCCAGGGTCTTCTGGGATTCATCGGTCTAGTCGGGGAACCAGGAATCGTGGGAGAAAAGGTAAGTGCTGCCCGGCGATCAGCTATCAGCGGGAGGGTTTTGAGGTGGACAAGGCCAAGGGCGCGTGGACCTGGGGCTTTCAGACCACTGCTGGCCTCTCGCTGGACTGGGCATTCAATGCCCTGCCAGTGCCTGCCTCCCATTTCCTGGCACCCCCTGGGGCCCCTGTCATTACCAACGGGCACAGTTAGACTTTTCTGTGTGACCACCAGGGGATGCCTGGGGCCTGGGCTGCAGGCACTTTCTGCGGTGGGCAATGGACGGAGGGAGCTTCATCTTGTAGAGAGATGAGGGGGAACCTCCCCTCAGGCACCTCGGTAGCTCCCTGCACCTCTCACAGGTGAGGTGACCCAGGCTCCAGCAGAGAAGGTGACTTGCTTGACGTCCCCAGGTAGTAAGCGGCAGAGCTGGGCCTTCATTATCCAAGGCCACATCTGCCCCCTGTGCCTCTCTGCTTCTCAAGAGCAGCCTGCGGCTCCCCTTCCTGTGTCCGATCCGTCCCCTGCAGGAGACGGCCTTCCTTTGAGCTTATCTGGTCCCCAGAGCAAGGCCCCGGCAGAGCCAGTGTTGTCCCCACTGAATGGATGGGGAAATGAGGTCCGCCCTCGTCGGGCCCCAGCTAACTTCCAGGCTCGCGCTGTGCCGGCCTCTGTCACTCTCTCTGGGACACTCTGGCTGCTGCCCCTTTCCTCCTTGTCCTCCTCTTCCTTTAAATTGAACTTTTTATTTTGAAATAGTTACCGATTTACAAGAAATTGAAAAAAAAATATCTAAAAGTAGAGAAAGGTCCCATGTGCCCCCAACCCTGTCCGGCAGGGCTGGCAGCTTTCACACCCAGCTTGTGACACCACAGCCAATTCCTGCTCTCCCATTGCTCAGTCATTCCGCTCCCTCCTCACCTACACGCCTGTGCCTTGGCCAGGTACACTTCCCTGTCCCTCCTGCCCCGCCCTTTCAGCCTGGATAACTCTTAGTGACCCACAGCTCTTGGGCCACCTCCCGTGGTGGTACCTGGCCCTGTGACTTCCCTCCCAGCAAGTGCTCCAGGCCACACCTCTTCTGGAGGGTCCTGTCATCTCCCTGCCACACAGAGTGTCTTGCCTTGTGGGTGGGAGAAATCTGTATGTTTCTGCTCCTCATTGAACATCCAGGGCCTGACATAGAGTGTTGGGCATACAGTAGGTGCTCAATAAATTCTTGCTGGCTGGGTGGAGACAAGAAGTGTGACTGAGCATCAACAGAGGCGGGGTGTGAGCTCAGAGGCCCTGCCTTCCCGCCCTGGCTGTGCCCGCAGCCCCAGCCCTCGCAGCCCCTCAGTCTGGATTGGGCGAGACGGAGGGAGTGAGCTCCGATCCTCCAGTATCTCATCTCAGTGTGGCCGGGGGGTGAGCGGAGTGGAGGGAAGGCTTTCTGTGACTCTTTCTGCCTTAGTGAGCCCAGCCCAGGGGATGCCAGGCCTAATGAGGACCACACAGTGTGGTCAGGGTCAGGGGGAGAAGGCGCTGGTCATTGGTGTGTCCTTCGTCACCATCCTAGCCCTATGGTCCTCTGCCGTGCAGGCCGCAGCCTCCCAGGACTCGTCTCGGTTTCCACCGAAGGAATCTCAGCTCCCCGTCTGGATGACGTGTCCATGAGCTGGGCAGGGACTCTATAGACAATGGCCAAGTCCCTGCCCCTCTGTGGGCCCCTGGGAGGCCCTCAGCAGCTGCCCCCACAATCACCCACAGCCACAGCTATGACCTCTCTGCATTGCTGTCTCCATTGCAGGGTGACCGAGGCGTGATAGGACCCCCAGGCGCACCCGGACCCAAGGGGGTGATGGTAAGGAGTAAGTCTGCCTCCTCTGGCCCTCTCCTGTCGCAGCCTAGGGTGACCCCCTGCTCCTTCCCCACCTGCCACGTCTCCAAGACGTTCAGGACAACCAGCTCCTTGTCCCTCCAGGAGGCCTGGTCTTTGCCCTCCGGCCCAGGCTAGGCCCAGCCAGGCAGGGCTGCAGGAGGGACAGGCCCAGGCCACAGCTGACCCCTCTCTTCCTCTGCTTCCACCACAGGGTCACCCTGGAGTGCCAGGTGGTGTTGGGACCCCCGGAGAGCCCGGACCCCCGGTGAGCAGAGCCCCCTGTTCCTGGGTGCAAACTCACTGTCTAGTGAGCACACCGAGTCCCGGCCTCACGTCGGACAGAGCTGGGCTGGAGGGTCAGCCCCGCCCTCCATGGCCATGTCCCGGGGGCAGATCCTTGGATTTCTCTGAGTCCACGTTTTGCTCATCTGAAAACCAGGAAGTAACCACGGTCATGGTTGTGTGACTCTGCAGGTTAAAACAGACTGTGAGCTAGTGTCCCTACGGAGTGATGTGGCCTCTCAGGAGCAGCTTGGTCACCATCACTGCTTTTGTCCATTCACTCATCTACTGGGGAAGTACCATGTGACATGCAGGCCTTGGGGGCCCCCGACATCCTGATTGCTGAGGAAGCTGGGGTGCTCCTGAGGACCCCAAGGCAGAGGTGGTGGGCAGACGGGAAGGCTGTGGGAGAGGGGGAGCCAGGAACTCCTAGATCTGGGGCCCTTCCCCTAGGATCACTGGGGGGTCCGCTTTCATTTAGAGCAGGTGATCTTTGCTTGGGTCCCTCTGCTTATGAGGATGGAATCCGAGGGACAAAGCTGGCTTTGGCCAAGGTCAGGGCTCAGGTCTGGGAGCCTGCTCCCAGGTAGGGTTCCTACAGTGACTGGGATGGGCTAGGGGACCTGCCCAGGCCTGCATCCCAGGACAGAGCCAGGAAGGATGAGACCTGGCTGCCCAGGGTTCTGCAGACCGCAAACTGGGGAGCTCCCTGGGGCCGCATGACAAAGGCGGGCAGCCTCTGAGGTTTGAGCCAGGGCAGGCTCGGGAAGCCAGGCCAGCCAGTGCCTGGCTCTTCCACGCACCTGCTGTGCCCGGTGTAGGTAGGCGCACCTGCAGGTGCCAACTGGCAGGAACTAGATCAGCTCTTGGGAGTCTCACTCCGGGTGGGCGTCAGAGGACCAATGTTCTGCTGGGTGCAGCTCACCAGGTAGCTGAGGCGCCAGCTTGGACTCCAGTCGTCCTCCCCGTGTTGGAGATGGAGGGATGGAGCCCAGCTGCATGGGGGCCCCCCGGACTGGACAAAGGCCAAGGGCAAGGTGCCCGGGAGTCATCCACCTTCTGTGCCCTGGGCCTGGACCAGAGGGCAGCCTGGACAGGAGTCACGGGGACAAGGTGGATGGTCAGTGGCGGGGTGGGAAGGTGCAGGCCTCCTCTGTATCTCCGCCCGGCTCCACTCGCTTCTCTCCCCACCGGCCTCAGTGCGTCTATCTGTTCAGTGGGGTGGCCCAGACTTCGTGATGCCAAGGTCGCCATTGACCTTTCCCTGCCCCAGCGTGGGACTAGTCCTTTGGGTCTCTTGAGGCTCCTGCTGGCCAGCCAGGTGCCTAGAGCACAGGGACCCAGAAACCTTGCTTCCGCTGCAGACACGGAGCCCAACCCCGGCTCCCCGCCTGCCCAGCTGTGTGGCTGCTGGCAATGTTCACAGCTTCTCTGAACCCGGGCTTCCTCCTCCGCAAGGGAGTGTGATCTTACCTCAGTGTGAGAAGCCGCGACAAGCACCCGGCCTCGTGGGTGGTGTGCGCTAAGCAAGCTTCCTGCTGTTGCCAAGGGCTCAGCAAGTGGCAGTGACATTTTGTTGAATGTGGCAGTTGCCCCTTTAATGGTGTTTCTCAGACTGTCACCATGAGAGAGAGGTTTCGGCAGCTCCTCTTCCCCTCTGGTCAGCGTTTCCAGTCCCTTCAGTGTCTACCTCCGCTCCGGCCCATTGAAGTCCGTCAAGTCTGAGCCTCATAACTGGGGTTGGGGCAGGTGGGAAGGGCCTGGGACCTGCCCAGGGGGACCTGGTGACCCCAGCTGGGTCTAGTCTCCAGATCTGACCTTCTGCTCTCAAGAATGGATAGCTACCTTTCACTGAGGACCGTCCTCAGCGATGCCAGGAGGCAGAGACTCCCCTCCCCCTCCTGCAGAGGAGGACACTGAGGCCTGAGTTTAAATGACCAGCTCAGGAAGGCGGCCGGCAAGTGGCAGAGGGAATCGCATGGGCCCTCGGTGCCATGGGGGTCTGCCCAGCACTCCGTTCCTGCTTCTGCCTGGAGCCGCCGGCCCTCCTGGGAGCGCCCCCTGTCTCGGGAGAGTGGGCTCCTCTGGCCCAGTCTTTCCCTCTAGCCCTGGGCTACGTCGGGGACCATGGCCCCCTGTCTCTGCCGAGGGGTGAGTGGGGGCAGCCACAGCCCCGAACCCTGCAGCTGCAGTCAGAGGTCTGCTGGGTGCTGTGGCTGCGGCTGTCCTCTTGTACCTAGGGGGCTGGCTTCTCCCTGGGGCCTGCAGGGGGACTGGCCGTCCCCTGTTTGGAAGAGGAGCTAGCCAGCCCCTTGGGAATCACGCTGAGGGGAGGCTCCCGAGCCCTCAGAGGGCTCCCGCTGTCTGGGAATGCAGTCGTGGCCTGTGGGCCTCTGCCCGCTCCATCCCTGCCCGCGTCCCTCACTCTCCGGTTCCTCTGCCCCAGCAGATGTCCTTGCAGGGCCTGGTGCTGAGAATTCGGAGAATGAAACCCCCCAAGTTTCCTTGCCCTCTCCTGTCCCCCTGGCTTTTCTTGTCACTTCCTCAGCTGGGAGAATGGGGGCGGCGTCCTGCTGGGGCTGCCCCTCCCCTCTGCCCTCTGCCCCTCCTCTCTGCCCCTTTTCCTCTGCCCCCTCCCCTGTGCCCCCTCCTCCCTGCCCCCTTCCCTGTGCCCCCTCCTCCCTGCCCCCTTCCCTCTGCTCCTCCCCTTTGCCCTGCCCCCCTTCTCGGTCCTCTCCCACCTGCCTGGCCTCCCAGCCTCCCAGCCCTCCTCGGGCGGGGTTCGAGGCTCTTCCTGCCCAGGGGAAACCTGTTCAGCGTCACATTTGCAGTCTGGGTGGGGTACGAGGGACAGGACTTGGTGGCTGCTGAGGAGAGGAAAGGAAAGGGAACGGAAGTTAAAGAGACCTTTGTCACACCTGTCACGACAGCCTGTCATTGCTGATTTTGAAATCAAGAAGGGAACGGCTCATCCAGATGGGCTCCTGCCCGCCACCAGGATGGTGGAAAGGCCCAGGGCACTGGCCCAGGCCAGAGGTTGTGGCCCTCAGCTGCCTTTCCCAATGGGCTGGCACCCTGCCTTCAGCTTGCAGCCACTGGGTGGAGGCAGGGAGGTTCCCGATGGTGTCTGGTGGAGGCTACAGCCTCCTACCCCCCCCCCCCAGAGTGCTCTCACCTCCGAGAAGGACTTCTCTAAACCGTGTTCCTCCCCACAGGGTCCTCCAGGATCGCGAGGCCCGCCAGGCCTGAGGGGCCCTAAGGGACGCCGGGTAAGTCAGGCTTAGATCCTGGGGCAGACACTGGGGAAGGGAGCGCTTGGGAGGGCACCGCCTCATCCCTGTTCCCTGCTCTGAACAGACTAGGGAGGGTCCCGGGCTTGCCCTGGCCCTGGGCCTCGTCCGTGGGCACAGCTGGCCTCTGGTTCCAAGTTTCCTTCAGCTCATTTCCTCGCTCCTTCCTGCAGCCATGCTTTGACTGGCACCTGCAATGTGCCAACCACCACGGGGGCCCCAGAGACTGGGAACAGGCGGGCATCAGGCCACGCACACGGCTTGGCAGAGCCGGGCGATGGATTGTGGGGTTACCAGAATGTGCGGGGTGGAAGCACAGGCCCCTTGGGAGCCCTGAGGCGGCGCCTTGCCAGGCGGGGCACCTAGGAAGGCCGGGGAGAGGGCGATGCCTGAGCTGGTGCCGGGCTCCAGGCAGAGGGGTGGGCCAGGACTTAGTAGGCACCATGCTCTAGACAGGGCTCAAAGGTCAGAGCTGTGCTCTCAAGGTAGTGGGGAGCCACAGAAGACAAGAGCTGGCCTGAGCACAGTGGCCTGGGGCAATCACTGACACTCCGGCAGTCACATGCCCTGACTCATCCAGGTCCTAGGTGCTATCTTATTGCCATTTTACACATGAGAAAACAGGTGCAGAGAGGTTAAGTCACTTGCCTCATATTGCACAGCTAGAAAAGGGTGGAACTGGGATTTGAACCCAGGGAGTTTGGCTCTCTTACATCCTGGACTGGCCTCCTTCTTGATCGTGCAGGGAGGGTGGGTAGAATGGTCTCCTTCTGCCAGCTGTTGAGCAGGTGCCAGGCCATTCAGCCTCGCTGTGAAGAGGAAACAAGCTGGAAGGGGAGCGGGGCCTGATACCCAGCCCCACGCAGGGGATAGGATCACTGTCCACTCTTGGCTGGATTCCAACTAGTTTAGAAATTTCCCCTGCACCCGATGGGATGGCCTGAGCAGCTGGACCCAGAGAGAGAGGGGAGTTAAAGAGGCACTGCCCTCCAGCCAACAGGGCCCCTCCTAGTGCCCGTGTCCCTGGTGTCTTCAAGGGGAAGAGGCCCGTGGACAGCCAGGTTCCCTCTGCCCCGGGAAGCCTATTAGCTGGAGGGTGAGCGGCCACGGCCCAGCTCAGCCCCCGGCCAGCTCCCCGCCCGCTCCCCAGCGTCTGCACCACCCCTTCGCAGCAGAGCCTTGAGGAATTTCTCTCTGGCTTGAGGAAACCCAGGCTCCCGACCACATCAAAGTTCCCAGGACTGAGAGGAGAGATGGGATGGAGCCCCTCTCCCAGGGGGCTTGGCAGGAATGCAAAACCTGTGGGATCACCCCAGGCCCTGCCCAGCAGGCCTCCCTGGGCCGCTTCCCCCAGGTCACTGAGGGTGGGGCAGAGAGGCCCTGGGGTGGGGAAGAGCTTCTGGGCAGCCTGCCCAGCTCCTGGTTTCCCCGGGCCCCTGCAAGGCCTCGCTGCTCTCTGGACCTCAGTCTCCCCATAGTGCCCTGGGGACTGGGTTGGGGAGGGAAGCCAGACCCTGCCTACCCTCCTGCCCGTGGAGGGTGGCCCCTGCTGCCCACCCTCCTCCCACCCTGGGAAGAAGGAGCTTGAGGGGTGGGGGCCGCCGGTGGGGGCTGGACCCTGTGCTCTGGGCAGGGAGCTGCGGGCCGTGCCCTCCAGCCGAAGCTGAAAGCAGGAGGGTTCTGGTCAGAGGGGCTCAGCCTCCCCGCCTCCCGGATGTGGGGCCTCAGGCCGGTCTCCCAAGCTCCTGGAGGCTTTGTCCACCTGCTCAGGTGTGCAGCTCAGAGGGGCCGAGGACCCGAGCTCCAGGTGCCAGGACCGCGCTCTGTGGCCATGAGTGGGCAGTGGCTTGTCCCCGGAAACTTCTCTTGAACCTCAGGCAATAGCCTCCCCCTCTGAGCCTCTGTTTCTTCCTCTGTAGACAGGTGGCCACAGAGGCCCCCCCCAGGGACATGGCCCAGAGGTTCTGTCTTTTCACGAATGTCCCCAACATGCCAGCGCCTCCCAGTGCGGCAGGCGGAGCCCGCGTGTCTCCCTCAAGTCTCCCACTCCTCCTTTAGCGTTCCTCACGAGGGCTGAAGGTGGCCAGGGTCCCCCGCCCAGTCCGACCCAGGCCTGGCTGGAGGCCGGGGCTGCCGACATGGCCTCTGGGGCGTGGATGTGAGAGGGCAGGCTCTGCCAGAAACCCAGACCCGCAGCAGAGAGAGCCTCCTGCTCCCTCCCGAGACTGGCCCCATCCCTGAGCCAGGCCTTGGCCTTGCCCTGGCCTCTCCCAGCAGGGTCTCCCAGACGTGGCCCTCCCACACCTCCCATAGGCGCCTCCCGCAGCTCCTCCAGCTGCCCCCCACCATGACGGCACTCCGCCCACCCCACCCCCCACTGAGCAACAGGGATTCTGGGGAGGACCTGGCGTGGGCTCCAGCTGACTTGGGTTCGAATTTCAGCTCTCCCTGGTGGCCCTGAGGCCACAAGCACGTTCACTTCCACTTCATTTCCACGCAGACCCGGCTCCTCGTCTGTAAGACCGTGGCTTTCTCTATTGCTGCTACTGTGGCTTCTTAGTGTCACAATTGTCACCGGTTCACCACTTTCTCCCTGCTCTCCTATGGTGAGCAGAGGGCAGCAGGGTCTAGGCCACACCAGGACCCCTCAGGGCCCCCTCCTTGGGAGCGCCAGGCAGCTGATAAAGTGGATCAGCAGTTCTCCTGTCTCAGTCCTCTGTTGACTTTGTCCTCCTGTGTGTCCGTGGCTTTTCCTCCCCATTCCTCAGCCTCCCCCACCCAGACACTCCCCATCCTGGGGTCTGGAGGAGTGTCCCAGGCTGCTCCTCCAGCCACCTCTGCTTGACACCCTTTGTCCCCCACAGAACAAACACTGATCTGTTCCCCAGGGACCTTTTCCAGGAGACCCCATCCCACTTGTGGCTCTGTGGGAGTGCCCATGGGGGACCCTGAAGGAGACACCAGTTGCTAATGTGCTGAGGAGCCTTGGGTGGTGGGCTTCCTTAGCCTGGCCTCCGTGTTCCCAGCTGTGCATATGACAGCAGGACTCCTCCTGCCCCCAGGACCTCTCCCCTGAGGGCACTGAGACTCCATCCAGTCTCCAGGGTCAGGACTGAGCCCAGGGCTCCAGAGGACAGTGGCCCTGCTCCTGCCCCCTCCTGCTGCCAGTCCTCCCTCTGTGAGCTGGCCCAGCTCACACATCTGGCCACAGGCTCCCTGGGTCCGTCTCGGTCTCCCCCGCACTCCTGCTTCCGCAGGGTGTGAAGACCCCGCTGTGGGTCGTGGCCTCGTGGTTCTTGGTCTGATCCTCCATCCCAAGTGTGGAGTGGGTCAGCTGGGTTACCCCCCCCCCACCAGGTCTGGAAAGGTGGGGCCTCTCGCTGAGTCTCCCTGGCCATGCTGTCTGCGCTGCCATCTCGGCTGACACCCAAGGGTGACGTGGCTCAGGAGGCAGTGTGCAGGAAGGCACAAGGCAGAGCCCAGGCTTGTGCAGGAAAGGCCTAGGCTCCAGGAAGCCCCGCCATCCTGGCTCCCAGCCTGAGGAGACCCCTGCCGTCCACTGTGCTAGAACCTTCTTTCTTTTTCAGGGTCCCAGAGGACCGGATGGACCCGCTGGGGAGCAGGGGTCCAGGGGCCTGAAGGTACCAGCCGTGTCCTGCCTTTACTCCCCCCCCCCACACACACACCCAGGGCAGGGGTTCCAGCACCAAAGCCAGAGGCCTGTCCTTCCCCAGCACCACCCCTAGGGGCAGCAGAGAGTCCTGGGGGAGGCTTAGGCCATCCCCAAGGCCAGTCGTCCTCCTGTCCCCACAGGCCCAGAGAAGAGAAAGCAGGGGAGGGCCAGCCGGAGGGGATCACAGTGCCTCTGAACCCCAGGGCCCCAGCCTCACCAGGCTCCTTGAGCTGAGGCCATCTGACGTCCCTGTCAGTGGGACGGGGTCCTGATGGCTGTGGAAAGCCTATCCTTTGCGGGGCCTTAGCTTTTCCGCCTACACAGTGGGGACAGGGGAGGACACTGTGGTCTCTCCGTGAGGCGGGTGCCTCCTGGGGAAGGGTCCTCCCATGAACCCCCCCCCTCACTGTAGGCGCTCCTCTTCCTGCAGGGCCCTGTGGGACCTCGGGGCAGACCCGGCCAACCTGGACAGCAGGTACGTCAGGCCAAGGTCACGCTGGCCGGCCGCCAGCCCCCACCCCACTCCCCGCTCTGTGATGTGTGCCTCTAATGACCCCCAAATGTGCTTCCAGGGCGCGGCTGGTGAGCGAGGCCACTCGGGCCCGCGAGGCTTCCTCGTAAGTGACAGTTCTCATTGTGGGGCTTTGGCACTGGGTGGGGCGCAGTAGCCACCGGTTCCTGGCCTGCTACGGAGACCCCACGGCCTCCAGCCCCTTCAGCATGTGTCCTCCCCTGGGTCTCTGCCTCCCTGCCTGTCACATGGGATCACACCTGTGGGGTGGGGAAGACCCAGGACACCTGCATGACTCACCTGAGGTCCAGGAGCAGGCGCAGCGATGGCGGGGAGGGACTGTGGTCACTGTGTCTCTCTCTGCAGGGCATCCCGGGTCCCTCAGGCCCCCCTGGCACCAAGGGCCTCCCAGGAGAACCGGTCAGTGTCCCTTACCCTCTTGACACCTTTGTGCTGCTCTCAGGCCAGCCACCAGGGGTGTGGGCCAGACAAGGAGCAGGGCTGGAAAGGGACCATGCTGGGCCCCACTGTCCCTGGGCCAGGCCCAGGTGAGGGCGAGAGCCCTGCCCGAACTCCATGCTTGGGCCTCTGTGCACTGCCTTGCAGCCTGTTCTGCCACCAAGGAGGGGACAGCTGCCCCTGCCCCGCCCATCTGTGGCGGGGAGGAGATGGGAGGTGTGTGGAGGGCGTGCAGCGCAGAGAAAGGCAGGGAGGGGACGGACGGGGACACCGGGCAGCACACTAGGGGCTGTCAGGAGGTGGCTGGCCATGGCCAGCATCGGCCCTTTGTCCTAAGGGTGGGGGAGCCGTTGAGGAGCGTGACCTGCTGTCAGGAGATGCCAGGGCCTGGGCTTGGGGGATTGCCCAGGTGTCCCCATTCCCTGTGGAGGCTGCCGGGGCCAGTGCTGCTGCTGAGATGGGGGTCAGGGCGGCTCCAGAGCTGAGCGAGTGCCTGGGCCCTCCCCAGGGGGCACTAGGGTGGGCAGGACGCTCTGCCCCAGGGCCTGGATGAGAGAGAGGCCCTTTGAGCGCTGGGTTGTCCAGGACCAGAGGTGGGGGTATGTGGGGCAGAGGATCAGGATGAGCCAGGCCCAGAGCCCGGGCCCCAGGGCAGCCCTGCTGGGCTTGGTGGGTGAGTAGGAGGGTGCAGGTGGCTGGGGGACCACAGGAGATTGGGACTGAGGACCTGGACTTCTAGGGTCCTGCAGTGCGGCTGGAGCGGGCTGGGCTGCTCGGTCCCAGGACCTGCTGGTCCTCCCCTCCCCCACCGCTCCAGCCCATGTGGTAGGAAGCTGGCTTCTCCCAACTGTGTGTCTGTGTGTCTGTCTTCCAGGGCCCTCAGGGACCCCAGGGACCAGTGGGCCCTCTGGGAGAGATGGGACCCAAGGTGAGTGCTGGGCACCCTTGCTGGTCCTTCCTGCTGCCCCTCCCGCCTCCTCCTAGGGGCACCCTCCTGCCGTCCCTGTCCTGGCCCAGGGAGATGGCGGAGCCTTGTGTGCTGAGACTGGAGCTTAGGCCCTGCAGAGAGGGGAGGCCCGAGCCAGAGGCAGAGACCAGAGCTGGGCTCCCAGGCCCAGGCCCTCGGGGTTGGCAGGGCCTCTTTGCCTCACTGAGAGTACCGGCCTCCCCCCTGCTGGGAATTCAGCCGCACAGAGGTGGGACCAGACAGCCTCAGGCAGCAAGGAGCAGAGGGGCCTCAGAGCTCCCGGCCTTATCCAGAGGACAAAGCCAAGCCCTGGGGTGAATGCGAGGCCTAGGCCATGCCCGGGGTGACGCAGCGCCCTTTGTCCTGTCCTGGCCCCACTGCGGAGAAGAGCTTGACCGCTCAGCCCTGAGCTCACACTGGCCTTGTCCCAGGCCTTAGGTGAACCATGAGTTCCCCCCCTGGGCTTGCCCAGGCTCCTAGGTGGCAAACCGCACTCGTGGGCAGGGAGAGGGTCCAGCAGCCACAGGTAGTCCTAAGGTGTGGCCAGTCTGGGCCCAGCCACCCTCCCTAGCCCCAGCTCAGGCTCCCAGAAGCTGCTGCCTGCTTCTGTCTCTGTGTCTCTCATGCTGTATGACCTGAGTATATCCCTGGCCCTCTCTGGGCCTCAGTTACCCCCTTGCTTACAACCAGGGGCCGGCCCTTGCTCTAGGAGAGACTGATGGCATTTTCTTGCAGGGGCCGCCAGGTGCAGTGGGAGAACCCGGCCTTCCTGGGGAAGCAGGGATGAAGGTGAGGCGGGATGCAAGACGAGAAAAATGGCTGTCGACACCAGCACCCAGCTGCCACTGTCCATGTCCCCCACCCCCACCCACAGAAGGAAACAGGCGTTTCTTGTGCCTGGGATAATGGGCTCTCTGTGCTCCTGCTGGGGAGCAGGGCCTGGGGTGGCCACGGTGGGTCCCCGTCTGCCCAGAGCCCCGCCCTGCCCCTGCCCCCCTGCCGGGCAGCGTTTTCTCTAGCACCTGCTAGGCTGCAAGTCGGGGGGCCGCACCTCCGGGCCTGCAATGCCACCTGTGTCTCAGCACTGCTGTCCCCCGTTACCTGCCAAGAAGCAGATACCCACTATACCTGGGCCTGGGAGGGCCTCCCACTTCTGCTGTTGGCCAATCCCGCCCCGTGCCTGAGTCTCCCTGTTATTCAGAGGGCGCTGGACCGGCCTGTGGCTATCGGGCTTGGCTTAGCTCCAGAACCTTTGCTCAAAGAACAATGGTGACCCCCGCCCCCCATGTAGGAATAGGTGGGGAGGGCTGGTGAGTGCTGGGCTCTGCCTCCTCCTCGTGCCCCAGACCCCAGCAGGAGTGGGGCTTGGAAGTCCCTGCATGAGAAGGACCCCTTGGGGATCTTCAGGGTGCAGGTGACTCTTACTTGAGCCTCCCTCTGGTCTGAGTTTCTTTTCCAGTCTCCAGGAAGGGCAAGAAGCTGTCGGTTAGAGTGGCCATCCTGTACCGAGCCTCCAGGCCAGGCCACTCCAATCTGTACCCTGAGTGTGTCACCAGACACGGGCCCCGCGCTAGACTGTGGTCTGGTTACTGACCAGAGTTTCTCTCCTTCAGGGTAGTGGCGAAAGCCAGAGGTGTTCAGAGCAAAAAGTACTTAGGATAGTGCGCCATCGCCCATGAAGATAATGGTGATTGTGAAGGTGGTGGTGATGGTGGTGGAGATGAGATTGGAAGGTGTTGATGATGGTGGAGATGATACTCATGGTGATGGTGATGGTGGTGGTGGTGGTGGTGGTGGTGATGGTGATGGTGATGGTGGTGATGCTGATTATGATGTGAAGGTAGTGATGGTGGTGATAGTAATGACAGTAATGATGATCACAGGCATTATGGTAATGGTGGTGATAGTGGAGGTGATGATTGGAAGGTGGTGATCATGGTGGTGTTGATGATGGTGGTGGTGGTGATGACAGTGATGGTTATAATAATGATGGTGATGACAATGAGAAGCTGCTGATGGTGATAGTGATGATAATGGTGGTGATAATTAGGAGGGATATATGATAATCATGGTAATGGTGATGGTGGTAATGGTAATATTGGCAATGAGAATGATGGTGGTGGTGGTGGTGATGGTGGTGATGAAATTGGGAGGGGTTGATGGGGGTGGATACAATAATCATGATGATGGTGCTGGTGGTGATGATGGGATGGTGGTGGTGGCAATGATGATGGTGATTTTGATGATATGATGGTGATGGTATTGGTTTTGGTGGTGATTATGGTGGAGATGATAATCATGGTGATGGTGATGGTGATGGTGGTGATGGTAGTGATTATGGTGGAGATGATAAATCATGGTGATGGTGGTGGTGATGATGATGGTGGTGATGGTGATGGTAATGATTATGGTGGAGATGATAATCATGGTCATGGTCATGGTGATGGTGATGGTGATGGTGATGGTGGTGATGGTGATGGTGGAGATGGTGATGGTAGTGATTATAGTGGAGATGATAATCATGGTGATGGTGATGGTGGTGATGATGGGATGGTGGTGGTGGCAATGATGATGGTGATTTTGATGATATGATGGTGATGGTGTTGGTTTTGGTGGTGATTATGGAGAAGATGATAATCATGGTGATGGTGGTGATGGTAATGATTATGGTGGAGATGATAATCATGGTGATGGTGATGGTGATGGTGGTGATGGTGATGGTGATGGTGGAGATGGTGATGGTAGTGATTATAGTGGAGATGATAATCATGGTGATGGTGATGGTCTTTCTTCCCTGGTGCTGGGGAAGCCCATGTCCAGGGCTGACCTAGAGTAGGGGCTCTGGTTGATGCTTTATGATTCTCTTTGGTCTTTGGGAAGAGGGACTTCCCCAGCTCCCTCCTGCCCCCTGGTGGAAACAGGAGGGTATTGCGAGGACTGGGACTGGGCCTACCTGCCTTCATGGACTTGTGTTTGGCTTCTCCTAGGGCGACCTTGGACCCCTGGGCACCCCTGGGGAGCAGGGCCTCGTTGGGCAGCGGGTAAGTAGCAGCAGTGCTTCTCCCTGGAAAGCCCAGGGCATGGGCACAGGCGAGGAAGGGAGAGAAGGGCTCCATTCAGCCTCCTTGACCCTCGGTTTCCTCAGCTTAGAAACAGACCAGGCCTCTTCCCGGCCTCGTGCACTCCCATCACCAGCGTTTCCCCAGTGTGGAGGAAAGCGTTCTGTGGCTGGGGACGTTGGGGACGTGCACGCTTGGTGTGCACGCTTGGTGTTCGCACTTACCCATTAGCACCTCTGAGAAGGCCTGCAGTCAGGAGCGTGGCCTCCTCTGGGTGAACCCAGGGCGTCCAAAGGCATCGAAATTCCAGGGATTTTATTGAGAACATGTTTGTCCTTCAGAACTGTCCACAGTTGTCCCTCCTTCTCCAAGAGAGACCTGCAAAGCCCTCGAGGGCCCTGGGGCCATTTCTTTATGTTCCCTGCTTGTTTATTAAGTCCTCCTGAACATGACCCATGGGCAGCTTGAGGATACAGCAGGCCCCTTCCTGATGGGGCAGCCCACGGGGGAGAGGGCGTCCGAGGGCCTCTGTTCATGGGCTCCAGGCCTGACCGTCTTTCCTCCTGTCCAACACCTCGTGCTCCCCGTGGCCCGAGGTGGGGCTCTCTGGACCCCTCCCAATATAATAATGTGTCTTGGTCTCTCTCATCCCCTTTCCAGGGAGAGCCAGGCCTCGAGGGTGACGGTGGCCCTGCTGGGCCCGACGGGCTGAAGGTACGTGCCCTCTGGGTCAGGAGCTGGGAGGAGGGGGCCAGTTCTGCCCTCCCAGAGCACCCATCCCCACAGCCTCTGCGGTCAGTGTGGCCCCCTGGGAGCCTGGCCCTGCCCACCCAGGTGCCTGCTCGGTGGAGCTGGGGGCCGTCACCACCTCCCACTCATCCGTGCTCCCTTCTCCTGAAACATCTGCTTCTCTTGGCTGAGGGAGGTTGCTGAGCGCCCTCCAGGCCGGGCCCAGAGCCCAGGCTTTGGTTTCTGTTGCCTTCCAAGCATCCTAAAAAATTAGAAAAACAATAACCACCAGCGTTGATGTGCAGGCCACTGTTTAGGGAGGACTAGTGACACAGGTACCGGCTGAGCCCTCTGTATAAATCACCTCTATCATTGCTGCAAGGTAAGTTATATCTTTAGAGAGGAAACTGAGGCTCAGAGAGGTTTAGCAGCCTGCCTGCGGACACACAGCTAGTAACTGGCAAACCCAGGGCCCAAATCTGGGTCTATCTGGCTTCAAACTGTAGCTCTTTCTGCTGCAGGGTGCCCCAGTTCTAAAGGTGGGGAGATTGAGGCTCACAGGGGGGCAGAGAGGTGTCTGTTCAGAGTCTAAGGCTGCGAATGGAGGATCCAGGATTCAAACTCGAGGCTCACAGAGCCAAAGCTTATTGGCCCAGCTCAGCCCGGCCGGTCCCCGTCAGCCACAAAGGCAGGGCCCTTAGAGGGACGCAGGGGCTCTCTGCAGGCAGCAGCCCTGACTCACCAGCCCCACCCCGGCCCAGGCCTGGCCCGCCTCCACTTCTGCCCCTCAGGTGGGCTTTCTCCAGGGCTGACCGGCACTGGGCACATCACCCCCACCAGCCCCTCCCAGGTCCCAGGTGAGCGCCACAGCCAGATCCCCTGTGCCACCCTCCGTGGCCTCAGACCAGCACCCTCTCCTGGCCTGCATTTCCCCAGGCCCAGGCCTCTGCCCGTGCCCCTCCCCCAGAGCCCCAGGACTTCCCCTCTCCCAGGGCGCCTTGGTGACAGGCCCCGGCTGGCTTAAAGGGTGACAGCTCCCCCACCCCAGCCCCCAGCCCTGGGGTACAGCTGGGTCCCTTTCCTCCTCCACCACTCAGGTCCCTGGGCCCCACTTCCGTCTTCTTTCACTCCCTTCAAAACTAATTCTACCCGTGTCCTTGGACCAGAGTAGTTGCTCAGATGCACAGCACCTTCCCTGGTCCTTGCATGAATCCCAGGAGAGACTCTGCCTTCTATGGTGTCTGCCCAGGCGTCACCTTCATGGTGAAAACTGCCTCTAGGTGTGGACAGCACTTGACAGTTTATAGAGTGCGTCTGGACCAGTCTCTGTTGACAGTGACGGTGCCCAGTGGTAGCTCCCCTCTCTCCACCCTCATTCCCAGGCGCTATGCTAAGCTCTCTGCAGGCTTTCTGTCCTTCAGGCCCCTCAGTGACCCCTTGATCCTTGTTTTATTACAAGGAAACTGCCCAGGGTCACCCAGCTATTGGGTGCAGTAAAGAGCGCAGCCCAGGGCTGAGGGAGGCTGTCCCTGGGCAGAGGTCCTTGGGCTGAGAAGGAGCCGGAGCTCTGTGTGCTCACCACTCCGCCACTGGCCACTGCGTGGCATGAGGAGTCCCCGCCTCCCTCTGGGCCTCAGTCTTCCCATCTATGAATGGGGAGAGTGGAATCAGGCGGCCTGGAACGCTGAGGTCACAGGTGTCCCCGGAATCCCCGAGCCTGCTCTGCGGGACCACAGGAGCACCCCAGCTGTGTGGGAGGCCTGCAGGGTGCTGTCGCCCTGGGACCGGGTCCTGTACGGGGCGGCCAGGGTGCCGAGCCAGGAGCGGCCTCAGAGCAAGGGGTATGCGGGGGGCCAGGGGGGCAGCCCCTCTCTGCACCAGGCTGTGCCTGGAATCTGAGAACCTCAGTGGGCCTACCCGGGGCCCTGGCCTGACCTGCAGCCCACGCTGGGCTCCCTCCACATCCACACTGCCTTGCCAGGGTCCCTCATCTGCTGTGACGTCAGGACACAAAACTGGCCAAGCCGCATGCTGCTCCTCCTGGACTGCTCCCAGACGCTCCCTCCCCACTCATGTGACCTCAGGCCCTCACCTTCCAGGGGCCCCTGAGCAGCCCCTGCCGTAGACCCCGGGGTGACAGCCTTCTGACGAACCCTGCCCTCCACCTGCAGCCCCTGCCCAGCCTCACCCCTCGTGCCTGCTCTGCCCAGGGCCCCCACCGCGTCCTGGAGGAGCCTGCTTTCCCCAGGACCCTGCGGAGCGGCAAGCTCAGGGCCACCTGGCCATCAAAGCCCTTTGCAAAGCCAGAGCATGCGGGGAGCAGACGCAGCCTGTGACTTGGGCTCTCAGAGCCCACAGTCCTTCCCAGGGACAGAGCCTCAGGTGCCCCGGACCTTGCAGTCCCAAGAGGACCTTGGTGACATCCCCAGTAACTACAGAGCTGCCTTCAGGGAGAGGAGCTTGGTGGGAGCTGGCCAGTCCAGCTCCGCTATTTGAGGCCAAGCGATGGGTCTTGCTCGGCTTAGTGTCCTCTCTGTAAAGCCGGACCTAAGGACACGTGCCCCGAGAGGCTGCGGCCAGGAGGAAGTTAGTTTAAAGGATCCAGAATCGAGGCCAGACACGGGAGCGCCAGGTGACACTGGCTGCCACCCACCCGACAGGGTGCCATGTGCCCACGCTGAGCAGGCCACGGCCCCAGAGGGCCATCTCAGCATCATCTCTGGGGACGTGGCCCAGCTTACCCCTAACTCGCTCAGCTGCCTGGAGCCGAGGCCTGGCTGCATGCGGCCTGGCTCCCGGCAAAGCCATGGCATGTGGCATGTGGCGTGTGTTGTGACCATGCTGCCTCGGGGTGAGCGAAGCTGAGGAGTGCACCTTGGAGTAGTGACAAGTGGCCCCTCAGATGGCGCTTCCTCCTTGATAAAGACTCATCCAGCCCGGCCCTGGAGGCTGAGGCAGGAGGATCCCAAGTTCAAAGCCAGCCTCAGCAATAGCGAGGCTCTAAGCAGCTCAGGGAGACCCTGGCTGTAATAAAATACAAAACAGGCTGGGGACGTGGCTCAGGGTCGAGTTCAATGCTGTCCCCCACTAAAGACCTCATCTCGTCCCCGTTCTCCAGGGAGTCGGCCTTGGGGCCAAGTCACCGTGTCTGCTACCTTGCCCCTCCTGGGACCTCCCGGTGGCTGTGCACAGAGGCCTGGCTTTTCTCTGAGCCACTGCCCTGTCTGGCCCCAGCTCAGGCAAGGACATGTGGCAGCCGCCCTGCGGGACACTGCCCATGCTGGCCACGCCTGCCAGCCCGACTCAGGCGACTCGGGCCTCCACGCGGATCCCCGAGGCTTGGGCTCAGGTGGCCTGTGACTGATGCGTTCTCTCCCCTCCTCATGCCTTCCCGACCCAGGGGGACCGAGGTGACCCAGGGCCTGATGGAGAGCATGGCGAGAAAGGCCAGGAAGGGCTCAAGGGCGAGGACGGGGCCCCCGGCCCTCCTGGTGTCACCGGCGTCCGGGTGAGTGTGCGGGCGGCGGGCCAGCGCTGGGCTCCTGGTCACAGGCACAACCTGCCTGCAGTGGCAGGGCCTTCGAGGGCGAGGCTCGGGCGGGGGCACCGGGCTGACGACTGGGACCTTCTTGGTAGTGGGCCCGGGGGTGTCCACAGCTGAGCTGGGGGGCCGGGGGGCTGGAGGGCCAGCTTGCCAACTCACTGATACAGCACCAGCCTGCTGGGCGGTGGGACCCCGTGTCGTAGCCGTCCCCCGGGCTGTGAGTCCCCTTCTTCTCCCAGTGGAGGGTCTGGGCTATTCCCCACCCCTCAGCCCACTTTCATTCAGGCCTATTCTTGACATTCCCTTTCCCTCCCAGAGTGTCGAAGTGACTAACCTGGGACAGATCCAAATTAGCCGGCAACAAACTGGTTGTGGGAAAATGTTTGTTTCCTAAAAATAGAACCAAAGTGCTAATCCCCCTTAACAGCTGCAGCAGAATGAGCTCACCACTGAACTGGAGAGGAACACGAGCACTTGGTTGGACTCTCCATGCCAGAGGCTTCCCCAGGCTGGGCTCAGCTGTGGGGAAATGGGCCAGGGGGACTCGGCAGAAGGGCCGCTGGCCCCCATTCTCCCTCAGTAACTTGCTGTGTGACTTTTTCACTCACTCCTTGCCCTCTCTGGTCTCACCTTGTCACTATGAAAGATTTGGAGGGGAAAATGTGTGCTAAGATCCCTTTGACATCCCACATTCCAGGCACCCCTTTTACTGAGTTTTAAGTATCACACTGTACAATGGCAGGCACTGTGGCAGAAATACCCTGAGGACAGAGTCCAGAGGTTGCACCTGCATCCTGGCTTCAGCAGCTCCCCTCGTTGAGCCTGTAGGAAAATCACTGTGCTCCTCTGAGCCTTGGTCTTCTCATCCAGAAAGAGTCAGTGAGACTCCACAGGCAGCGCCCAGAACCGAAGACTGAGGGTTCCGAGGAGGAGAGGAATAGAAGCTGGTGGTGGAGGTGAAGGATTTGTGGATGGGACTGGGGGTGACAGCAGCAGTGGTAGTGCTGGTCGTGGTGGTGGTGGTGGTGATGATGGTGATGGTGATGGTGGTTATGGTGGTGATGATGGTAGTAGTGGTAGTGGTAGATGGTGATAATGATGATGGTGATGGTTATGCTGGTGATGGTGATGATTGTGGTGATGGTAGATGGTGATGGTGATGGTAGATGGTGATGGTGATGGTTATGCTGGTGATGATGATGGTGGTGATGGTGATGGTAGATGGTGATGGTTATGCTGGTGATGGTGCTGATGGTGATGGTGATGGTGGTTATGGTGGTGATGGTGATGGTAGATGGTGGTGATGGTTATGCTGGTGATGGTGGTGATGATTGTGGTGATGATAATGGTGATGGTTGTGATGGTCATGGTGGTGATGGTGGATGGTGATGGGATGATCATGGTGGTGATGTTAGTGATGATGGGTGATGAAGGTGGTAATGCTGGTGATCCTGGTGATGATGGTGATGGTGGTGATGATGGTGATGGTGGTGATGATGGTGATGGTGGTGATGACGGTGATGGTGATGTGGTGGTGGCAGTGGCTGTGATAGTGCTGTGGTTGTGGTGACAGTGGTGGTAGCAATGGCAGCGTCAGTGTCTGGCTGTCACTCCCAGTTCATTCACCAGGGGGCAGGGGGCAGCCTGCATGTGCAGAGGGCCCTGAGGCCGTGGAGGCCTGAGGCCAAGGAGGCCTGGTTGTTTGTTTGTTGTTTTTGAGCTTCTTTGGCCTCAGGGCACAGGTCGGACACCTCCGGCCTGTGGCCTGCAGAGAGTCAAGTATTTAAAAATAGAATTTTCTCCAGCCATCAGGGCGGTTCCGGAGTGTGCCCCAGTCCTGCTCCACGTTCTCATGTTTGGTGATGAGGATCTGCACACGTGCCCTGGTCCCCGGGGACTCTGTCGCCTGGTGACGTCACAGCCAGCTTAGCTGTGTGGGCACACTGTATGATGTGCGCACAGTGACAGAATCGCCTCACGGCTCATTTCCCTGAACTTGTCCTGTTAGTACTTGAGGATTGACTGCCCATGGGTGGGGCCGAGCCAAAGTCACTATTCCAGTCCCACAGCCTTAGCCCACTGGGTGCTAAAGCCATTCTCGGGGTTCCCCATCTCTGGGGTGTTCTCAGCTGGAGACGGCCTGGTCTCCCGTCCCCTGACCCTGGACCCAATGCTTTCCTCTGACAAGAAACCAGTCAGCCACTGTGGTCACCTCAGTCCACTGGCAGATTCCCCCAGCCACCGCACCACAATTTCACCAGGGCCCAACAGGGCCAGCCTGGGCCAGGCGTGCCCCAGGAAGTGACACTGCACGTCACTTCTAACGTGTGCTGGTGGCCTGCAGACAGTACCTCTTCTTACCAGGTCTCAGTTTCTTTAGCCTGACTGGTGGCTAGTGTTGGGTGCCGAGCAGGCTGAACTGTGTTGTCTGCAGGGCAGGCTGAACAGATGTTGGCTGCAGGATAGCCCACGCACTCAAACCCCCCTCTATCTGGTCCTTTATCACCTGTTTGCCTCAAGTCTGAACATTCAACCCTGCTTAAGGCTGAACACTTAACCCCCCCTTGGGCCAACAAGGCAGCTTGCAGACCAGAGGCCCCATTAGATTTGGGCTATAAAAACTCCCTCCTGCCAGGCCCCCCTCTCTCTCCCTCTCTCTCTTGCTCTCTCTCTCTTGCTCTTTATCTTTCTTACGCGCACGCTCTCTCTCTCTTGCTCTTGCTCTCTCCCTGTTCATCTCTTTTCTCTCTCTTTCCTTCTTTCCTTTCTCTTTGTTGCACTGCTGCAATAAAGATCTTTTGGTTGCTCCGAGTGTTGTGGTCACTTTCCTTTCAGCTAGAGCATGAGGATTGTTAGAATTTTACTACTGGAGAAGCAAGAGACCTGGAGATGGCTCTGTCCAGTGCTGTCCAGTCAAAACAGTACAGAGCCAGGCGTGTTGGCGCATGCCCTTAATCCCAGCTGAGGACTCAAGAGGCTGAGGCAGGAGGATCACAAGTTTGAGGCCAGCCTCAGCACTTAGCAAGTCCCTAAGCGACTTAATGAGACCCTGTCTCTAAAAAATAAAAAGGGCTGGGGATGTGCTCAGTGGTTCAAGTGCTTCTGGGTTGAATCCCCAGGACAAAAAGAAGAAAGAAAGGAGGGAGGGAGGGAAGGAAGGAGGGAGGGAGGGAGGGAAGGAAGGAAGGAGGGAGGGAAGGAAGGAAGGAGGGAGGGAAGGAAGGAAGGAGGGAGGGAGGGTAGGAGGGAGGGAGGGAAGGAGGGAAGGAGGGAAGGTGGGAGGGAGGGAAGGAGGGAGGGAAAGAGGGAAGGAAGGAGGGAGGGAGGGTAGGAGGGAGGGAGGGAAAGAGGGAGGGAGGGAAGGAGGGAAGGTGGGAGGAAGGGAAGGAGGGAGGGAAAGAGGGAAGGTGGGAGGGAGGGAAGGAAGGAGGGAGGGAGGGAGGGAAGGAGGGTAGGAGGGAGGGAGGGAAAGAGGGAGGGAGGGAAAGAGGGAAGGAGGGAAGGTGGGAGGGAGGGAAGGAAGGAGGGAAGGAGGGAAGGTGGGAGGGAGGGAAGGAGGGAAGGTGGGAGGGAGGGAAGGAAGGAGGGAGGGAGGGAAGGAAGGAGGGAAGGAGGGAAGGTGGGAGGGAGGGAAGGAAGGAGGGAAGGTGGGAGGGAGGGAAGGAGGGAGGGAGGGAGGGAGGGAGGGAAGGAGGGAGGGAGGGAGGGAAAGAGGGAGGGAGGGAAGGTGGGAGGGAGGGAAGAAAGGAGGGAGGGAGGGAAAGAGGGAAGGAGGGAGGGAAGGGAAAGAACCAGAATACGAGCCACATAACTTAAAATTTTCTAGTCGCCACATTTTAAAAAGGTAAAAACAAACAGGTGAAATTAATTTTAATAACATTTGTTTAGAAAAAAATAAATCCAAAATATTATTTCCACAAGGAATCAATAGTTAAAGGGAATCGATAGTTAAAAATCACTAGCGAGCTATTTTGCATTCTTTCTTTGTTTTTGGCGCTAAGTCTTTGAAACCCAGTGTGCGGCTTCCGCTCCCAGCCCACCCCGATTCAGGTGGAAATGCTCTAGAAATACTTGACGTGGGGATTTTCCGTGCGGCCATTTTCACTGGCGATGCTTGACCTGGCTTTCGAGCTCACTCAATGTCCATGGGAAATGGGGACCCGCAGACCCCAGTGGTCTCAAGTAGGCGTCAGGTTCTGCCGAGGCTGATTTAGACCTAACGTTTTCAATTTGATTTGAAAGTTGAGTGGACTCGGGGCCCAGGCCTCGGCCACAGCAGCTGGGTTTTGCGGGCTCGGCCTCCATGCTGGCTGGAGGCCCTGATGGGCAGCGCGGGCTTCCTGATTAGAGCGGAGCCCTGGAGCCCGGGGATGCAGGAGTCTGTGCCTCGGTCCTTTGGAGCCACGGTGTGGTCTGACCAGTGGTCTTCCTGGGAACAGTCATCCTCTCCCATACAGTGTCACTACATTGTGTCTTGTGAGGTGATGGTCCTCCCCAGGGTGGGCCGGAGCGTGCTGAGATGCCGTGTGGGGGAGAGGACAGGGCGGCCGACTTCCCAACATGGTGCCCACCCGAGGAGGCCCCTCAGCATAGCAAGCAAAGGGGACCCCGCGGCGGGACATGGCCTCAGGGATGGCATGGAAGTGATGCATGACAGCTCAGAGATGGGAGGCCCTAGTCACCTCTCCTGCCCGCTATGTCCCCAACAGGGACCTGAGGTGGGAGTGGAAACCAGGTGGACGAGGAACCAGGCAGCCCTGCCACTGGTCAGAACCTGGCAGGGGACCTGTGGGCAGCCAGGCTGCCCCATCTGTGGAAGGGCCTCACTGGGGCCATGTCGGGTCACTAGAGGGTGGAACGTGCTTGGTGCACGGAGAGCTCAGCACAGGGCTTCTCAGGGCGGGAAGCCTCTGCACATGACCGTGATCCGGCTTACGGGGGACCCGCCATAGATACCCGTGGTGGCAGAAGCCACACCAACCACTCGTGGGAGACCTCACGGCCAGACCCTGTTGTGTCCCTGCTCCTTAAGCTCTGTGAGGCACACTCCACAGTGTCCCCACTCTGCTGATGGGACACCCAGGAAGTTAGGTGGTGCTCAAGGGCACGGGGACAGCGCTCGGATCTCATCACCTGTCACTCCCTCCCCCCTCTCCTTTCAGGGTCCTGAAGGAAGACCAGGGAAGCAAGGTGACAAGGGCCCGCCAGGGGCCAAGGTGGGTCCCCCGACTGCCATGGTGAGCCATGTCCCTCCCCTCCCAACGGGGCCCATGACAGCCTGTCTCTCCTCCCGCTGCAGGGCGCCAAGGGTTACCAAGGACAGCTGGGTGAGATGGGTGTCCCCGGAGACCCAGGACCCCCTGGCACCCCAGGCCCTAAAGGCTCCCGGGGCAGCCTGGGCCCCACGGTGAGGACTCTGGCTGGGGGAGGGGAGCCAGGCATGGGAGGGAGGGACCGAGGGCACGAAGGGAGGGACTGGCTTCTTTCTGAGGGCATCGCCCACCCCAGCTGTTAGCTGAGCACCTGGTGTTCCCCGTCCCTGTCCCCTCGTTGGGATCACGATCCCCTTGGGGACCTGCAGAGAGCTTCCGCCCTCTGAACACACAGGCGAAGGGTTTCTTGCAGTTTGAAGGGGTCTGCGGGTCTCCTGGGGCTTCCTGTGCACCCCAGTACTAAAGCCCTGCTGTGGTCAGGGGGAGGGGACAGTCCCTTGGGTATTCTTACCAAGCAAGCTCTCTCACTGGGAATGGGCTTCTGGGGTGGGGTGAAGCCAGGGCAGGCCCCTGGAGGACTTGAGGGCATCCCTGAGTGTGGCTGGGCTGTCCTGCAGGAAGGGCCAGAGGGACGCCCGGGCTGTGGGAGGGAGGACCTCAGGGGAGGCCGGGTGGCCGATAGTGCTCCCACTGGGGCTGACATCCCGCTACCCCCACCCCCACATCATTAAAGGCGGAGTCGGGTCGCATCCATCCCCGGCTCCCTAGAGCAACAGGAAGATGGGGCACAGGGCCAGGGAGGGATGAGTTTTGAGTATCATCTTTGATTTTAATAAAACTGATTTAACTCTAAGTCCATAAAATTTAAATCTTAATAACAGCTCTGTTTAAGTGGCTTGTGAAAGTTTTGGAAATGAAGCAGGTGGCCATGGTGGCCCTCGGGAGCCTGGAGAAGGAAGGGTGGGGTGGCTGCTGGGGAGGAGGCCCGGGCTTCCTTTCCACCTTGCTCCCCCGCCCCCACCCCGTCCTCATGGGCAGGTGACATGCCTGACCCCTGGACTGAGTGCAGCTGGAACCCTGGGGAGAGTGTCCCCGCTGTGTCCCTGGTCTGAGAGCCACGCTCCACACCAACGAGGGTCTCCTCCTCTCCTAGGGTGCTCCAGGTCGGATGGGGGCCCAAGGAGACCCAGGACTGGCTGGTTACGATGTAAGCAGACGCCACCTTTGGAAACCTCCCCTCCCTCCCTGGAGCCCTGTCTTGCAGGCTCGGCTCTGCCTGGCCCCCGCATCCCCAGCTAAAGGCTAGCCCCAGGGCCACCGAGGAGATGGGTCCCCCCTGCCCAGGCAGCTCCTGGGCCCACAGATGTGGGGGCTGGCAGGGGACCACGGGTGGAACAGGTGGCAGTGGGGCTTGATCAGAAAGGGAGACGAGGCTGGGGGTGAAGGAGCATGGGAGGGGCCTGTAGCGTCCCATCCTGGGTCCCTGTGGTCCTCGCCAGAGACAAGGTGTGATGAAGACCCTGCAGGGGTCTGGGAGAGGGGTAGGACAAGGGGGGGGTGGTCAGAGAAGGCAGGGACTGGGTGGGGGAGGTGCCTGCGTCTGCAGTTCTGGCCGCAGCCTGGGGTCCTCTGAGTCCCCAACCAGCAGGCTGGCCTGAGACCCCTTAGAGGTGTGTCTGGAGGCCAGGCCCAGAGACCTAGGGAGCTTGCTCAAGCCACACGGCAACTTGGGGCAGAGCTGGAACCCAGTGTGTCAGTCCAGTGCCTCCATCCAAATCTGAGTTCCTGGTCGGTGCCCTTGTCCCTCCTGAGTCCCCATCTGCCCCTCAACTCTATCATGTTTGCCTTCAGGGACACAAAGGCACTGTGGGACCCCTCGGGCCTCCGGGACCAAAAGGCGAAAAGGTGGGTATTTGATCATGGAGAAGCAGCTACCCCTTATATCTGGGGCCAGGGTCAGCTCTGGGGTCAGCAGTTACACACCCCTGGGGTCCTTGGAGACAGGGTGGCATAGGCGGCCCTGCTCACTCCACTGGCCTGCCAGGCACGTCAGTCTGCTAAGCCCAGCGGACAGGAGCTGAGCTCCATGTTCACCTGTGTATCATGGTCACCTCTGTGCCCAGTCCTGGGACAAGAGGCACATCCCCTGCCCTGACAGGGTGAAGGTCAAGCATAGATGTCAGTCACGAGGTGACTGAGGCCGTGCCACCCCCTCATCTGTGCCTGTGGTCACGGAAACCCCCACACGATGAGACCACCCAGCGGGAGCGAGGCGTGTGCTGAGCGCAGAGGACCGGGGTGGAGGCCTGAGCCCAAGGCCAAGGGGAAGCGCATTCATCCCTCGCCTGGGGCTCAGGCTCTGGCTCAGACAGGAGAGGACTCACTGAAGGAGCCATGGGTCTTGGGCCCTGTCCAGTGGTGGGGGGGGAGACGGGGCATCAGAACGTGGGCCCTGGGTCGTGTCCAATATAACGAGAGACCCTGTGGACACGTGTCTGTGAAGAGGCCACCAGAGGGCTGCATGGGCTTCTGGGCACAGGGCAGGCAGGGTGTCTGGCCAGCTCTCCAGAGATGCATGCCCGGCCTGCAGCCTCGAGGGTGGCCTGCGTGTGTCGGGGGCAGATCTGCAGACCTGGCCCTCGATTCTTCAGTGGCCTTGGCTGGGAACCCCCTTTCCTGGGCCTCAGCTCCCCCGTCTGTGAAGTGCAGCCCAGCAGCACAGGACTGTCGTGTAGATTCTGTGAAGTGAGGTGTGACATGAACCCCATGAAGTGCCCAGCATGGGACGTGCCAGATCCCTTGCCCAGAGCTTACCAGTCCCCAGCGGCCCTCCACAGTGGGACTGAGCACTAGGTCACCCAGCCAGAGTGGGCGGGAAGGAGAGGGAATCCCCACTCCCTGGGCCACTGGTTCTCGGCCTCAGGCCAGGTCCTGCCTGCTTGGCCACTCCCCACGGGAGCCACAGAGCCCAGCCACGCACCTCAGCCGCGGCCCTCTGCTCACGGGCCAGGACGTGGCCTGCCAGGGACCATTTCCCCCTCCCATCTCTCGGGCTCCTTCCAATCCCAGTGGACAACCAGGGGGCTCAGGGTTCCCTGCTGAGCCCCCTACCTGGAATGGGTCCCCAGGGTGACACAGCAGTTTCTGGGGGTGGAGTCTGGCCCCTGATTCTGTCCCATCTTCCACTCGCACCTTCCCTGTGGCTGGCAAGAGGTCACACTGTCCCAGGGCCTCCGGGGTCCGCCATGGCCCAGGATCACAGCTCTGGACTCAGCTCCTACCCCGTCTGTCCTTGGCCAGGTCACTTCTGTTATTGTCATCAACAACAGCAATTCTAATGGCCACCTGGAGTCCCATGAGCAGGCACAGAGGCTGGCTCCTCCCCTTGAGGCCTCATAAGAACGCTTGAAGGTGTCCCCACCCCACTGTCCACTCTGAAGCTGTGTTAGGGACAAGGTCTGCAGTCGGCCAGCTGCCAGGTGTCTCCAGGAGAAGCCCCAGGGCCTTCTTTGGGGCTCTGAGCAATGGAAGGAGGGACGCTGGTCAGGGGTCCACTTCCTCCCAGCCACTGAGGACAGAGCAGCCGAGCACTCCCACGGCCCCCTGTGCCCCTGTCCTCTGCAAAACAGGAAGAGTGATGGGGCTGTCGTGAGCTTCAGTGGGCCTGCCTGTGTCTGCCTAGGGCAGTGTCCACGCGGGCCAGCATCCACACACCGTCTCGTGGGCTCCCTGTGGCCGTTAACCATCATCCCTTCACCCAGCTCAGCCCTTCCCCAGCTGAAAAAAGCTAAGACGGGAAGGGACATGCTGAAGACCCGCAGCTGGCCCCGTCCGGGATGGGGGCTGACCCCTGGCCTCGTGCTGCCCGCCTCCGCAGGGGGTCCACTGGGCCCCGGTGCTGTTTGTGCTCCCCAGTCCCAGGTCCAAACCACCCGAGCTCTGCCTGAGGCTTGCTTGCCTTTCTGTGCATCTGCTGCCCGCAGTCCCCAGAGTCCCCAGGACGGGTGACTCCTCCTAAAGCTGGTTCTGTGTCCACAGGGGGAGCAGGGGGAGGACGGCAAGGCGGAGGGGCCCCCTGGGCCGCCTGGAGATCGGGTAAGCCTTGCCCCTCCCCTGGGCTGCATGGCTCTGTGGGCTTCCCGGTGGGGCCTCTTGCTCTGTGGGGGCAGGCTGAGCAGAGGTGAGGCTGTGGCCTTTATTTTGCTATTGTCCTTGTCATTCAGGGCCCTGTGGGTGACCGAGGAGACCGTGGTGAACCCGGGGACCCAGGATACCCTGTGAGTACCAGAGTCCTACATGTTGCAGGACCGTGAGGCCACCTGCCCCGGGACATAGGCCCCCCTCCACCGGCAGTGCCCAGCTAGAAGTGAGACCCCTTTAAGAGGCCAGGACTAGTCCCACTGCAGAGGGGGGCCTGGCCTTTCCTGGGGTCAGAGAGGCTGAGGTCAGAGGGAGACTGGCTGGGCCTGGTGCCTGTTGGCAGCCTCCTCAGCTGTGGTCCTGAGTGGTCCCTTCCCTCCGAGGGCCTCGGTTCCCTGCGTGTGGCTGGGACCAGCTCCCCCAGCAGGAGCAGTGGCAAACCATTGAGCCACCAGGCTCTCCCGCCCTGTCCCTCCTCCACATGTGAGTGGAGGGTCCCTGTCGCGCCCGTTCTGCAGACAGGGGAGCTGGGCTCGGGGAGGGACGGTGATGCGCGGCTAGGAAGGCCAGGGCTTGCGGCTCCTACCCTGGCTCCTAGCCCCTCCCAGACAGGTCCCCTCAGCTGCCTCTCCTTGGCTTCCAGGGACAGGAGGGTGTTCCCGGGCTCCGAGGAAAGCCTGGCCAGCAGGGCCAACCCGTGAGTGGTGCTTGCCGCCCCACCCCCTCCTGCCCTGAGGAGGGTGGGACAGTAAGTGGGAAGTAAAGACTCAAGGGACCCTCCCTCCGAGGACGTGGGGAAGCAGCCCGTTCTGGTTTCTCCTGCCCTGACCCTGGGGACACCCCCAGAGCCTGCACCCCCAAACCCCTCCCCACCCTCCCTCTCCAGGCGGAGACTGGCCACCCTCCCCGGGAGAGAATCCTGGGGCTGCCTTGCGTCATCTCCCCTTGGTTTGCAGGGGCATCCGGGACCCCGGGGGCGGCCGGGACCCAGAGGATCAAAAGGCGAAGAGGTGAGAAGGCTGAATTCCTGGGGAGACCGAGGCCCGGGCCAGGGGAAGGGCTGACCCAGGACCAGACTCCCCGTGAGCCCGCAGCCCAAGTGCGGTGCCTGGGGAGGAGCCCCTGTCTCAGGTCAGCAGAGGGGCCTGAACTCAGGGCCGCAGGAGCCAGGGTGGCCTCTTGACCGCCTTAGCCACTGGAGACAGGAAACCTCGGGAGGGAAGCAGGGGTCTGGAGAAAGAGGAGAGGGACAGGATGCTCACAGGGGACCTTCCCAGCCTGGACCAGGGTCCCTGGGCCTCCCTCCCCAAGGCTGGGCCAGGTAAATGGCCTCCAGCCAGGTCCCTTCCACCCACACCTGCTAGGGATAGCCACACTCCTCATGAGTGGGCCAGCCAGCCCTGGGTCTGACTCTCACCAGACGAGGACAATGACCAGAGCTCGGCAGCAAGGGGGCCAAGCAGCGTGGGGACAGCAGCACTGGCTGACCCCAAGGCGGCTGGCCCTGGGCCTCCAGGCTGCTGTCCCGGACTGCTCATGGAATCAGGAGCTCACAGAGGCCCTCATTCCTGGACGCCTCTCCCAAGAGCGCCCCCTCCTCCAGGCAGCCTGACATGTGACCCTCACTTTTGCTTTCTCAGGGTCCAAAGGGAAAGCCGGGCAAGGCCGGGGCCCCAGGTCGGAGGGGGATCCAGGTGAGTCCCTGTGGCTGCTGTGCCCCCTCAAGCTCTCCCCCACCCCAACATTCACCACCTTCCTGTGTACCCCCAGGGGCTGCCGGGGCTGCCTGGGCCGCGGGGCGTGGTGGGAAGACAGGGCCCCGAGGGTGTCGCGGGACCAGATGGGCTTCCTGGCAGGGATGGCCGAGCAGGACCACAGGTGAGCAGGACTTGGGGTGAGCAGATGGTGTCTCCATTTGAGACAAGGTGTGGAGGGGGGCTGCCACATGCCACAGGCCAGGGAGCCAGTAGGGACTCTTGGCGGGGTGGCGCAGAAGTTCCCGCATGCTTTGGTGTGGGTTTCAGCCTCATCCCTTGGGCCCTGGGAGCACGGACCTTCTTGGGGTCTCTCCTTGATGCCCACCCCTGCCTGACCTCACATCCTAGTTGTTGCAGTCCCTGTGGGTCCAGCCATCTCACACAGGCAGGAGTGACCTCCTGTCCTCCCTGTGCCCACCCCGACTCTGGCCTGTTTCCTGAAATCAAGAGACTCCGTTGCCTGCTTTCTTTACAGGGAGATCAAGGGGATGACGGGGACCCTGGCCTTGTGGGCCCTGCTGGGAGGAGAGGAAATCCAGGTGTGGCCGGCTTGCCTGGAGCACAGGGGCCCCCAGGATTCAAGGTCAGATGCTTCTAACTCACTTACCTTCCCTCTGCCCTTTCTGACTAGCTCTACCAATTCTTCCATCACCCATGTCCCAGGGCCTGTGTGAAAATTAAAATCTATGCTGTGACTTTTCTCTGGGGTCCCTGTCCCAGTCTTATAGGAGACTTTATTCCCAGAGCTGTAACTACTGCCCCCTAGAGGGCTCTGGAAATGACCCACTGTAGCTGAGTTGTCCACGGGCGCCCTCTTGTGGGTCCCGGTGGAACAGCCTATGGGAGGCGGCAGGCATCCTTAGAAAACTTCCCTGGGATGAGAGGCTGCTGTCAATCAGGCAGAGCCCAGGACTAGACCCTGAGGGGAAAATGGAGTCCAAGGACCCAGACACGGCTCTTGCTCTCTCTGAACTAGAGTCTAGTAGGGAATGGTTGGAACCTCCTGAGAGGACAGCAGGCAGAGACAGGTGGCTTTAGCCCAGTGAGGATTTGACGGAGAAAAAGAGAAGGTTTTGTAGGTGGAGGGATGTGTGGCCAGGTCTGGAGGTGGGGCTTGTGGCATGCTGGGGAGAAGAGAGACAGTGCAGGAGAAGGAGGGCACGACAGAGGGAGGAAGGAGGCTTCCTCCGAGGGTCTCCATCCTCCCAGCCTCCCTGCATCACCCCACTGCCCTGAGATCTCGAGGGACCCTGTGGAATCCCTGATCTCCTAGGCCCTCCCCCTCCCCCTCCCCCTCCCCCTCCCTGAATCATTTCCCCCTTTGACTGGCAATCTTGGTGTGTTTCTTTTAGGGTGAAAGTGGGTTACCAGGGCAGCTGGGTCCCCCTGGCAAGAGAGGGACTGAGGGCGGATCAGGGCTTCCTGGGAAGCAGGGGGAGCCAGGATCCAAAGGCCAGGCGGTGAGTGAGTCACAAAGCACACACTCATGTGCACACACAAATACACTCACACACCCCCACTTGTATACACAAGCACACATACACACACACAAATACACTCATGCGTGTATACCTGCACCTGTACACACACTCACATGCATGCACATACACACTCAGACATACCCACACATCTGAAGAATACACTACAGACACACGTACACTTGTGTTCATGTACCCACACATGCACACACACAAACACTTGTGTTCACAAATGTACACATAGGCCAAGAAGCCACCTGTCTACTTGTTGACAAAGAGAGATATAATCTCTCTGGGCACCAGATGCTGTCAGCCTCCTTGAGCTGGATGGTGGGGGTGCTGCAGCCCTTCCAGAATGAGAAGAGGGGATCCCAACCAGCACCCGGGTCTGCACTCCAGGGACAGTGCTCTTCCTGTACCTTCCTCACCATCTGTCTCAGGGGCTAGATACCTCACCCTGCTGGACAAAGAGGGGGAGATGAACAAGGAGTAGACAACAAAGAATAGAAACAAATATCAATTGGCCCTAGTACCCCCAGTTAAAACAGATTTATGCCAGGTGCTGTGGCCCACGCCTGTCATCCCAGTGGATCAGGAGGCTGAGGCAGGGGAATGGCGAGTTCAAAGCCAGCCTCAGCAAAGGCAAGGTGCAACGCAACTCAATGAGACCCTGTCTCTAAACAAACACAAAATAAGGCTGGGGATGGGGCTCAGTTCAGTGATCAAGTGCCCCTGAGTTCAACCCCTGGTACCCCTCCCCCCAAAAAACAGATTTATAATTTAATTGAATAAAAAAACCAAGCCCCAACTATGTACTACTACAATAATGTAAAGACATTTGAATGTAAAGACAGAAATAGGGTAAAGTCATGATATGGAAAAAGATATTTTGTGCTAATGCTTGTCAAAAGAAAGCCAGAGAAGCTATTTTAATATCAGACAAAATGGATTTTGGAGCAGTGGTTATTAACAGTAATGAAGAAGTTCATTTCATAGTGATCCAAGGGGTCAGTTTGTCAAGATGATAGAGAAATCCTGAATGTTCATACACCTGATAATAGACTTTAAAATACAGTAAGCAGGGCTGGGGCTGTAGCTCAGTGGTTGAGCAATTGCCTCACTCGTGTGAGGCACTGGGTTTGATCCTCAGCACCACATTAAAAATAAATAAAACATATTTTTAAAAATTCAGTAAGCAAAACCTGATAGAACTATAAGGGGAAGTAGACGAATTCACAATTAAAATTGAAGATTTCAATATATTTCTCTTATCAATAAATAGAGTAAATAGTCAGAAATTCGGTAAGGATGTAGAAAACTGGAACATTATCAGCAAACGCGACCTAATAGAGCATTGCACCAAGTATCAGCAAGATATGCATTCTTTGCAAGCACATGCAGGACATTTGCGAAGACATGACATTCTGAGCCTATAAAAACGAGCCTTAAAAAGTCACAAAGATTCAATTCACACAAAGAATATTCTGTACCATGATGATGAAATGGAAAATCGATAACAGATATCTGAAAAATCGCCAAATATTTGAAAACTAAGTAAAGAACATCCACATGATCCACAAGAGGAAATCAAAAGGGAAATTAATATTTTATGAAATGAGAACACGGTGTATCACTAGTGGGGCCAAGACAGCACTTAGTAGGGTGTTTAAGGAATAGAGAAGGCTTTCGAATCCATGGCCTCAGATCCCATTGTAAGAAACTAGGGAAAAAATTAGATACCAAGCAGATAGAAGAAAGCAAACAATAAGATCAGAAATTTTAAAAACCAGGAAAACAATAAGAAAAATGGAAAGTTGTTTTTTTGAGAAAGTCAGTAAAATTGATAAACTTCTCAGAAAAATAAAAAGAGAGAGAGAATACTTACATTACTAATATCAGGAATAACAGATGCTATCACTAAAGATACTACAGGTGTTAAAAGAATAATAAGGGGATATTGAAAAAAAAACCATCATGGCAAGAAATTTAAGTAACTCTCAGGTGAAATGGGCAAATTTCTTCAAAGACAAAACTAATAGCTCATTCCAGAAGAAATCAATAACCTACATAGCCATGTATCTCTTAAAGAAAATGAATAAGTGAGTCTAAAAGTTTCCCACAAATAAAACTCTGGTGAATTTTACTAAGCACATTTATGAAACAAATAATACCTATTCTATGTAAACTTATTCAGAAAATGAATTTATTTCCGTGAGCCAACTTATTCCATGAGCCAGAATCACCTGATGTTAAAACCAAAGACATTACAAGAAAACTACAGACCAGTATACCTCATAAATAGAGGCACAGCAATTCTCAATGTAATGTTAGAAAAATGAGTCTAAGACTGTATTAAAAAGGACAACACAAGAAGACCACGTGGAGTTTATCCCAGGAATGCAAGGGTGGTATTACATTTGAAAATAGGTCAATCTAATCCACCATATTTTTTTAAATTTTATTTACTTATTCTGATAGCATTGTGATTCATGGCACACAGTTGCAGCACAACTTTTCATTTCTCTGATTGTACATGATGTAGTATCATAGCATATGGACAGTCATACATGTACCTAGGGTAATGATGGCCACCTCATTCCACTATCATTTTCTATTTAACAAACTAAAACAAAACACCATTTGATAGTCTCAGTAGATGAAGAAAAATAGTTGACAAAAATCTAATTTCATTTCTGATAAAAACTCCAATAAACTAGGTACAGAAGAAACTTCTTCATTTGATAAAGAAAATCCAAGAACAACTCAGTTAACATCATATGCAGTAGTGATTAGTTGGATGCTTTCTCTTATGGAGCAGAAACAAGCTACCCCTTCCATCTAATATCATCTTGGCCATTCTAGTCAGTGTAATAAGGCATGAAAAAGAAATTTAAAAATTTTCATTGTAGAATGAAATGATTTCTACGGAGGAAAATCAAATGAAATCTACAAGAAAGCTATTGTAATAAGCAAGTTTATTAAGATCACTGGAAACTGATCAATATGCACAAATAAATTATATTACTATATATTAAGCAATCACTAGCAATTTCTAGCAACAAGGAATCACAAATTGAAATTTAGAAGTAATACTGTTTATAAAAGCAAAAAAATATGAAATGCCAAGAGATACATCTACTACCAGGGTGCAAGAAATGTACCCTGAAAACGACAAAACATTGCTAAGAAAAATTTAAAAAAAAACATATGTACCTGCATAGTGTCTATGGGTTAAAAGACTCAAGATTATGAGGATGTCCATTTTTCTCACATTGATCTATGGATTGAACACAATCAAGACATTGTTGAAAAATATTGAAGAAAAACCTGAATAAGTGAGAAGACATCCCATGTTCATGAATCAGAAGATGACATTGCTAAGATGGCGATACTCCCCACACACTGGCCTCCCAATTCAGTGCAGTCCCTACCACAATCTGCTGAAGTCAGCAAATAGATTCTGATCTGGAAAAGATCCGAGTATTTGTAAGACTCACACTTCCCAATTCAGAACTTATTACAGAGCTAGAGTAACCACAGTGTGGCCCAGGCACAGGTCAGCTGTAGGCTACATGAATAGAGTCCACTCCTCTGTCCTGTCCTCTCTTGCCTCCCTTGACTGGTTGTTCTCTGACCACTTTGTAGACTGGCTGTGGGGGTCTGGGCCTCTGTAATTGCTTACTCCCAGTCTGAACCTGGTGCCCTCCATCACATAGTACTCGTGTGACGCTCAGCAAATTCCCGCCCTTTCTGAGCCTCATTTCTGTCATCTATAAACAGGGCACCTGGGAACGTCAAACAGCTGGCCCATAGCGCTGGTGACTCTAGGGGACCATGTCCTAACAGAGCTCTTGGGGTGGGTGGGCTCCACGGATCCCTCCTCTCTCTTCCTGAGGACCTGGGAGAGGAGCCTTGTGGAGTTTCCCCGTGGATTCCCCGCTCGCCTGGTGGAGGACGCCGCCCCCTGGCCCCTCAGCACCCAGGCTGGCACCGCGCGTGTGAGCTCGTCACTCTTCTCCCATGGCCCCTGGGTCCTGGGGGACGGGCCAGCACCCTAGCCCTGTCCTGCTCTCCCCACAGGGTGACTCTGGCGAGATGGGCTTCCCAGGAGTGTCTGGCCTCTTTGGACCCAAGGTACGGACCCCCGCTCCTCCCGGCTCCTGTGGGGTCCTCTGCCCTCGCCCACTCGTTCATTCACTTGTTCATTCCACCAATATTGGCCGAGCACTCACAGTGTGGGCACCATGACAGCTGGGGACACAGCCAGCAGCCAGCACGTCCTCACGCTCACTGCCGTGATGGCACGCCTGGGTTCCTGGCCCAGCTCCGCGGCTCACCTGTGCCTCAGGCACGCGGCTTAGTCCCGCTGAGCCTCGCTTTCCTCATCTGTCAAGTGGGGACAGTAAGTGGAGGATGGATGCAGAACTCTGCCAGAGGCACAGGCCACCAACCAACAGTGCCACGGCCTGCGCCTGCGCGATACCCGTGGGTGGGCTCCTACCACCTCCTGGGGCCCAGACACCATGGGGGAGCTCGGGGGACCCCCTGGGCTGCCCAGGCACAGACTGCCCTTCCTCTGCTCTCCGCAGGGCCCCCCTGGGGACATCGGCTTCAAAGGCATCCAGGGCCCCCGGGGGCCTCCTGGCTTGATGGTGAGTCGCCTCCTCTGTTCCAGCCCTTGACTGGCCACACCTGGGACTCACATCCTCCTCTTCCTGCTTCTTTCCACCAGCTGGGCCGCAGCCCTTCCTCCCCCTCTCCTCCTGCTCCACTCTGGTAGCCCCCGGGCACACAGAAGGGGCTGCATGTGGGAGGAGCCGGGGAGTGTGTGGCCCGAGGAGGTGTCCCACCCATCCCTGGGGACACGCAGGCAGCCCCCCAGCCTCTGTCCCTGGGACCGTTCCCCAGGCCTGGAACAAGCCCACTCAGCCTGTCTGTCTCCTTTAGGGAAAGGAGGGCATCATTGGGCCCCTTGGAATCCTGGGACCGTCGGGACTCCCGGTAGGTGTAGGGGCTGGGCCTCGGTTTCCCCTTCCGGGAACTGGATTCCCCTCTGACCCTGTCTCACTGGGCTCTGGTTTGTTGCAGGGTCCAAAGGGCGACAAAGGCAGTCGAGGGGACTGGGTGAGTGGAGGACGAGGGGACTCAGGGTGGGCCCCAGCTCGGCCTGCGTCTGACTCTGTCCCTCTTGTGTCTCCCTCCAGGGATTGCAGGGTCCCAGGGTGAGTGTGCTTGGCGTGAGGGCGAAGGGCAGGGGAGTGGGCGGGGGCTCTGGGTCTCCTGTCCGTGACCACTGTCCTGTGGGCCCTTTCTCTCTGGACCTCATCTGCACCTGTCCACACCAGGGAACCACGGTCCTGGGCCTCCTGTCTGCCTGATGAGGACCTGGGGTGGGAGACGGAGGGCCCTTGCTGACCAAGGCTAACTGTTCTCTTCCTCCAGGGTCCTCCCGGCCCAAGAGGGCGGCCTGGCCCACCGGTAGGTAGCTTGGTGTCTTAGCATGGGGCACCCTGGACATCTGGGCAGAGGCGGGGTCCCTATGGAGGAGATCAAGGCTTTGCCAGCAGACTGTCCTTGACCCCGAGTCTCGCAGGACTCACATGCTTCTTGCAGTCACAGACTCTGGGAGAGCGTAGACCAGCCTGGGGGCGGGGACGGTCATCCCGGCCTGCGGCAGCACAGACACTGACTTGGCGGTCTTCACCTGCCCCACGGCCCACCACTCTCCTGGCAGCCGGGGCTTCAGCACCGGGCCCATCCAGTGCTGACCCACCATCTTCTTTTACAGGGACCTCCAGGGCGTCCAGTCCAGCTTGTAAGTTGGAGAATGTTCTCTTTGGTCACTTGGGGAGAGGCCTGGGAGGTGAAGGGGAGAGCTAACAGCCTTGTCTGGCCACAGTGGCCAGAACCCTAAGCCGGGCCCAGGGATGCCCCTGTCCTCTCGTTCCTTGGCGGAAGCCCTGGACCCTAGGCCACAGGAGGGGCCTGGGGCCACAAGGCAGGAAAGCTGAGTGTTCCTCTTGCTGGACTTGCATCTGGGGACCATGAGTCCAGGGTCCTGCCCAGCTGCTGGCCCCTGGTCCTGTCTGTGCCCCGACATGTGGGCTGGTTGCTGAGGATCCCCTGCTTCAGATTCTGTCCAAAGAGGGTCAGAAAAGTGGACAGATGGGGACCACACCCCTGTTTGACAGCATGGCCTTGCCCCACCGGGGACAAATCTGTCCCCATTTTTCCACTGTCGTGGTTGACCTCTGGATCCAGCCCTGAGAGTGTCCCTCCCGGGCAGGGCCCCAGGAAGACCGAGCTGAGATGGCACCTGGGCCAGGAGTCCTCAGCCTCTCAGCTCCTCCCAGTTTCTCAAGGTCCCTCTGTCCACTGTCACAGAAGCAGTAATGGCCACCCTGACTGTCTCTCCACATCCCCGCGTCCTTCTCATCCATAAGAGACAGTGGGGAGGGAAGGGAACCAGGAGAAAAGCCTTTTCTCCTAAAATACAGAAAAGGAGAGGATTTTGAATTTCTGAGTGACAGCTAGATCAACTGCCTGCTGGTTACACCCCAGACACCGGGAGAAGAGCTTTCCACGGGTGGACTCATGAGTTAGCTCCTCAGTTCATTGAGGGGAGTTTTGTGTCAGGCCCATTTTCAAGATGGGAGGACTGAGACCCAGGGCGTGGATGGGAAGTGGCAGGGCTGGGTTGGACCCTGAGGTGTCCCTCCAGGTCCTCGGCTTTACTCGGTCCCCAGATCTCTTCTCCCCTGTTCTTCTGGCAAGACTTTGCCTCTGCCAGCCCGGGGCAGGGCTGGACGCTCATGAGACTGGTACAGTGCCCCCCAGACATGGAACTGTGGGGCATAGAGAAAGGGGCCCCAGCGGCCTGGAACCAGGAGGATCAGAGAGGCCTCCCACCACTGCCAAGTTTTGTACTGCTGACCTTGGCATCCTGTGCCTGTGGGAGGCTGAGCAGCTTTCCTGGTCTTTGACCAGAAGATCAAGTAGTGCCCCTTCCCTAGTTGTACCTGTCTAAAATGTCCCCAGGTATTACGAATGCCCCAGGGGAGCATCATCACCCCAGTTGAGAAGCAGTGGAATAGGAGGTAGCCTAACAGTGCATTTGAGGAAGGGAAGAATTTTCCAGGGAAAGGGAGCAACACTTTCAAAGGCCCTGTGGTTAGACAGCACGGCACCTAGGAACTTAGAAGTTCTGAGTGTGCCCAGTGCTAGCATGTGCCGGGGAGAGGAGAGAAACAGGGCTCAGGAGCACAGCACTCAAGCTGGGTCTTGTAACCACGGGAGGAGTTCTAACTTAATCCCAAGGGCCAGGGGGAGCCACTGAAGTGCCTAAAGTCAGTGCCTACAGTCACTGACTCTGTCTCCATGGGAGGAAGGAGTTTGCAGAGTGTATGATTAACCAAGATCCTGCCAGACCAAGTGGGGTGGGAGAGTGGGTGCTCGGGCCCTGGGGTTCCCACTTTCTGGGCCTGGGGGACCAGGATATACCCTTTGTCTTTCCCTGCACAGCAACAAGATGACCTTGGGGCAGCTTTCCAGACGTGGATGGACACTAACGGAGCACTCCGACCAGAGGTACCTCCAGGAGCTCTGCCCACATGGTGTCCAGTCCTGGGAGAAGTGTGGCTGACGGCCCTTGTGTGATCTGTGCCCTCCACCTGGCCTGCACCAGTGTGTCAGAGCCGTGTCTATGACATCTCACAATCCCAGATGAGGCTCTTCCCGGGGTTCAGAAGGGCAGCAGCAGGTCCGAGGTCACACGGCCGGCACACAGAAGCCGCTCTGGCCTGTGCTTTCTCCAGGGCCTCTGGGGTCCGGAGATGCTTGCTGCCCTGAGTCAGGGAGAGACGCTCCCCTGGGCGCCCTGTGGCCTGGCCAGCCGTCCTCCAGCAGCAGAGAGCTCACAGTCAGCCATGGTCAGGGCTCGGCCGGGACCCGGCTCCCCGCCCCGGGTTGGGGAGCTCTCGGCTCCAGCTCCACCTCCACCCAGAGCCAGCTTCTTTGTTCCTATGTAACTGCTGGGCTCGCAGTCCACAGGGACAGAAGCAGGGATGGGCCCCTTCCTTCCACCCAGGAGGTCATTTGCTCCACACCCAGGGAGGCAGCTGGCCGGTGGCCATCCTTAACAATAGCCTTGCGTGCCGCGCCTTCCCCACAGCGCCTCGCACACGGCAGGAGATGAGTGTCCACAGATACGTGGACGTTTATTCCTCATGTGCACTAAGGCCAGCTGGCTTGGTAACGGCAGACCTAGGTTGCCTGCCGGGGCTGTGCCCTCTTCCTCTCCCACGCACCATCCCTAAGGTTACCCCATGGCAGGGGGACGCCTCGCCAGGGGACAGAGCAGGAGAACAGTGCCGGAGACCAGGGGTCAGAATTTCGCAAGGGGCACATTGTGTTCTTGTGATTGCTTTGGTTGGAGCATGGCCTCTTGCCCCCACCTACTGCAGAGGGGGCTGGGGGTGGGCTCTGTCCACACAGAAGACTCACACCATGCATGTGCACACCCGCATGCCCACGTTCACGCACATGTGCACACCTGTACGCCCACACACCTGAATGCACATACCCACACACTAACACACCTGCATGCACACATGTGCACACCTACACACCCAAATGCATGTACATATATGCACGTATATATGCATGCACACATGTGCACACCAACATTTGTTCATACCTACACACCACACCTGCATGCACACATGTGTACACCTTCACACCCACACACCTGCACGCACATACGTGCATACCCATGTGCATGCACACAGACATACACATGCTCCTGCGTGCACACATGCACACACCTTCACACCCACACACCTTCACGCACACACATGCATGCACACAGACATACACGTGGCCTCTGCCAGGTCTGGGGGGAGGGCTTATTGAGCTCTGATCTGTGGCTTTGGAAAGGGGCTGGAGGTCCTGCAGGAGGAGTTGGGGCTGCTCAGGGTCACCCAAAGGCCCTGCTCCCCGCACTCTGCGGCCATCCCCCTCCTCCCCCATCTCTGAGCCGCAGTCCTCCCCCAGGCACTTTTGTCTGTTGGTCCCAGTGCGTGACTTGGTGCGTCACAGGAGCTCCTGCTCCCACCCAGGTGAGCCCAGCAGGGCCCGGGAGCCCCCAAGGCAGCACTTCCTCCTCCAGGGACTCTCCCTTGCAGGCCACGCCGTGGTGTCCTGTGCATCCCATCTGCCTTCCTCCTGGGGCTCTGCCCTTCCTGTGCCAGAGAACAGGGCCTCACCTGTGCTTCCTCAAACCTGAGCCGAGGCGGCAGCCCCACCCACTGCCTCTTGTCCCTGGCCCCAGTTTCTCTATCTGTGGAGTGGAGAGAGACGCAGCCTGGCCTGGCCACCAGCCTGGGAGCTGAGCACCCTCCCAGGCAGCGAGGACCTCAGGCCAGCCAGGACTTGAGGGACCAATGGCCATGCCTCTCCTATGACAGGGGTACAGCTATCCAGACCGGCTGGTGCTGGACCAGGGAGGGGAGATCTTCAAAACCTTACACTACCTCAGCAACCTCATCCAGAGCATTAAGACACCCCTGGGCACCAAGGAGAACCCCGCCCGGGTCTGCCGGGACCTCATGGACTGTGAGCAGAAGATGGCGGACGGTGAGAGCGACTGCAGGGGAGCGGGCGCTTCCTGCCCAGGCTGGTGGCACTGGGGGGGCAGCTCCAGGAGGAGCCGGGCAGAGGAGGTACTTGGTTCTCAGCACCTCTGGGCCAAGTTTCTGTCCTTAGGGAGACAGACAGACAGCCACTGACTGAGTCACTGAGCTCCCATGTGCCAGGCTGTACTTCCTGGTCTGTAGGATTTTGTGGGGTACACAGAGGAGTGGTCCCACTGTCCCAGAGCCACAGATCCACAGGCTGGGGACGACCATTTCAGTGCAATGAGACAGAGTTTTGGCAGAAAAAGTCCCCAAAGGCCAGGAGAGCTCAGCCCCAGGAAGGCTTCCCGGGTGAGCCGGGGTTTCCCTTTGGGTCTCCACCTCCCTCAACTCTCCCATCTGTGATCTGGGGCCTGTCACAGCACCGCCTGAGTCACCTCCCCTCTCGGCTCGTGAAGCTGGGACTGGTGGCCTGGGTCCCACTCTTGGTTTGGCTGCCTGGGAAGGCTGAGCCCCTCTGGCAGGGCCCAGAGGAGCCGTGGGACCTGGAGGAAGCAGTCAGCAGATGACCCCCCACTCCCTGGGGCCTTGGCTTCACCTCTCACCTGTTGTCTCCTCTGGAAGATGGACACCCCCCGGGGGGGACATAGGACGAGCTCCTCAGGGAACCTTCTGCCCTGGGCTCCTCCAGCTGTGACCTCTGCCTAGAAGGCTCCCTTCCCCTCTGTTGCCTGGGAATCCCTTTTCTGCCCAGCTCACCCCGACTTCATGCCCAAGTGGGGCTCAGTGGGTCACAGGTGCAGAGTCATCTGCGGAACCTGACCTGCGCCCCTCCCCAGATCCGTGCATCACCCCCCTGTGCTGTCTGCAGGCACCTACTGGGTGGATCCGAACCTCGGCTGCTCCTCGGACACCATTGAAGTCTCCTGCAACTTCACCCACGGCGGACAGACGTGTCTGAAGCCCATCACGGCCTCCAAGGTGCCCACCTTCTCCCTACGCTGGCCCTGTCTGCCCCGCTCTGCCCTGGGCCACAGCCAACCCAGGCTCTGTTCTGAGCCCTGCCTGTCTTACTGCACGGTCCTGGGAAAGACCTCCTCTTTCCGAGACTCAGCTTGCTCCTCTGTGCATTGGGGACTCTACCTGTGCGAGTCTGGAGTGGTTCCAATGTCCCCCCTTCTGCCTCGTACTAAAGCAGAGCAGTCAGCCAGCCACACGAGGCCTGGCTCACAGAACCACGAGCAATCAGCATGAAGCAAATCTGTGCAATGCTCCTCTCGAACATTCCTCCCAGACACATGCGATCCTGAACCCCTGCTCGATGCCCGCTGGCCACCTGCCTCTCTGGGAGGAGCATTTTAGGGAGTGATTCATGCCACAGTGAGAAGCTGCTCTAACTGCAGGGGCTGGGGACCCAGAGCCCTTTGTATCCCATCCTACCAGCCCCACCCCCACCCTCTGGGAGGTTCTAGAAGGTGTGTGCTGACCATGCCACTCCTGGAGTTTGAGAATCTCTAGGGAGGCAGTCTGTCAGCCAGTGGATCAACAAGTCATTGTTAAGTCTCCAACAGGTACCAGCCCCTGAGCTGGGCGTGAGGAAGCCAAATTTGCCGCTGCCCCTGTAGCCAGAACTCACAGGTCAGCAGGGCCATAGAGACCACTGCAGTCTCCCTCTCCTGTGGCTCGGAGGTCTAGGGGCTGAATGGCAAACCTGCCGTGCATATGGGCAAGGCTGGAGGTGGCGCGGTGACTGCCTATTTGTGTTGCAATTCTCATCAGAAACAATAGCAGGCGTGTTAATCAGCTTTGTGTTACTGTAACAAAACACCTGAGATAGGCAACTTATAAGGAGGAAGGTTTATGTTGGCTCACAGCCCTGAGTTCCAGTCCGTGGTTGGTTGGCCCCGTTGCTTGGAGGCCTGTGGTGAGGCAGGGCATCATGGTGGGAGCAGGGAAGCAGCCGGGAAGCAGCAAAAAAACCTGTAGCCCCTTCAAGGGCAGCCCCAGTGACCTGTCTCCCTTCTACCAGGCTCCACTTCTCAAGGTCCCACCACCTCCCACGATTGGTGGCCAAGCCTTCAACACAAAGGCCTCTGGGACACTTACCTACACCTTAGTTCAGGGAAGGGCCCTGGATTTCAGCGGCACCTAGTCTCGCTGATTGCTCTCGGCTCTGCCTTTGCCAGCACCCCCACCCCCCAGCCTCTTGGGACTTAGGCTTAGAAAGTGCCTCCCGTTTCCTCCGCCCTCCACGGGTCTCCGTCTTGGGCGAGATCCTTCTGCTGTGGGGTCTGCAGACCTTTCTCATTATGCAGCTGAGGGGCTGGGGGACCAGCTCACGTGGACCTCAGTTTCCCAGTCTTTCAAGTGGGCTTACGTGAGGGTTGGGGAAAACTGACCAGGAAAGGGCTTATCCAGGCCCCTCCAGAGAGAGGCAGGAGCCCTGAGAGCGCAGGCACTGCACCCCACCCCTCACCGTCTGTCTCCCCGTCTCCCCCAGGTGGAGTTTGCCGTCAGCCGGGTCCAGATGAACTTCCTGCACCTGCTCAGCTCCGAGGTGACGCAGCACATCACCATCCACTGCCTGAACATGACCGTGTGGCAGGAGACCACGGGCCGCACCCCGGCCAAGCAGGCTGTGCGCTTCCGGGCCTGGAACGGGCAGATCTTTGAAGCTGGGGGTCAGTTCAGGCCAGAGGTGTCCATGGACGGCTGTAAGGTAATCAGCAGAGCCCATGGAAGACGGGGAAACTTGCGTGAAAAAACTTGTTTGTATGTCTAACAGTCCTATACTGTGCCAGCGTGCGACAGGTATGGACGTATGTCACTTTTATTTCTATGTAATATTTTTATTAGAACAATTTCAGAAGTTGTTTTTATTCACTTTTATTCCTCCAGGAACTTCCTAAGGGGAGGTCTGGGCTGGGAAAAATTATGCAGACTAATAGAGAAGGTACTCACCTCTAAGGCGTCTTTGTGAGTTCCCCCCACTGATCAGTACATCCAAATTCTGTTTTGGGTTTGTGTGTGGACATGATTTATGACAAAGTTGGCCTTGCAGAATAGTGAATGGGGAAAGGTTGGTCTTTCTGATAAATTGTGTTAAGACAATACCATTTCTGTAAAAAAAATAAAAATAAAAAAATAAAATAGATAAAAGCAATAAATTCTGATACTAAGCACAAAAATCGAGATAGATATTAGAACTAAGTTTTTTAGCAGGTAACATGGGACAGTGTGTCCATGAGTGTGGGATAAAGAAAGCCAGCGTTCTGCATGTGTGATCCCATCTCCTGATGGGCTTAATTCTGCACCAGTTTAACTCTCTAAGCCGTCTTCTTTGCAAATTCTCGACAGAGGACATATTTCTTTGGTCCCACCTTGCCAGGCTCATTTCTTCTCCAGATAGTCTGTCATTTCTAAATGCTCCAAACCAGCTGGATTTGCAGGGGGAGGGGAGATAAAATCATCAAAATGTAAAAACCAGTTTTACACGATTGAACCAAAACCATAATGCACAGTGATCATGAGGATGTGAGGAGACCAACGTTCCTGTATGAAACGATTGGAGAAAAGAAATGGGTCGAGCTTTCTGGAAAGCTTCTGTGTATAGATGTATATCCAATACATGTCTCAAACTTCACATGTGGACCTATTCTTTGGTCCAGCAATTTTACCTCTAGAACGTTCTGTAGAATGTGCAGAAAGGTTTGGTTACTGTTCATTAAGCATCACTCGGGAGAGTAAAAATATGGGAGCAAAGTAGATGTGCCAGTACAGGTCATTGCTGTGGTGAGTGGCGTGGAGCCTTGCGGAGCAGGAGGAGGGCCATGGCAGAGGCCCTGAGCGTGATGGGAGGCTCAGGGGCACCTGATACCTGTACCTCTTCCTCCACCCACAGGTCCTGGATGGCCACTGGCACCAGACGCTCTTCACCTTCCGGACGCAGGACCCCCAGCAGCTGCCCATTGTCAGTGTGGACAACCTCCCCCCTGCCTCACCAGGGAAGCAGTACCGCCTGGAAGTTGGCCCTGCGTGCTTCCTCTGACCCTGGCCTCCTGGTGCCTGTGGCCTTGTGGCAGAGGAAGGAGGAGGAGGCCAGGCCGGGTACTGAGGGCGGTGGCCCCAGGAGAGGCAGCCCCCTGCTCTGCCCGAGGGGTCCCTAGATCTTGTCTGCTCAGCAGCAGGGGAAGGGGGGTAGCAGGGCACAGAGTGTCCTTGGGAAGAGCCCATCGCAGCTCACCCCCAAAGACCAACCAAAGAGCCAGCGAGTCTGCCGAGCCCGCACCCCGCCTCGGCCCCCGGCCGACCCCAGCCCGGTGGCTGCCGGCTTCCCTCCCCGGCCTCCTGCCCAGAGAGCCCCACGTCCAAGCCAGCTGGGGGGAAGGGGTACCCCGTCAGCCGGCCCTGCCAGGGAGCTTTTGATGTGCAATATTAGAAAGGAGACATGAAAAAGGAGAGAAGGAAAGAGAGAAGAATATATATATTATTATTATTTAAACAGACCCAAAGAAGGTGTGTTACTATTTTTTCACCTGGGAAAGAGGTGAGAGGGTGAGGAAGAGCAGCGGGGTGGGGAAGGCGAGATCCTGGGGCGGGGGGTCCCCACTTTTGCTACCTCCACTGTGAAATCGCCGGTGCTCGCAATCGTCTCGCAGTGTAAGTGATTTTTTTTTTAAGGAAAAAAAAAAAAACCTATTTAAGATTCTGAAGGTGCTACTATTTTTGCCACAGACTTCGAAGAAACTTTTTTGATGTGGGACACAGTTCACATGGTTCTCTGTCCTCCAAATGACAAAGTTTGGAGGAATCGTTCTGTCTTCCTAGTGTTGTCTTTATGCTTGTCCGGTAATCTGCTAAGGAGGAAAAAAAAGAAAGAAAAAAGAAAAAAAGAAAAGGAAAAAATGAAACAACAACAAAAACCCTACCAGAAACCGGAAGAAGAGGGCTTTCCCTTTAACTTATGGACTTGGAAATGTCTGTCCTTGTACAAAGCGTCTTGGTGTGGCCTTCGGGGTCCTGGAGGGAGGTTGTTGCCCTGGAGAGGCCTGGGAGCAGCCTTGACCTTGGAGAAACCAGTGCCAAGGGCGGTGTTGGCTGGGGCTAGCCTCGGAATGTAAATATTGAACCATCTCACGAAACTGGGAACGAAGCTCAGCTCTCCCTCCCAGGAGCCGGTCCCCCTGGGCAGCTGTCCCTCCTGCTTTCTCAGTGTTGTTAAACTCTGCAGAAACCCGCTGTCAACGTGGGTGTCAATTGGGGCTGGGGAGAAAAGAATTATTCTTGGCCACCTGCGTGCGGTGGCATTCACAATGATCTGGATTGTACCCTATCAGGGCCTGGGTTGGATTTTGAAGTTATTTGAACTATGAAATTATTTTTATGGAAGGAGGAAAATTATATGGAAGTCTCTGAGTATTTCTAATGGTGTCTCTTGGGGAATTGGGTTTGGTCTGCAATATTTAATACCTCACTCGGCCCCCACTGCCCCCCTCCACTGTCCCAGCCTGGGCGCTCCCCTCTGGGGCTCATCTCAGCGCTGTGTCCCCATGGTACCAGACTCCACCGGGCCCCTGTCCCATCTCGGGTTTATCTGCTGTCCTCGTGTTTGTCTGTCCCGATGTCGGTGTGTGGAAGCCCCAGTGCGTTCCGCCTCTCCTTTTCCCTTCCGGATTTTAAATAAATATTTAAAACTGAGGCAACAGAATGACATGTCTGTGGTCATGTGCTTCTTTGCAAAGCTGGGTGGGCAGTTTCTGGCAGGGTGTGGTGGAGGGCAGATGCTCCAAGGGTGCCCTACTAGGTGGTGACACCCAAGGGCACAGAGGCGGAAGTAGATCGGGGTGTCCTGGGCCTGGCTGTCTCCAAATCCCCCAGAGAAGGTGCGTCCTGAACCCGACAACTTCAACAGCCTCTCCTGCTCCTTGTCCTCCCCCTCCTCTTCCTCCTCCTCCTCTTCCTCCTCCTCCTCTTCCTCTTCCTCCTCTCCTCTTCCTCCTCCCCCTCCTCTTCCTCCTCCCCCTCCTCTTCCTCCTCCTCCTCTTCTTCCTCCTCTTGTTCCTCTTCCTCCTCCCCCTCCTCTTCCTCCTCCCCCTCCTCTTCCTCCTCCTCCTCTTCCTCCTCCTCCTTCCTCTTCCTCCTCTCCTCTTCTTCCTCCCCCTCCTCTTCCTCCTCCTCCTCCTCTTCCTCTTCCTCTTCCTCCTCCTCCTCTTCCTCCTCCTCCTTCCTCTTCCTCCTCTCCTCTTCTTCCTCCCCCTCCTCTTCCTCCCCCTCCTCTTCCTCCTCCTCCTCCTCCTCTTCCTCTTCCTCCTCCTCTTCCTTCTCTTCCTCCTCCTCCTCTTCCTCATCCTCTTCCTCCTCCTCCTCTTCCTCCTCCTCCTCCCCTTTCTCCTCCTCCTGCTCCTCCTCTCCCCCTCCTCCTCCTCCTCCTTCGTATCAGTACTTGCAGTATGGGGGTCCAACCCCGGCCAGTGCCCCTGCTAGGCAGACCACCCAGAGTTAGTGCCCAGGCCTCACCTCCAGCATTTGGTAGCCCCGGCCATTCCTTGGCTTCCAGTCTCTTCCTCAAAGGTCAGGGGTCAGGGGGCATTCTCCCTGTTTCTCTGTGTTCACATTTTTCAGAAGGACACCAGGCATATGACTTGGCCACACCCTAATGACCAGGACTCATTGGCAATGGGACAGGGCCCAGCCTTCAGGACCGGTTGTGGGGGAGGGATGAGTGTGTGCTTTGGTGGCCATGCTGGGGATGAACCTGGGAAGGGGTGAAACCTGGGGACCCCTTGTCACTGAGAAAGGGTGTCCTGGGAAGGATTCAGGATGCCTTCCTCCTCCCTCGTCCTCCAGGTCAGACAGTTTTGGAGGTTTGTCATTTCCCTGTCCTGAGGGTTATCAATTTCCATACCCTTCAGACCCTCCCTCCAAATAAGGTCACATTCCCAGGTACTGATGGGGGTCAGGACTTCAGCAGATTTCCTGGGGAATACAATCCAGCCATGATGCACAGGGAGGACATACACCCAGGTTACCATGAGCAATTGTTATTTTTGAGGCAAAATATATATAAGATAGAGTTGGCCAGGAATGAATGACAGTTGGTACATTCTCAGTGTTCTGTCCCCCACCTAGTTCCATACACTCTCACCCCCCTGAAGGAAACCCGACATCTCTTTAGCAACCACTCCCATCGCTGCCTCCCCAGAACCTACAAAACCACCACCTAACTTTCTGCCTCTGTTGCTTCATTTATGCTGGATATTTCGTTTGGACGGAATCCTACAATATGTACCCTTTGGTGACATGTTCTGTCAGCGTGATGCTTTTAAGGTCATCCATGCCGTATCATATATGGGTACTTCACTCCTTTTCCCTACAAGATGCCATTGTGTTATTCCAGAACAATCCAGCCTCAGGGAATGCACCTGGCACCCGAGGTACAATGAGCATCAGGAAAGAGGAAGACGGATGGGAGCCGCCCCCCAGCACAGTTCACCTGGGGTTACTCACAGAAGCATTGTCCTGGGCAGCAGTGAGACCAAGAGGGTGCCTGTAGTTTAGGTCAGCTGGAGGGGTGACTTCATCTTCACTGGCTTGTACCTGGTTTACCCTGAGCTTACATCAAAGGGTCAGGCACAGTCCCGGCACAGGGACCACCCTGACCCCCCCCACACACCTGTCCAGTGGTTGTCTGTTTGTAGTGTGCTTGAAGCTCCGTAGGCAAAACCCCAAGGGGTACTGGGGAGCCATCATGGTGGTGCTGAGTGTAGATGGTCACGTCAAGCTAATCCAAACCGTAGGCGAGCACAGACGTGCGCCTCTGTGGGCCAGCTGATGGACGTCTGGGCTGAGTCCCCTGGAGTTTCTTGGGAGAAGTCACAAAGCAGCCACCTTGGAAGAGGTGCAGGAGTGAAGGCCTGGGAGAGACGGGCCAGATTCAGCAAATGAAAACCCAAGGTGCTCAAATAAACTTCAATTTCAGATTTTAAAAAATCACCTTTTGAGTGTAAGTGTGCTCCGTGTCATATTTGCAATATGTTTAAAGAAAGAAAAAAAAAAAACTTATCTTACATTTAAACTTGTCTGGGTTGACTGTCGGAAATCCACGTCTCCTGACTCTTGGGTTCTGATTTCTTTCTTTCTTAACTCTCTCCTCCTTCCCTGGGAAGTTGATGCATCTGAACTTTCCAACCTTTTCTACCTAAGAGAAGGAACAGGTCTCGAGCAGTTGGCTTCATACTGGGGACCGGAGGTTTTCAAACCCGCCTCGGCTGTCCCACTGCTCAGCCTCCTCGAGCTCCCGCTCTGCCACCTGCCCCAGACAGCAGCCCCAGGGGTGCCCTGCCCAGGCCCAGGAGCTGTACTACAGGGCTGGGATGCCTGGTCTGGAAGGCACCGAGACTGCCACATCCAGGGCACACTCCACCCTATTGCATAGAGGGTGACCCAAGCCCAGAGCAGAGCCTGGGTCACAGGGGAAGGCGAAGGCAGAGCCAGGGCCTAGACCCAGCACCACTGGCTGCTCTGTGAGGTGCATTGACCAGAAGCCACACCCAGAGCTCGTTTAAGCCAGGAATTCTCAGCCTGGCCCCAAAACTGGGAAATCACAAACCCTGAGGCCCCATGGCCTGCGCTGTGCCAAACCCCTTCGGAAGTTCTGGTGCACACCGAAGTCCCCAGGACAGTGGCACTGTGCTATCTCCTGAGGTTGAAAGATGGTTTCCGAGTGGTGCACCCCTGTCGTCCCTGTGGCTCGGGAGGCTGAGGCAAGAGGATCCCGAGTCCAAAGCCAGTCTCAGCAAAAGTGAGGCACTAAGTGATTCAGCGAGACCCTGTCTCTAAATAAAACACAAATTAGAGCTGGGCATGGGGCTCGGTGGTCATGTGCCCCTGAGTTCAACCCCTGGTGCACAAAAAAAACCAGAAAACAAACAACCCAACAAACAAACAACCAAAGCAACAACAATAAAAAGGTCTTGAGAATGGAGAGAATGTTCTTTTCGTTTCTTGGACAGATAATCAGAAACAAAATTGGGCTGGAATGGCCCATTTCCTCACCCATTCCTGAGACCTCCGTACCCTTGTGCCTTCAGATGGTGGCCTGGGGTCTCAGTGTGCTTCCCTGGGTGTTCCCCCACAGGCAGCTGCAGGAGGGCAGGAGAGGGGCCTTGCTCTCTAGCCACAGAGGGCAGCCCCTGGAAAGCAGCCCGACCTGCTGAAGGACCTCTCCTCTTCATTTCCTTGACAAGCCACTGGGCACCTTCTCCATGTCGAGTCGTATGGGGACACTGGGCTCTGGAGCAATCCGATAGTGCGTCTGAGTGGCTCAAAGTCTGAGGACTCAGCTGGAGGGGACGAGCCTCGTCTGCACGCTGGAAATAGCAAGGGGCTTCCCATGGGCCCGGGGCAGGCTAGGGGTCTGAGGCCCAGAGGGGCAGCAAGACCAGCCATGGTTTGCACAGAAGAGCAGGGCGTGGGGCTGCCACATCGGGGGTGAGCCGTGTTGGGACTCTGGAGCACAGCTGTCCGGGTGGCACCCGGCTGGGGGGTGGGGCAGGACCCAGGGGTGCACCCCAGTCAGCGTCCCGGAGAGCAGACCAGCGAGAGGGACAGATGGGAAAGACGAAGGGGCTGTGTAAAAGCTGTGGCACTACAATCAGACTGGTCTCCGATCCGCAGGCCCTGTGACCTGGCCAGTGAGGATATTGGGGCGAGGCCAGTTCATTCCTGGCAGGGACAGGGGGGCAGGCTGGGAAGGACTTCCTGGACCAGCAGTCCCCCAGGTCCCAATCTCCTGTTGCACAACAGGTGTACCCAGGAAGTACCTGTGTCAGGAAGTACCCAGGGTGGACTCCCCGGCTGAGCTGACGCCAGGGGAAAGCCCAGGTGGCCCTGCAAGATCTGTGCCCATAGCCCTGTCCAGCCACAGTGACCAGCGACCAGATTCTGGGAAAGTGAGGGAAAGAGAGCCAGAAGGGAGGGGCTGGCCGAGGAGCAGTCTGACGTCCTGACGGGGCCCAGCCCTGGGCGTTGGGCGGGGGCTCCTTCTCGCTCTCTGGGCCTCAGTTTCTCTCTGTGAAGTGGAGACGGGGCCCTCCCCGGCCTGCCAGCCACAGAGGGGCTAGTTTTCCTAATAGGAAGATGAACACGGGGAATGGGTGACCTACCTTCAGCTGCCTTGTGTCCTGTCCAACCCAACAATGGCCCCCGCAGATGACCACGCTGCAACTCTGCAGGCGCCACCGTCCTGGTACTGTGCGGTGGGACACGCTCACACTCGATGGCCTTGCAAGCGACTCTGGCCTTTCACACGAGGAGGCTGAGTCTAAAGAGGCCACATGGTCCGTGGCTTGAGCAGATCTTCCTGCCTGATTTCTCGGGCCAGACACGGCGCCCGGGCCTCCCTAATGGGGATCCCTGGCTTTGCTCACCATCCCCTGTGGTGGTCCACGTGGAAGGCGGGGCCGGTTGGACCTCAGACTCAAGTTCAGCAGAGGCCTTGACGGAGAAAGGCAGGAAGTGGCTTTTTCAGAGGGTGCATTTCCCAGGTTACCTGCGGCTCACCTGCCGTGTGGCCTGTCACCAGGTCATTGCGCCTTTCTGAGCTGCCTGTACAATGGGGAAACAACCTGCATTAGGTGCTCGTGCCTCTCGGTACCTTTAAAAAGAGACCATAAGCTGCAGTCACTGTCTTGCACCAGCAGAGCAGGCGCCTGGCTTTCTCCCCCCCCGCCACCCCAGCTTGGCATCAAAGTCAAGGTGACGGCTGTTCGATCAGTGGAACTGAGAAGGAAGTTTGTTTCATGTAACAAGCATTTTGCAAATATGAACTCTTTAAATCTTTAGGACAACTGAATGAAGTCAGCTTAATATTGTCTCCATTTTACAGGTAGAGATATTCAGGCCCAGAGCAGTTAAGAAACTTGCCCAAGGTCACACAGCTAGCAAATGGTAATGCCCAGGGGATGCTTCACCACCAGCCTGGACTTCCCTGAGGGTTTTTTTCTCTCTCTTTATTTCCCCGTGAACTTTTGACACTGAGCCAAGGCCGGATGGAGAGATAGGTTAGGAAGGGCTGACCAAGAAGACTGCAGAGACCCTTAAGAATCCCAAGGATGTAAGGAGAAGGGGCGAATTGAACTGAGCCAGGGTGGGCATGGGGTACACTTGGAGAACTGTCTACACGACCTCTTGGGTGGAGAGTGAGACCCCCGAAGGGCAGCCTGAGCAACAGTGGGGACAGCGGGGAGCCTCGTTCCTTCAAGGGAGGCACTGGGGTTACTCAGAGTCAGGCCTTGGGGAGCTGGGACTCCCTCTGCTCACCCCTCTGCCCATGAACCAAAATAGGAGCCCAGAGATGTTGGCCTAAATCCCTAAGCATTAAAGTCAAAGTATATACATAAAGCCTTGGGAATTCAGTTAATTAAATATTTAAATCTTGTCCAAAAGGTTTGTATAACTGAAGAAATTTAAGAGGATAGCATTTAACCTTTGGTGGCCAACGCCAGGTAACTGATTCATGCTGATGGTTGTGCCCTGGGCCTGGCCACAGATTCAGGAATAATGGGAATGATTTAATATTGCAAAAGGTTTTTCAGCAACCTTGTGCAATAGCTGCAAATTCTGCCTATTTTAAAATCAGGAAGATGTCCCCAGTGCATGCTGAGAGGAAAGGTGTCACAGTTAAAGCTTCATCCCGGGGTTTCATAAACTGACTTCCAGATCACTCACAAATAATCAAATCAAGCCTTTATTGAAACACACTGGTGGCGGCTGACCAGAACATAAAGCTGTTCCCCTGATCAGCCCCGAACAATTTCAAGGGCTCTCTTTATAAGCCTGAAAACCGCAAAAGGGATGTTTGGGGTCTAGCCAATGCAAGGCAAGCCAGGTTACCGAAGCGGGAGAGTGGGGTCAAGTGGTAGGAAGCCTAACCAATCACAGTTAGCCCAGTCACCCCAGTTACAGAAACAGAGCCCCGTTACCCTAGTTACAGAAACAATGCCCCATTAGGTAGTTCCGTGTTCTTAAAGGTTTCTATAGAAAAAGGAAAAGAACATCTTGCCCCAGTCATGACCCTTCTACTTGGCATGGTTGTTTTACAGGATGAAGTCTTTGGCTTGACTATCACATCTCCCACTGGTTTTAGCAGGTTTGATGTCAATCTTGCCCATCATTAGACCTTGGTTTTTTCCCCACCTTTCTGTGTCTAAGGGACCACACTGGGCTTGCAAGACCATAAGCTGGACCTCACCTCCACTCTTGTGGAGAGAGTTCTTAAGAGGCAGGGTCCTACAGTAATCCCAATCAGGAGAAGGACTAGGGGCCCAGCTATGGCTGAGATGATGGTAGTCAACCAAGGGGACCAGAGAATAGGTTTTGGAACCAATTGCCCGAAGCTTCTCGTGCTTTCTCTCTTTCCTTTAACCTGTTTCTCACTAGTGCCAAACTGTCCTTTATTATCCCAGAATGGTTTGCATAGAAACAACAAATTTCCCCTAGGGCCATACAAAGTCCTCCTTGTTTTAGAAAGAGAAGATCTAGACCCCCGTCTGTTTTGTAAGACTATTTCTGTCAGAGAGTCCAGTGAAACCTCTAGTTTGGAGATTGACCTTTCTAGTTTTCCTAAGTCTATATCGAGGGACTTAAAATTTTCAGAGCCTCTGATAAGAGCTGCAGTTCCTAAAGCAGTAGATCCAGCTATTCCCAATGCAGCCAGGAGGGGAACTAAAATGGGGGCAGCCTGTCTGTGTCGGTAAATCAGTGGGCCCTGGCCTTGTAATAAGTCCAGGTGTGGGGCTGGGGTTGTGGCTCAGGGGTTGAGCGCTCGCCTACCATGCATGAGGCACCAGGTTCGATCCTCAGCACCACATAAAAATAAAATAAAGACATTGTGTCCACCTATAACTAAAAACTAAATATTTTAAAAAAATAAATCCAGGTGTTCTTTTCATTTTACTCCATCAAAATAGTAGGTTTGAGGAAATAAATGGATTGTGATACATAGTTCAGAGCTCTTGATAGCTTGGAGATTTAGGCAAGGAGTTAGTCCAGATGTGCAGGAAAACTGAATTCCCTTGGGAGAAACAAGAAAGTATGGCTCAGTGGTCGATCGCAGTGGGACCCCAGAAGCACAATTTTTGGTGAACGGGGAGTTGTCCCACTTATAAGTTGGGTTGTGGAAGCAAGTGTCTCTTCCTGGGAGATCACCCAGGGTGATCTTGGGAGCAGTTCCCCAGGTACATCTTCCTGAGCCAGACATAATTGTGAATATCTATACCGACCGTAACTTCCCCTCTAATGTTAGGGACCTCCTACTGCTGTAAGGAAAAAGGATGATGACCGTTCTTGCTGCTTTGAGCTGAGAGGGGGCAGTGGGAAAGCAGCTTGGAGTCCCTTTTTAGAAATTGCATGGGTCTAGGAGTCCATGGTAAAAATCTGGCTCAGGAAGAACAGGATGTAAATTCACCTGGAGTGGGCACTTCTATGAGAGAAGCAAAAAGACATGAGTGCTGAAGTAAGATTCATACAAAATAGCAGTCGTAGCATTTGAAACCTGTCCATGAATATCATGAAAATGACAGAAATTAATAATCATTTACCAGGAGGCGGAAGACCTGAGAAATCGACCTGACTCAGAGGGCAAGAGCCAAATATTGGTTTTCTTGACTCCTTTATTTTAACCTAAACCCCCATAACAAGGCCTAACAAAGCCTAATAAGGCCCCCTTTTTCGGGAACATAAATCTTTAACATTGTCAGAATTATCAGGAATGTAGACACAACATTTAGTTAAATTAGTTAATGTCATCTGATTTTTGTAAAAATACCTTTTTGGCATGACCTCAGTGTTCAGTAAAGATCCCTTTGTTACTTAGGGTTAGATAATTATATTAATAAACATTGATTACATCTACCTGTGTAGGAGGTTAGGAAGATCTGTAGGCCTTAAACTGACTAAAAACTTCTGACTCTGGCAGTTTTTATTGATAGTTATCAGGCATTCTTGCCTAAGAATCTTTTTTTTTTTTTTTTTTTTTGTCTCCAGTCTTACTTATTGTTGGGGGTGTTAACACTAGTGTACATCTTAAGTTACATTAAAATAACTGTTGTTTCTTTTTAAATGCCCAGGAATGGCTGTGCTTTGGTTTTAACTGTTTTTTTTCCTAGGGGTTTACGACCAGGTTGGTCCAAGTGACCTTGTTCCTACCTTTTGGTAAGAGTCAGCTGAGTTTCCTTGGAGGACATTCTTGGGGAACTTGTGAGCAGCATTTTAGCTCTGCTAGTGTCATCTGCATTAGGATGGGTCAAGGTCTTGCTGACCATGCGGCTTCCCTTGGAAGTACCAGGCATGTCTCCCCTGTTCAATGACCCTCCTCTTTTGCAGCATGGACACTCATTGGCTTTTTGCTCTCCAGGGGTCTCATTAGTCTCCCTTATCGGGAGGTTATGTGGCTGGAGTTGTAAAGCTCTTCCCCTGTCCTGGGTTCAGGCTGACTCAGAGGGCAAGAGCCAAATATTGGTTTCCTTGGCCCCTTTATTTAACCTAAATGTTTAAGTCTTGGCCTTAAACATCCAGCAAGTCAGACTTACCAGTCTTAAACTAAGAATACTGGGCTTTAACTTTAATGTTTATAACTTTATAGTTTTTTTTTTACATAACGCAATATCCTTATTTTATTTATTTATTTTTATTTATTTTCAGAGAGAGAGAGAGAATTTTTCAATATTTATTTTTCAGTCTTTGGCAGACACAACATCCTTATTTTATTTGTATGTAGTGCTGAGGATCGAACCCAGCGCTGCGCGCATGCCAGGTGAGCATGCCACCACTTGAGCCACATCCCCAGCCCCTTTATTTTATTTATTGATTCCTGTAATGCTGAGGTTTGAACCCAGTGCCTCACCCAGGCAAGGCAAGCACTCTACTGCCGAGCCATAACTTTAGCCCCTTTACAGTTAATTCAATCCCTTTTAATTATTATCTGTCTACAGATGATGGCTTAATATCTCAATCTAGGTTGTGTGTTCATGAAGTATTACCTCTGTAAAACATTAACAGGCATCAGTTATTGTTACTTGTGGAGCAGGCTGAACAAATATTAGCTTTGCTTGTTTGCCTCAAATCTGAACACTCAACTCCACTCAAGGCTGAACACTCAACGCCACTCACTCAAGGTTGAACACTGGACTCCCACCCGTCTGTTGCAACAGAAACCCACATCTGACCCCTGCCCAGTCTGCCCGAAGGCAGCAGATGACACCCTTAGCAACTACTGTACGCCAAAAAGGCAGCTTGCAGACCCAGAGACCCCATAAGATTTTGGCTATAGAAACTCTCTCCTGCCGGTTCACCCTCTCTTTTCCTCTCTCACTCTTTCTCTTGTCTCTTCCTTTCCTGTTAATCAGACACTGCCACAATAAAGGTCTCTTGGTTGCTCTGAGGGTCGTGGTCACTTTCCTTCCAGTTATAATGAAAATACAAAGTGAAATTAACAATAGTAAAAACGTATTTAGCTTGTACATAAATTTTGAACCTTGGCTGAGTTATACATTATATTTCCTATTTGAGATGACAGTAATCTTTCCAATAAAATCAATCTTTTCAAATCAACTGAAATCTGGCCCACTTGGAAGTCATTGTGACATGCTGTAAGGTGGGAGGCAGAGCCTTATCTCGGGTAAGACAGGGCTCTTTACAAATCTTAGGTAAAGTGCTTTAGTTCTGAAGCTGATCTCTGTCTCTGTCTTTAGATATCATTCTGTAAAGTTTACATCTATTGTTTCCTGACTCTGGGTGAATGTCAGCTAACACAATATGATATACATCTGAAACGTGAATCAAGAAAAGGCTGAGAGCTCTTGACTTTCCTTTTGTGTGAAAAGTGGCAAAATGTTTTATAATATCAACCTTTAAACAGATCAGGCTCTCATTACTTTTTAAAATACCTTAAAATATTTATATCCCAATGTAAAAGGTAACATAAGGTTTGGTTACAAAACATCAAATAGTATAAATAAATCCCCAATAAAACCTATTATCAGTATAAGTGTAAAATGACCATTACAGACAACTTTAGTTTGGAGAACTCCAGCTTGATAAAATGTTTCTCTAAACCTTTTACCTTAAAGACTTTACTGAAAGATATGAACACATTTAATCTGTAAAGAAGAGTAATGTACCACACTTTTATTGATGTTTTTATATTAACCAAGGTTAGCTTTTAAAGGAAAATCTAGACTCTGTAATGTAGGGCAGTACTTTAAAATAACAGTTGCTGTTTAGCTACAGATGTAGAAAACTGAATTTATCCAAGATTAGTTGCTCTAGAGAATAAAACTTAACAGACACAATGTAATTTTTAGAAGTTTTTGTCATTTTAGCATATAAATATATCAGAACATTAATATTTGTCTGTAGGAAAGACCTTGTATAACTTTTTTGTATAACTATTTGTGTTACATATATAATCAACTTAGTTATATATAAACCTTTTAATATTCATCTTTTATTTATAGACCTTCATATTATTTAATTAGACCCTTTTATTGTTTACTTAGATGTATTATAATTATACTTTACCACATAAAGAATTTTTTACCAGGAAGCATTTTTTTTAACTAAACATATTTTTATATTTAGAACCTTTTAATAATTTTTAACCCATTGATCCTTCTTTCTGTTTACACCTTGAAATAACCCTTATAAATTTCTGAATTTAGATAAATTAATCCATTTTAATAAGATGAAATTGTTATTTACAGTACTTTAATTGAAATGCAGTTGAAACCTTTTGACTTCCTGTATGTAGAATTATACCTGCTGGACTTTTAACTTATAGAAACCTTGTTTTTGTGATAACACAAAATACTTTTAAATTTTTTGTTAATTTATGAAAACACCAACATTGTTTAAGTATTTTACCTTATGGAATTTAAGGAGTTAAGAGTACTTGATATCATATTTAACAGTCAGCATTTTAACTTTGTAAACCAATTAGATGTCTCTAACAAACACATCCATGATTAATTTCATACATATCAGATGTAATTTACATATATTTCTTAAAAAACAAGGTATCAGTAAGTGCATTGAATAGGATTAGTAA